ACATTTATAAGTGACTATACCATTACAGATAACACAAATAATAACAGCAATTGTTTTTTTATTTTTCGCCGTTTACACCATGGCATCTCAAGAGTGCTCCACATCACATCTCAAACATGTTAAAGGGCCCCCCGAGGTGGCAGCTGTCCCTGTGGGCACAAGGTCACTCAGCAGCAGGCCTGAAAACGGGCATTTCCATGTTCGTAGGGGGGCGATGATTGCTGCTGTGTATAAACCCAATCGAGTTATTTGCAGATCATAAAAAGGCTTTATCCTTTCTGGCATAAACACAGGTGGTGTTAAGATGCCAAAAACCTATTACAAGGCATCAAATCCGCATTAACCACGACACATGCTTGGCGGTAAAACATGCAAACAAAATATGATTTGATCATGCATGCATTGTCCTTGAAACTGAATGGCCTTTTATAGCGTTGTCTCATCAGTGCTCGAAACCAAAGGCCAACCAAAAGGTGAGCATCTTGATACAGTATTGGGGAAAAAAAGGGTCCCATTAGAAATTTGCCGATCGTTTTCTGAATTTGGGAAATTTGGACCCCCGACGCTTGCACACAAAGGCCCACTCGTTTCGAATGACGCCAGGGAATGTTTAACCTCCACGGTAAAGCAGACGGCGCGCAATTTAGGTTCATTACACCCGCAGCATTAACCAGATAGGTGCAATATCATCAGGCATGTTCAAACCACTGCCGGATGAAGACATTTCCCCACGCCGTCACCAATCCTCCCGGACCCTGCGATGCCAAAACCCATCTCACTCGCCCCTCTTTCATACGAACAGATCTCGTCGCTCCATTTGCGATGGGCATCCTCCCCTCTCAGGAGCGTTCCCCCCCTCCTTGGACCACCATTCCATCACCAGTCTCGTCTATCCACCATCGTTCCTTCTGGTGCAGGTTGGTCGGGGAAACCTGCAGCTCTGCAGCCGCACGCGGCTCTTCACGGATCGCTTCCGAGACGTAATGCACGTCTGTGTATACATTCACATGCTTTGCAAGCTCGAGAAATGTTGAGTTCTGTACCGAATTCGAAAAAGGGCTATTCTTGTTATTTTGGTTGCAGACCCCCCCCCCCCCCCGTTCTAGCAGATGCGTCATCCTCCAAGCCCACTTTACTTTCTTGAACAGTTAACGCGACGTCTCCGACTTGCATTTGTTCCACGATCCGTGCGTTTCTCTTCCCCGTCAATCTAATTCCAAGCAAGCACCTCCCTTGGGTGCTTAATTCGCACCTCGCAGTTGTGCTCCATTTTCGTTTTAATCGAACGCGAATCGAAAAAGCCATGCGACACAGACGCCCGTACAAGATCGCTCAAATTACCCACGCCACAGCAGCCCCCCCCCCCCCCCGCATTGTTGCACACACACACACACGCCGCATTTGGATGATACGAAACCTTATTGAACGGAACAGAGTGGTCTTCAAAGTCCAGCTCGTTGCTCATTGCTCAAATAAATAGGTGCGGAAAGCCAGCATTATCTCAGCAATGCATCACTCGGTGATAAATACGTGGCACAACAATGTCAACAGTGACAGGGGGTGGCAGAAGCAGGTCAGCCAAAGACCACTTTGCAAACAGCTTAAGCCATTCAGTCATCACGCAGCCATAAATACGAGCGTCTGCAAAAAAACACACACAAAAGGTGTCATTTTCTCACTCTCCGTCATTGTCGTCTGACACCAAAGCTTGGGCGAAAATGAGCGGATATGCCAAGAGTGTTTCGCGTGCGTTTCCTAAATTTAGGGCGGCAGTAACCCAACGCTGTGTGGTTAGCAGAGGTCACCCGGTTAGATTCGATCTCCCGGCACGGCAGCTAAAGCAATTGAGCACGTTTCTTAAATGCTCAACCACCCCCCACCCACTCCCATCGCCCCTATGTCCACCCAGAAGAATAAATGGGCACACCACTGCAAAGTTTATCGGCAGGTCGTTATGTGGTGGGGTAAAGTGTGGGTACTCCCATCTATCCTAAGACGTCTAACCAGCGTGGAAGAGTAAGGCAGAAGCCATCCTCTGTAGGAGGGCTCTCTAGAGCTCCGCCTGTAGTGGAAGCCCTTCCTGTAGCAGGGGCTTGAGGCAAGAAACTTCCAGGGCTGCACCGTTACCCATAACGAATGATCGTCAACGCTGACCTTGCTGTTGGTGGATTGCGTTCCCAGCTTCTCACATTCCCACTTTCGGAAGCACCTGAATTTTATTTTAGAAGACGTCTCTTACAATACCACACGCAGCAGGTACTGCTGTGTGTAGGTGTATTGTCTGTGGGGATCGGTAGTGTAGTGATTCGCGCGCTGCGCTACCAACCTGGCCACCCGAGTTTGATTCCCGCTCACGGCCAACACCGGTGACGATTATCTGAATCGGTCCTGGACCTCCCCTAGGTCGACTCAGCCTCAAATGAGTACCTGGTGAGGTACACAAGAACATTGCCACTAGGGAGACAAAGGCGGCCGGGCGTGGTGCTTGCCACCCACCCTCTCGTGTGCCATTCCGGCCTTCATAGGTGCTCGCTAACAGCACTTGCCCCAACAGTCCGTTAAATCCATACGGGGGATCTTTGTCTTTGTTTAGTGCTCGTTAACAGCACTTGCCCCAACAGTCTGTTAAGGCTATACGGGGGATCTTTGTCTTTGTCTGCCACCTACTAATGGGAAAGCCTTTCAGGAAATTGCATACATCTAGTATAGCCAAAGTATGTGTTTTTTTTACTGCCGCAACATATGTACGGTGCAGAATTACACACACACGGTTCCGTGCGTGTTGTTGTCCGCAGTCCATCAATCCAGCGGAAAACATTAATTTTTGAACAGAGGCAGCTGGCCAACAAAACACGCCGCGTCTTTGCAAATCATTGACAATTAAATGTCCAGCCTTTTTTTCTATAGAAAAAAATCAGACACATGCACACTCACTCACGGGTGTATCGATGACGATTCGAGTGGCTTGTTTGTGCCGGACGGGCGCCACGCGTGTAAAGCCAAAACTAAAAATTGTCTCGACTAATACCGATGTCTTGCAAGATTACCTCGTCCTCACAACGCACGTGTAACAAGCCCTTCGTCAATCCACTGCTGGATGTAGATTCCCCCACGCAGTGCTGGGTCGCGGGACGGGGGGGGGGGTGTTTGACCATATTTCGATTTAAAGCTTTCGTGACTGCAGGGATTCATCTTCTTGGTTCTTTCGGTAAAGTCACGTAGAATGGAAATAAAATAATATAAATAAATCATAATAAAATCATTCTCACGACGTTTCGGCCACAACGCAAGCAGCCGTCCTCTTGCGTTGTGCCCGAAACGTCGTGAGAATTATTTAATGTTTTATTTGTATTATTTTATTATTTCCATTCTACGTGACTTTACCGAAAGAACCAAGAAGATGTTTGACCATACTTCACCACGCTGCTCAGTGCTGGTTGGGGGGGGGGGCAACGGACAACATTCGCCACTGACGGTAGCCGTGACCGTGAATCAAACTCAGGTGTGGCCGGGTTCAGTGCGCTAACAGCAGCAGAGCCACCCCGTGTCCCCAATGCCCTCTATAACGACTCTTGCATGTGGTTGTTACACGGACATACTGGTCCCCGTCATGGGAATGTGGAATTTCCCACCACCGTTTAATTGGCTGTTAACGTGAAATTTGCTTCGTTTCAATGACTTTCCGATATAGGTAATTGTTTTAACAGCAGAAATTAACGTTGCGTATGTGTGTGTACACAGTTACACAGGTAGGTCTGTACGTCTCAATAACGTCAGAGGATAATCATTCATGTTCGTTAAAGTGGCTTTCCCCGCTTGCTACCAGCACAGAATTTATTTAGGGTCCTGCTCATGTGAATGAAAATTAACAATTGATACAACACTATGATGTTCATTAACAAAAAAACAAGTCAGTATGAAGGGCATCACGGTATTTCTTGTACAGGTACAACCGGAACAAATACGGTCTATACACAACACAGTCCACACACACAACATAGTCTTGTAGTCCACACGTGACAAACATTATCTCTATTAAACAATGGGGATCACACGGATTCCTTGTACACTGAATGGACTCTAAGCAAAAGAAGAAAACATCAAAGGTATATCCATACAGCGATGTGAAACTACGATATCGTGTGCCCGTATGCCGTATTGCACGTGCCATTGTTCCCCATTGTCTAACACAATGGAAGAAGCATCGGGGAGGACTTCTATCCGAACAGATGGAACAACGAAACCAGCTAAAGTCGTTGTTCAAGGGGGTGCTCGGGTGGATAATGATTAACATCGTGGGATTGCGAGAGACGGCTACTTGGTGGAAAGGGATGAAAATAATGCCCCCTAGATCCAGCAGTGGATGAAGCATGGGCTGATGAAAATGACAACGAGCGTGACGGATGTTTAACTTCTTTCGCACCGTACGTACGGCCAACCCAAAACTACACAAACCAAAAAAAAACACACAAAAGAAACCTACCCGCTGGAAATATTCATCGACCGCATCGAACTCGGCCAATTCGCGTTAAGTGTTGCCGAATGCTGCCGTCGAAAACATTGCGGGCGTCCGCTAAAAGTTCACGTGGAACGATGAACGCCACCAGCAGGCGAATGCGCTGCTCCGATTGTCCTCCGCTGTTGTGCACCGAGCCTGGCCATCTGGCAGTCTCCACGTGCAACAATAGGCGCTGTTCGAGCGGCATCATCAGGAGCACACACACACAGAGGTGCCCCGCGCACACACACTCACTCACGCACGCTGCTCCTTAAAGCCGACACAATTGTTTTAGAACCGAGGGATGGGGGGAGGGAAGGTAAGTAACATCATCGCATCAACGTCCCGGCCGGATGGAATGCATCGCAGTGTCGCGAATGTTTGAACCACTTTGCGTGCCGAATAGCTAAGCCCGAAAAACACATCCATGGGTCACACACACACACGCGCAAGTCCACGGGACGGAAGGCACACGCACGCATACGATCCACGGGTCCAATACCTCTCCATGCGAGCGCAGTTTAAGTGGAGCTGTCGAATTCCCTCTTCATGTGTACATCTCAGAGAAAGTGAGCAGAAGATCTCCCAACTGATGATGTATCTGCCCGCCTCCGCGGTGGTTGATGGTGGTGGTGGTGATATTGTTGTTGGTGTCGGTGGTGATGCGATTTTCTGCTCTGCTCTGCTTGCTTGCTCCCGCCTGCTCTGCCCCTCTCTGTCTCTCCACTGAACCTCCTCCTCCTCCCCTCCCTATTCATCCCTTTCATACGGATGATCATTTTACCCACAATGCATCAGATCACCACGGGCAGACCTTGCCTGCCCCCACGTGGTAACGCGTTATTTGGTGGTGCTGATGATGCTGCTGCTTGCTGCTGCTGCTTGCTGAGCCTGCGTGAGCAGCGGTGCACGGACAAGACTAAACACACTCGTCAACAGCACTCCCTTAAAATAACAAAATATATAATGGGCGACGTTTCGGTCAATGGCCCTTCTTCTTTACAGCACATAAAGGTGCTATTTTTTTACCCCTATCTGGTAGCAGGTTGGAGGACAGTGTTGAACACAAAATGGAGATGTCTGGTGTAAGTCTTTTTCGCAATGTGCGTTTTATTTTGTGCATGTACCGTTTAACCCACACATAGCTGGATGAAGGCCTCCCATATTCGACCATACTTCACCACGCTGGGTTGGGGGAACGCAGACGGGGGAACACAGACCTGTGAGAATAACAGCACTACAATATAGTTTACTGCACTGCCCTCTGCTGCCCACGACAGAATATCGTAACCTGTGTGGGTATGGTGGGTCACCCATCCAAGCACCGATCGAGGCTCAAAACTGGTTGACTTCCCAGATTTGTTGAGGTCATGCAAATTCTTGTTGATGTGGTCAAAAACAGATTTATTTTTACAATGTCACATTTGTGTAAACCAAATCAAATATAAGTAATGTATCAGCCCAGTACGTTTACTCATTAAATAATCCCTGAATATACAGGCCATTTTGTTAATTCCTGTTTTAGAATGCCTGGCAATACATTTCTATAGTTTTTTTTTCGTGGAACGTCTCGCAGGTCAGAAAACGAATTTGCTGTACTGCCATCTATAGCAACCCCGTTGGCTTGCGGGACTGTATCGCAACTCATTACCTCCATCTGTCAGCGATCCAGCAATCTCAACTAAAATACGCAGGACTTCAAGCATGCATTGTCAACCCCATCCAATCAATTTCACAAGCCTCAACTTGTAAATTAGAACGTGATTTCGATAGCTCCTGACCTGGTTGAGAAATTTACATTTTAATCTTTCATAGGACCTTACCATTTTGCAGACACAACCCAAGCAGCGATGGAATGAAAACGCCACACCAACGTGTGCTGTATTCATGCCAGCAGTTTAGTGTAACCATGTAGGCAGCATTCAAGGCTGTGCTTCTAACGTGGGGAGCCGCGACCTAACGGTGGACAGATAATGGTATATGAAAATAAATAAATAAATACATTACGTACAGAAATTACATACTTATATTTCAGTTCTACCATGTGGCAATGCACTCAGCCACACCACTCATTTTATTTAATAATAATACAATTTATCCAAGAATGGAGTTTCTGTAGGTTAGCACGATGAAATTGCAATGCAGAGCTTGCTGGTTCGATGTGATCTACCGGAGGTCCGGTAGCTGCTGTTTAAACAATGGGCAAGCATCCTAAATATCCACATTTCTGTCCATCCAGAAGTATAAATTGATACGCCACAGAGAGTCAATCAGCGGTAGAGTGAAGGAAGTTAGTCTACTCCCACCTCTTCAAACGTCTGTCCAGCGTGTAAGAGTAGGCAAAATAGCCTCTATGTAGGCTTCTCTAGAGGCCCTTCCACCCGCAGTGGCGTGAGCAGGAATTGCAGGGTTGCACCTTTGCCTTCTATTTTCTATCGAGTCAAATACCACCACGTCTCAATATATTGTTTTCAGAGGAGCCGTACAGCACAATGAGAAACATTATGGGAAGTGTTTTGCAAGTGGAAAAAACGAAGTACCCAGAGCAAACCCACACTTAGCAGGGGTTAACACTTAAACATCTGTGCTGATGCAATCAAGAACCCATTTTCTGTACTACCATCAGGACTTTATAATTAGTAATATGCTTATTTATCCTACAAGTGGAAGAAAACTGAAGCAAAACCCATGCGCATGAGGGAGAAACACAAATCCTATGTAAAGATGGAATCAGATGGCGATTAGTCCACTTGTTGTACTTCTTTCTCCTGGTGAGCCAGCGGATGGCACCGCCTCGACACCCACGGGAAGGGAGTTTCACAACATGATAATTGTTTTTTTACCCTTCTATCTCATACTCTGATGGTGCATTGTCTTTGAGTTGTGCGCCTTTTGGCGTCATCTGGTCCAACCCATGTGAGACTAGGCTCTAAGGAAAGCTGTCTCGGGTGTGGACCAATCAACTTCAAGGACAGTGCATATATTATCAGAGTTATGTTTTTTGTTTGCATTATGGCTGCAGGTATTGTGGTCTATGCAAACATGACTCCTTGTAAAAAAGGTGTCAGTTTTGTTGCCAGATAGAAGGGTAAAAAACCAATTATCATATTTTTTACTGGCAAATGAGGTTCCAATGGTGTAAATAGTTTCACAACATGTTGTGCGGCAAGCCACCAACCCTTGCTGCCTTCACAGTGGTGTGCCAAAATTATTCCTGGAACAGTGTTCCAGACTGTTCAGGCTGATTATGAAGCACTGGCACCATGTCATGAGCGCTGCCCCGTGCTCTCACAGATAAAACGCTGGACTTGCAATCCAGAGGCTGCCGGTCCAATTCAAACTGCGCGGCAGTTAAAACAATGCAAGAGTTTCAAATCTCACCCAAAAAATCTAAATGGGTACACCACAGCGCAATACGGTGGGGCAAAGTGTGGGTAATCACAATCGACGAAATACCCTCTAGAGGACTTTTCAGTGGAGGCCCTTCCACCAGCAGTGACGAGATGGAGATATTATTTCCTTGACTTGGTATACAGGAAGTCGTCAATTCGATCTTGACCCTGACGCCTGTACATTTGGAGTCCATGTGTTGGCTCTCCCCATAGTGGCGTGTTTTGTTTTGTCCGGGCGCCCCAGTTTTGCCCTCCTTATTTAGAAACATGCGTTTAGAGTATTTGGCGATTAGAAAATCCCACATATGATATAAGCCACTTCGATGAGCTTTCGTGTGTGGCCAGGTCACCTGTGAAAAAAAGAGCGAATCGCTCAGTGGGATTTACCTGGGACAGCAAATTATTAATTTATTTAGTTCAGCAGTGGAGTAAGCAAGTCATTTCAGGGCCGTATCGTTTCACGTCATGATCATCTTACAGCTCGGTGGGTTTTGGAGCTTCGCAGATCAATGTGATCCACCAACCTTTGCCTTCACAGTTTTGAATTCTTGTTTATTGGGCCAGGGCATACATTGTTATTGCCTATGGCAGCAAAACTGTAGTACCGATGTGCTAATGTATTTATATCGCAAAAGAGGGATTTACTGTATTTCATGACCCATTCATTGCAAACGGTGATCACGCACTTCACTGTTATTGGCCGCAAAAGGAAATTGGATCCATCAAATCCATGGCACCGCAAGTGGCACCGCAAGTGAAATATCTGGCGCGTTGCGGGTGTGCGATACAACTCACGGCTCATCCTGTGCGCAATTCAGAGAAGCAAAGCTTCAAACCAGTAGCACACTTTCCTTTGTCCTTCGAATTCCCCCGTCAGTTTCTCTATTTTCGTTTAACTTTCCCCCCCACCACACACACACAGTGTTGTGTAAATACCACTCAACCCGGTCTTTTGTTACTTTTAAAATAAGCAGTGGCTCCCAAGAGGTTGGGAGACTATTATGCCCGAATACGGTTTATGGGCTCTGTCGTTTCTCTCTCTTTCTCGTTAAGTAATCCCCTTGCACTGGATGGCCATTCCAAATCATCTTGATAAATCTGGCACGAGCACGGCAGCGTAGAGAGAGAGCCCCCTCAAGGGCACCACCAGACCCACCTAGCAAAGAAATATGCCCGTCTCTCGTAGTCGTGTCTGCTATCGATGTTATGGGCATAACTCAGCCGCAAATAGCACACGCGAGACTCCGTAAAAACACAGCGGCCCTTGTATCGCAATGGCTCAATGACCTTGGAGTGGTAGCCAGTAAGTTATGCTTTTATTAATGCACGGCATGTGACACCTTTAATATATGAATGCATTTTTATAGCCAGAACTCTGCTTGGAAATATTTTCTCCGTGAACTTTTGTTCATTCTCATTCCTGCCCATGTCAGCACAGGTAGCTTCTCATCCGATAAATATGGCACCCAGAAAGGACAAAACGATATTTTGTGAAGGGGGAAAAAATGCATTCATCATCGTCAGCCTTGATCGATCCACTGCTGGATGAAGGCCCCCGCAAGCTACCACCATCTCTCACTCGTTTTCGTCGCTCCATCAACACTCCGTGTTTTGGGTACAATAATATCAAGACTTTTTCAGTTGCTCAGACAAAATAACAAAGTGGCTTTAACTTCAATGCAACGTACACGATTCGATACATCCGCTCAACACCCGTAACAAAAAAAAACAATTCATAGAGAACATTTAATTAAAGAGTTTCACGTTTTATTTTTTTTTAACAAAATGGCTTCGCGTATCATTAAAAAGTAATGAAACGTCAGTGTACACGACATGGAGACGTACAAATGGGAAACGGCGCTTGCGAGATAACGGCAATGCAATCTCTTGTGTTCGGCATTGGCCTCATCAATATTAGATGCATCACCCTCCGAGCTCACGCGTTAAATTGTCACCGTGCGGGCCACTGTGTGTATGCTGGGGGCACGCGGGTGATGGAGGGCGAAGATGGCAAGCCAAGATTCGAACTGGTTTGATGTAGAACAAAACAGAGGTCCTATTACGTTTTAAAGAAGATGATGATTCATTGGAGACCGCGTCGGAATTTTCTTTAACGCGGGATACGATTTAATTCCAACAAGGTCTTTCGTGAGTTTTAAGCGTTGATGACCCTGTTTGATGTGATGGTGTTTACACCCTTTCCGCCACCGAGTAACTCGAGTAACAAACAATGACCGACGCTCATAGAGATATTAAACCTGTACAGGAGAAACACTCCTCCTCTTTGTAAATAATCACTACTTCATTTGTTCACTGAAATTACCCCTGCGAAATTAAGACAATATACCGAGAGCTAAGGTGTTCTGCAGAACACCACTGGAATGCCGGGCCAGGTCACGATGCAATCGCCTACTTTATTATTTATACGGGGTTATGCCGTACGTATAAAACCCCTCACCCTGCAGATTAGCAAAACGGCAGACTATGTGCTTTTTTGTTCAATTGGAACGTTCAAAGGGAGTGTTGGAGACATCTGCAGAGGCAATAATTGACCGGAATGCAATGACAAACAACTGAATTGCTAAATCTTGACTTGAAGCTTTCGTGACTGCAGGAATTAATATTGTTTGGGTCTTTTCTGTAAAGTCACGTAGAAAGGTTCAAAAATAAAAAATAAACTACGACGTTTCAATCGCAACACAAGCGACCGTCCACCTGATGACGGTCACTTGTGTTGCGATCAAAACGTGACTTTACCGAAAGACCCAAAGAATAAAAAAACGAAATTGCCGCCGGCTCCACAAAACAAAGCCTAATTTCTGATTCACAGTCAACAGAGAGAAAGAGGGTATGCAAGGCATGGATTTCCAATGATACTGTGTCGTGTAAATGTATTGTAACGAGAGGGCAGGCCACCCTACAGGCAGGGTGGATAGCTCACCTCTCAGCGGAAGGACAGCCACCTCTGAGGTACACGAAACGGGGACATATCATGGAAAGATGAATATCTCACAATCACGAGTGGAGGACTACATGTAAATGCATAGTCTCGAGCGATCCATCTCTATGCAACTGATTTTTAAAAAAAACGGGACTTTTATTTTACCCGAGAAGACGTACAGATTTCCCAGGGCAGTAGCTACCTCGAAGAGAGGACGATCCTGGAAAAACTAGCAAAGGTGGCAACCCTTACTCACCGCTCACCTGACACACTCACCACTAACCAGTCACTCACCAATTGCACTCATCAGACACTCACCAGTCGCCTATGACAGGTAAAGTGTCATATAGTACCGTATCGATGACACGACTATTGCAATAGCACGCTTTGTCCAGTAGAAAGCACACCACTCATTGCAATTAGCATGCATTTTTTTCACCCGGGTCAAAGGTCACGGGTCAAACATAGGTGACGTTCAGTACCATAGGTTCCTGATTTCTTCCAGTCAGAATGTATCCTTACCGACTCATGTAAGAAGATAATTACACGAGAAAATGCTGCGACAGACAAACATGCTAACAGACTGACAAATTAAGTTGCATATAAGTGTGTGTGTGTAGATATATGTGTGATGCATATTTGCCTGCAACTTTTGATATGGTATTCTGTGTTGTACACCACACATTTGAACTGTAATTCAATTGGAGAGAATGTGTCATGTCAACGATTCAGTTCATTAAAAACCCGGCGTGCCGATGAGGCAAAGGAAATCAATTTTTGCGAGAGCTCAAAGCTGTTACATTATTCGCTGCACGTGAACTATAATCGTTTTAATCAACAAAATGTTTGTGTGTGCGAAACTGACAATCACGAAGTGTCTGCTGTGTCGATGAACCCCGGGGGTTCGCTGGTGGCCGCGAGTGGACGTCGGAGGGTGGAACGCTCGTGCCGGGCCAGGCCAGGCTCTATGTGGCCAGCTGGTGCGGGTTTTTTGGATCAAAGGTCGTTATCTCGACATGGATCAGACCTGCACACACACACACAATGAACCCCCATATAGCCTTTCACAGATTGTTGGGGCAAGTGCTGTCAGCGAGCACCTATGAAGGCTGGCACGGCACACAAAGGGGGTGGGTGGCCAGCACTTCACCCGGCCACCTTTGAATCCCCATTGGTGATGTTTACACACCACACCGGGTACTCATTCGAGGCCGAGTCGACCTAGAGGAGGCCCAGGACTGGCTCAGATATTCGTCACTGTTATTGGTTGTGAGTGGGAATCGAACTCGAGTCGCTGGGCTCGTAGTACAGTGGCTAACCACTGCACTCCCGCTCCCCTCTGTTCTGTTTTGTTGGTTTTCAGAATGGAGGCTTGGGGGCGTTCGTTTTGTGCCGTTCAAGGTGAAATTCTTTGATCGGCGCCAAACGAATGAAAGGAAGAGCACCTATTATCACACTAAATGTAAAATATTGCAATTTAGTAATAAAAAATAATTCCCTTTATCTACCCACGGAAGTGTCAGCGAGTCTCACGACTTTGGGATATTTGGTCAGAAGCTCCGTGAACGAGCGCTCGCTCGGGTTCACGTGGGAGGAAGCCACAATACTCGAAGCAACTCCACGCATACGAGGGGGCGTTATGCTCAAAACAATGCACGGATAGATTTTGATTTAAAGCTTTCGTGACTGCAGGGATTCATCTTCTTGGTTCTTTCGGTAAAGTCACGTAGAAGGGGAAATAATAAAATAATAAAATAATACAAATAAAACATTAAATAATTCTCACGACGTTTTGGCCACAACGCAAGCAGCCGTCCTCAGGTGAAGAACAGGTCTGTCGGAAAGACAGCGTCTCAATGAATAGGTTCATTCAGACGCTGTCTTTCCGACAGACAGACCTGTTCTTCACCTGAGGACAGCGTCTGAATGAACCTATTCATTCAGACGCTGTCTTTCCGACATACCTGTTCTTCACCTGAGGACGGCTGCTTGCGTTGTTGCCGAAACGTCGTGACAATTATTTTATTATGTTTTATTTTTATTATTTTATTATTTCCCTTCTACGTGACTTTACCGAAAGAACCAAAAAAATGCACGGATAGATTTAAAAGTCTCTTCTTGTACTGCCATACCTTGGCCACCTCGTGGCCCTCGTTCGAGGGCTAACCAGGCGCAGAAATACCTAGCTTGTGAAATCTGTTGAGGTCGGGTACATTCAGGGTGATTTGGTCTTTTAACAACGTAAAAAAATCACATTTTTGTTATCAGAATGGATCCCACGGCCCAGCAGAAGCGCGTTTGCCGCTTGTTGCAGAGGTTCACGGTTCGAATCCAGCGGCCGCCCCGGTTAATACTGCGGGTGTAAATATTGTAGTAGCAATAATAATAATTATACAAGCTATGCGCTCCACAGTGGACGTTAAAGATCCCCTGACATAATTCACAAGAGTGGGCCGTTGGGTGCCAGTGTCATGGTTCAAATATTTCAAACTGGAAAATGACCCGCAAACGACTCCATGTAGAATCCTACATTAGCAATCATCGCTCCCTACTGGCAGACTAATACCCCGGGTGACTCTTGTAAATGAGACTCATCCTGGTGTCCTGCATTCTCGCCTGGCTAAACAACAGGAGCTTGAAATACCGCCTGCACATGGCTGTGCCCACACACGGAGCTCAACCGTTCTAAGCCCAAGCGTTGCGCCGCGACGCAAGGTCAGGAGAAGCGGTGTTTTTTTGGGGGGGAGCAGAGACGAACTCGGAGGGGGGGGGGGGTCAGGGAGGAGCCGGAGCAGAGAGGAGCAGGGAGCGGAGAAGACGCAGACGGGAGGAGCGGAGATAGATAGAGAGAGAGCGAAGGGGACGAGGGAGGATCCGTTACTTTTCCATTCGCTCGTCTCCAGCTCGACGCCCTCGAACGTCTGGTCGTACGGCTCGGCCTCGGTCTCTTCGAGCGGCTCGCGCGTCTCTGAGAAGAAGGGGTGCTGCAGCGCCTCCGAGGCCGTGGGCCGCTGCTCGGGGTCCAGCGCCAGCATCTTCTCCAGCAGGTCGATGGCTGCACAGGAGACGGGAAGGTGGAGAGGCAACTGGTGGTGTCAATTGCACCGTTAATTTATTTTTGTTATTTTCATTACTCTGGTTTAACACGTAGGGTCCAGCGCCAGCATCTTCTCCAGCAGGTCGATGGCTGCACAGGAGGACGGGAAGACCGCATCGGAATTTTCTTTAACGCGGGATACGATTAAATTCTAACAAGGTCTTTCGTGAGTTTTAAGCGTTGATGACCCTGTTCGATGTGATGGTGTTAACACCCTTTCCGCCACCCTACTCGAGTAACAAACAATGACCGACGCTCATAGAGATATTAAACCTGTCCAGGAGAAACAGTGCACAGCTCCTCTTTGTAAATAATAACTACTTCGTTTGTTCACTGATATTACCCCTGCGAAATTAAGACAATATATCGAGAGCTAAGGTGTTCTGCAGAACACCACTGGAATGCCAACTTTTGGTGTCAATTGAACCGTTAATTTATTATTATAATTTTCATTACTCTGGTTTAACATGTAGGCCCTCGCGAGGAATATCATCCATAAGAGGTTTTTTGGGTCAGATCGCTTAAATATATAAATGTGTCATTAAACCCGCCACCACCCGACACAGCCAACTAGTAAGGTTTGTCACGTAAACAAAACACGCCAATTCGTTACTAGTACAGCACACCGGTGTTTTGGAGAGCAAAGCCACAAGATTTACAATCTGAGTAAATGTTGTGGCTGTCGCCTGATGATGCTAGTTGCAATTACGAGTGAAATGTCTTACTCAGATTGTAAATGTTTGTAAATACGATGTACGAATCGAACAGCCAAGTCAAAGTTAAAACGAATTAAACTAGTTTAATGTTGGCCTATAACTGGTAGCAATGTACACAGTGACGCTACAGCTGAAAATGACCAACTTACACCACAGGATGTAGCAAAGTGCTGTAGTAGTGCATTCCAAATATTATGACGCTGTGTGTATATATATTTGTGGATGGCTTCTGAAAATCAGAGGCCACGAGCTGCATCCCATAAAGGCCCTGCGTTAATCTGGCCCTAATTGCGGCAACCCTAGAAGGAAGAACGCAAGGAAAAATGTGTTCATGCATTCATCCATCTGTATGAAGTTCATTGGTATTGAGTCTAGCGAAGCACAGCAGGAAGCGGACCATTACAGCGGTAACCTAGTCCTGTAATTTGAATCCAATCGAAAAATCAGTTGACAAAACGGTGACCCCCTCAGAAACGAAAGCGATCTGACCACATGCCCTGCCAAGCAAGTCCAGGTGGTTACTACCCATTAATGAAACTTAAGATTTAACAACAACAAAATACGTTGATTTTTCACCACGTGCTTAAACAACAGCTACATAAGGTAATCAGAAAGTCAACATTATGCAACACAGAAACATGCTTGCAGCCACAAACGTGGACAAGTGTGCGTCACAAGCCTCCTCACCCGAGCAGGCAGCCCTGAAATGCAGAACACTCTAACAAGACATCTGGCCAGTTGGGGAGGAGTAGACCAAGTACCCTCTAGGGGAGCTCTCAAAAGCTCCCTCGAGTAGAGGCCTGTCCACCAACAGTGACGTGAGAAAGCATCTACGGGTATTGCCGCACATGTAACAATGTGTTGTGAAAGAGCCTGTAACAAGTATACCAAAGACATCATATTTGATGCTGCATCCTAGGGTTAACAATGTTTTTTAAAAATAATTTTGGTCACATCCTGAAATATTGCATGCAGCTCCTGGGAATTACACCACAACCACAACAACGCAACTCAGCTCAACTCGCCAACCGCGTGACTGGTGTACAAGTTGTCTCAAGTAAACAGCGACCGACCTATGGGGTTGGCGTTTGGGAGCAGGGTGGAAATCCGTCTCTTCTCCATCTTGGGCAGCGTCTTTATGTACTTGGCTGCCTGCAACAACAACAACAAAACCAACAAGAAAGTGACAACAGCATTAAGCACTCGGGGTTACAATGACGAAGAGGCATTCGTGTAAAACAGACAGAAACACTTCCACCGTCACGTCACGAGCCACTTCTACCACTAACACGAGTGACAGTTCCATCAAATCCGTGCAGCACCAATCGCCCACTTAGAATCGGCGTTTAGAGCCAACTGCTCGCTCTCGACGCACAGAGATGTTAGCACACTTCGGCATTTGTGTACAAATAAAACTCGACACATCAATGGTTTTACATACAAATCAAACACGTGAATTCTAGATTTGAAGCTTTCGTGACTGCAAGGATTCATACTCTTAGGTTTTTTCGGTAAAGTCACGTAGGTAAAAGTAAATAATAATAAAAAATAATAAATACAGTAAATTCAACTGTGACGGTCCCACCTGATGATGGAGACTTGTGTTGCCTCCGAAACGTCGTGATTTCTTATTTTATTTCTATAATTTTTTCTATTATTTATTTGTATTATGTACTTTTACCTACGTGACTTTACCGAAAAAACGTAAGAGTACAAACACGTGAAATCAATGGCTTTGTGCTACGAATAATGTGTCATTGCCCAAATCTTCGCCGACCCTACATCTTTTCTCTTTTAAGCCCACCGTGTTATTGACAAATGCGTTGAGATTTTCTTCTTCTTAATTCTCCCTGTGCACCACTGCCAACGCAGCAGCAGTGTCACCAACAAATAATTTGTTCTGCATTTGTAGAAATATTTTCAAGGTACCAAGATGTAAGTTTCATTTGGGATGCCCATGCCTGCCTATAAATCACGCAAAAGATTAGCATACTGGTGCTGACGGCTATAGCATTGAAAATTGATGCGAGTGTGTGTATAATTGTCATTTCCTGTTTTCAACCCTGAGTGATGCACCCTCTAGGGTATTTATTAGAGCTGGGACAGAGTCAATTAGGTCCATGAATTGACTCATCATTGTTTTTAACTACTTTTTTTTGGTTAATTACTCGAGCCCATTTTAAAACGAATGTTACCCCAACATCCTGCCTCCCGAAAGCAGAAAATCCCCTACAAGTCATGCCCAGTGCGATGACGCAGCTAACAATGGTGATGGCATCACAAAACTCCGCCCATCACCTCCCTTCCAGCGGCACACTTTTTTTTCCAATTATATCTGTGTTGTACGTATATCTTTCGCAAAGTACGTAGTCAACCGTGCGAATCGGAGGTGCGGGGGAATGACAACAAACTAAACACAAAAAGCAGTTTGAAATAAATTAATTTTCTCCATTGGAACCTCATTTACCCTTCTATCTGGCAACAAAACTGACCTTTTTTTACAAGGAGTCATGTTTGCATAGACCACAATACCTGCAGTCATAATACAAACAAAAAAACATAACTCTGATAATGTATGCATTGTCCTTGAAGTTGATTGGTCCACACCGGAGACAGCTTTCCTTAGAACCTAGTCTCACATGGGTTGGACCAGATGACGCCAAAAGGCGCACAACTCAAAGACAATGCACCATCAGAGTATGAGAGCTCGGGGTAAGCATCTACACCATATTTTTACACCATAAATTTTCTATTCAGATTTAAAAGTGCAGTGGCTTCCTAATATCGGAAGCAAGAGCATTTTAGACGTCCACAGAAGCGCAACTTAAAGTGTGCGATGCAGTGACCATCTTTGTAATCCAATTGTGTCGAGAAATCGAACCGATAACCTGTGCACTAATCGACGATGAATAATTGATTAGCCCAGCTCCAGTACCGCATTAATAATTATTGGACCTGGAGGCTTTGCTCAAGACACCCGCAGCACCGTAGAACGTGAACTGGAGCCAGTGGCGAGTGCGAGGACCCCGGGTAATGAAGTGCAAGAGGCAGCTCACATTCTCGTCCATTCTGTCGACGAGGTACTTTGGAGGCGTTCCCGTCAGCTTCAGGATCAGCATCAGCTGGTCCATGTCTGGTTGCCCTCGTCAAGGCCGTTGTCATTGACAAAAACACTACAACTCGGTATACACTTTTGTTGACAGGCAGGGTTGCTAACCGTCCCGGATTGTCCGGGAGTTTCTACTGGAAAAAGGTATCAATCTCTTGGTGACTATTGAATGCAAACTCGGTATACATTAATTAATTTTAATTTCATTTGTTTACCTACGTGACTTTACCGAAAAAACTAAGAGTATGAATCCTTGCAGTCACGAAAGCTTCAAATCTAGAATTACTGAATGCAATGCAGGAGATTTTAACAATAATAGGGTATTTTAAGAAAATGAATTTAGTTTAAAAATCTCCAGGAATAGCTTCAGTCAGAGTTGGTAACCACATTCACAGGAGATCAATACAAAATATTCAATAAGAAATTTTCCAAATGTCCCAAGCCAAATGCAGTAGAATGGACCTTACTGATAAATACTTTGGGAATAATGAGGATCGTGAAGCCTATGACCAGATCACCTGTCAGATCTTAAAAGCTAAGCAGGCTTAAGCCTGGATTGAGTCTGGATGGGTGACCAACATCCCCAACAGGTTTCTCGAGGCTGCTGCAGGGCTACGTAGTGGGCAGCAGAGGGCAGTGCAATAACATTCATTGTTGTACTGTACTGTTCTGTGCTCCATAGCTTCACTAATCCGCACTGACCAGCATGGTGCAGTGTGGTCAAATAAACCCCCACAGCCTGCACAGCAAGAGGAGACCCCACCCAGCCGTGGACCAACCAAGGGCTCGATGTCAGCATATTCATGAGACAGAAGAGACGTTGTACAAAAGAGTCGGATTATACACGGGGTAAAAAAAAAATTACTCCTAAGAACCTTTAGAGGGGAGACTTGATTAGTCATCACATAGTATGTGATTAAGACATTATTAAAAAATAATAGAAACACACGTCGACTGTTGTACGTTGTAAGTAAAAGATGTAACACATGGTATATGTCCATTTACGTAAAAATTATGTAAAAATCCGAGACTAATGTTTTGAGACGTCAACCGAGGGGGTCTGTCGTACGTGCAGACAGCAAAGCGGATTACCAATTTAGATAGCAGGAACAGCAGGAGGGAGAAGGAGCAAACTATAATCACGGTCTGATTGGCAGGCAGCTGAGAGAGGGGGGAGGTTTTGGAAAGTGAGAGAGACGGAAATAGTGTGTGGGCTTGAGAATAGAGAGGGCAGCAGGAGCTATGAGAGATTTCAGAAAATAATGAGATTATACAGCACTGTAATTGAGACTTCATTCCACGAATGAGGTATTTCACGTCCGTGTAAACATTGTATTCACCATTGCGTAGGCTTTCGCGGTTGTGCTGCGTAACTGTCCGAAGGGCTTTTGAGTTGTACGGGCGGCAACGACGCAAAACACACACGAGGCAGAGGCACAGCCAGTTGGGTCAGATAAAACATTTTCAAACGACCGGTCCCATTTCTTTGATGACAATTTTCCATTTTTGGCGAAGCGTTCATCCAGAATTGGATAGATCACGGCTGATGATGATACTACGACGATGAGTGATACCATGTTTCAGGTGAACGTGTGGTTAAATGACCCCAATAATTGTGAAACGTCTGCATTGATTCGATAAAAACTGTGACCGTTACAAAACTGGCACTGATTAAAAGCAGAGGGGGTCAATCAGTCCAATTTGAATATGAACAGAAACTACAGCAGACATGAAGGGTTCTTGCAACAAATCTTAGGGTAAAATTTGAACTAATATGAAAAACAACGCTTGTTAGTCAAAACCTGTAACAAAAATGTCCCGGAATGTTTCCGATCTAAATCATATCTCGGAAGCTAAGCAGGCTTGAGCCGGGATATTGCTTGGATGAGTGACTGCCACCTTGTGCAAAGCAGAGGTGCAATGGGCCTTGCGGGCAGCAGAGGGCAGTGCAGAAAATCCATTGTAGTTATGCCCTCCCCCACCTTCACCAAGTGGCATTGGACCAGTGTGGTGAAGTATGGTAAAAAAAAAGCCTCATTACATTGGGACACCCTCATCCAGTAGTGGATTAACAAAAAAACACATGTGCTGTACATGTACAGGTTGGACAAAACTCTCTCCTCCCAACCGCTGTCCCACCACTCTCCACCGCTCGGTAAAGGTCGCCAAAGGATACGGTCATTCCCAGGAAATAGAGGCTTTCCGGTGATCATCTCCGCCATGATGCATCCCACCGACCAGATGTCCACTGCAGAGCACAGGGGATAGGCTCAACACAGCACACGCCGCAAGACGCTTCGACCAAATCACCCGGCACGTGGTGCCCGGCGACGTTCCATCTCCAGCGCTCAGCAGAGAGAGCCCCATATGAAGCTCGGATGAACGAGCACCATGCACAGCAAGTCGCAGGCGGTGGCGAGGTGTTAACTGCCTTGCCTGGTTTATAGGAAGTCGTGGGTTCGATCCCAGTCCTGACGCCCGTATATTTGGAGTTTGCGTGTTCTTACCGTGGTCGCGTGGATTTTTCTCCGGCTCCTCCAGTTTTCCCTCCACATTTAGAATTAACATACGTTTCGAGTATTTGGCTGCTATAAATTTCCACTTGATAAGCCACTTCGTTGACCTATCATTTGTGGGCAGGTCGCTTCTGAAAAAGAGCTATATATTTTGATGTAAAGCTTTCGTGACTGCAGGGATTCATATTCTTGGTTTTTTCGGTAAAGTGACGTAAAAGGGAAATAATAAAATAATAAAAATAACAATTTTTAATTCTCACGACGTTTCGATTGCAACACAAGCAATCATCATCAAATTTTATTGCTGTGGTTTTCACACCTGATGATGATTGCTTGTGTTGCAATCGAAACGTGGTGAGAATTTGATAGTTACAAAATTTTTTTTATTTTATTATTTCCCTTCTACGTGACTTTACCGAAAGAACCAAGAATAATAGCTATATAGTCCAGTGGGCCTTACCTGGTAAAATAAAAAATAGTTTAATCGTAGTTTATAGGTTGTGGTCATACGTGGTTCAAGTTCAAGTTAATTTATTAATTATAGCCCTGTGAGTCATTCGGCTCTTGAATCGGGTGCAACCGCAACAAACAAAAAACAAAAACATGAACAAAAAAAACCATCTTAAAGTGAAAATGTGACTAAGTGCAAACAGAAAATCCAAGAAAAGACAGCAAAATATTGCAGAAAAAAATCACCGTACACCAACGCTGTGTGCAATAATCCCAGTGGGATGCAAGTCAAACAACCAACAACAACCACAAGACAACTTAGATTAAGGCCATCAGTCTAACTCTGTACTACAACAAACAAACATGGCTAAACCAATACACTTTTCGAAATCACCAAAATAAAGCCATGAAAGCAATGAAACAGTGATCATAGGAACTGTGACGGAATTTTCACAATAAATGGCAATAAGTGGTGGGCAGCAGAGGAAGATAAAATCAATTTCTGCACTGTACTTCTATGTGCTACACACCTTCACCAACCCACGGTGAGCCAGTGTGGGTGAAGTAAGGCCAAACAACTCCCACGTCAGCGCGGAGTGGAAGCAAGGCTCGGGATCGACAAAGGGCTGTTCATTTACACGACACTGCAATTAATCTGGCTTTTGCGATCCAGGTCTCAAGAGGCAGGCGTCGCAAGGCACTCAACAGAGTTTGAAGCCGGGACACAAGTGGCATCGGTGGGATGCGGGGAGAGCGGCCCACAATTCATTTGACGGTTTAGCCGAGCTTGGGCGTGAAACAATCTCAAAAGGTGTGGTGGTGCAGCGACGCATTTAATGAGCGTGGACAATGCGCGTGTGCGTGAGTGGTGCAGTGAGAGCCATGGGAATTGGCAGAGGGGGAGTTGCATCCATGATACAGTTCGGTAACCATAATGATTAAAAATTAATAGTGTCATCCTATTAAAATAAAAACATTAATTCGGTTAGTGGAGGAAAATGTGCGGATTTTTGCATTTCAGTATTTTCGTACCTAGCTACAAATTCACCGATATACATGCACACAGATTTGGCTGTTTTATTAATAAAGCATGTGGCCTTGTTGTCTGTGTTATTGATATATAAGTGGTTGATTTGCTAGATGTATTTTAATATGTATGTATTCTTGCCCAGATAACTCTTCCTAAACTGTTGCACCAATTTCAGCGAATCAGGTATACCGATTGGAAAGCCGATGACATTTCGTTTATGCAAACGAGACTGAAATTGAGAAAATTGTTTTACCTATGGCCCGGTAATTTCATCTTATTGACCCTTGGTGCTGTTGATCTTATCTACGATTTAAAATAGCCTGGCAAATCATGCAAGCCTCACAACCGCGTTTCAAAATCATACCACAGATGTGAGATATTGGAAAGAGCTGTGTGCAGGGCCGGGGGGAGACATCCAATCACATCAGGCTAACACACAAACTGGTGGGTGGTGAGGGTCACGTGGTGGGTGGCGAGGGTCACACAGTGGATGACTAGGGTCACGTGCTGTGTGGTGAAGGTCACGTGGTGGGTGGTGAGGGTCACGTGGTGGGTGGTGAGGGTCGCGTGCTGTGTGGTGAGGGTCACGTGGTGGGTGGTGAGGGTCACGTGGTGGGTGGTGAGGGTCGCGTGGTGGGTGGTGAGGGTCACGTGGTGGGTGGTGAGGGTCGCGTGCTGTGTGGTGAGGGTCACGTGGTGGGTGGTGAGGGTCACGTGGTGTGTGGAGGGTCACGTGGTGGGTGGTGAGGTTCACATAAATGAGGGTGAGATGAGGGCTATGTGAGCGTCATGTCAAGTCCATCATCTGGGCTATCCACTCGTTATAATTCAACCTACCAGGGAACGACAGCGACACAAGAGACATTCCCTGTGTATTTTCCCATACCTATGCTATTGTTTTACTTGTTTGCCAAGGAAAGCCTCACTGAGGCTCAGTAGGGGGCGAAGTTGCTACGTGTAATCCCAATGGAGTCATTTGCAGGGCAGTGGAGGAAGGGTTCGGCATTGAACTGTTTGGTCAATGCCAATCACATGGTATGGTTTTTTCAACTTTGGGGGAAATTGGAAACCCATGCAGAAGAGGGGAAGGCATACAAACTCTACACAGAACGACACACGATCAGGGAATTGAACCCTGACACTTCTTGCAGTGAGGCACAAGTGATAACACTGGACCACCATTACGCCTTACACAAATGCTATAAATGCCGCCAACATGATGGATGTGCCCGGTCCCAGATGTTGAGTGGTTGCGAGTGGTTGCGAGTGGTTGCGAGTGGTTGCGAGTGGTTGCGAGTGGTTGCGAGTGGTTGCGAGTGGTTGCGAGTGGTTGCGAGTGGTTGCGGAGTGTCCCCCGCTAACCCTACCGGTTTGCGTGTAGTGCATCCAGTTGAGGATGACCTCGGGCGCGCGGTACCAGCGTGTCACCACGTAGCCCGTCATCTCCTGGTCGGCGTGGCGAGCCAGCCCGAAGTCCAGGATCTGAGACGGGTGCAACAACGATGACAACAAACAGCAGCTGTCGTTTACCACCAAGTGTCGGTGATGTCGCCACGAAGCCCGAGCGAGGCTCGGTGCACTTTGAGGAGCATGCTCATGTAGTGAGACAAATGTCCCCCGTATAGCCTCAACAGACTGTTGGGGCAAGTGCTGATAAGCGAGCACCTCTGAAGGCCGGCACGGCACACAAGAGGGTGGGTGGCCAGCACCACGCCTGGTCACCATCTTCTCCCTAGTGGCAATATTTACACACCGCACCGGGAACTCATTTGAGGCTGAGTAGACCTAGGGGAGGCCCAGAACCGATTAGATAATTGTCACTGGTGTTGGCCGTGAGTGGGAATCCAACTTGGGTAGCTGGGTTCGTAGCGCAGCGTGCTAACCGCTACCCTGCCACTCCACACACACATTAATTACTGTACAGGGCTTGATGTAGCCAGCAGTCTCTACAATGAACTCGCAAGAACCAACAAAACCGCATTATTTCTGCCTGCAAGACACATGGATGAGTGGAACCTGCAGTGCATCGTGGGTTTTTCCTAAAACAGTGAAACTCTGCCACATGTAACGGCGGTGTGATACTGACACCCCATGCCCAGTGATGATGGTGACGCACTTCCCCAGGCACACTTATCTTTAGGGTCAGTGGACCAATTGGAGACTAAAAACCAAATAACATTCAGGGTTCTGGATTGGTACTCAGATATCTGGCATTCGTGTGTGTTTGTAGCACGCTGAACTACGAACCCGGTAGGCCGAGTGTGGTTCCTAGTCCTGATTAACAGGAATGTTGAGTGATATCCGAAACAGTCCTGGACCTCCCCTAGATCGACTCAACCATTAATGAGCACTGGGGAGACAAAGGTGTCCGGGGATGATGCAAGCCACACTTCCTCCTCTTGCACCATTCCAGCCTTAACAGATGTTCTCCAATAGCACTTGCCCCAACAGCCTATGCAGGCCGTATGGGAGAAATGTCTTTCAAGCAATTGCCAAATATGAAATAACAAAGCGAACTCTAAAATTAGTCAATGATCAACGGCAAGAAGAAAGGAGAATGTTTGCCAACTTGCATTACCAAAACTGTGATTATGTTAAAAGTATGTAAATGACCAAGTTTACCGCTTAAAATGTTAAGTCTTGGCCATAAAGTGTCACGGTACCTTGAGCTCACAGTCTTCATTTACAGCGAGATTCCCCGGTTTGAGATCCTAGGGTTACACACAGCGAGACACGGTGCAGGAAGGCAAATTTGTAATTATTTCCCACCGACATATTTTGATGACGTAGCTAAACCACGCCAACAGCAACCTGAGCGTCCGTTCGGCAATTCATAAATGCAGCATTCGTTCACTACTTCATAGGTCAAGTTTCAAAGTGGGCCAAATTTTGGACCCTGACGCCAGAACACAATGTCCAACTAATGTAAGTGAAATTACAGCAGCCCTGTAGCATTGTGGCGGTGGGGGAGGTGAGAGAAGCCATGCACCGCTTCGGCAGGACATCCCTGCCCATGTCGGCGGAAAATCACTTGTTTAATTCATATTTAAGACTGAAGAAACGGGAAGACTTCTTCACAATTCTGGCTAATCGCCTGATGAAGATGGTTGTAATCACCATAGAAACGTCATACTCAAATTGTAAATGTTCTGGGTTTACTCTCCAACACACCGGTGTGCTGATGTAGTAACTAATTGGCACGTTTTGTTTACGTGAGAAACCTCATTCATTGGCCGTGTCGGGTGGTGGCAGATTTAACGACACATTTATATTTACACGATCTAACCCCCCAAAAAAACGTTGTTCTGGATAATATTGGTCGCGAAAACCTACGTGTTAAACAAATCACTTTAACACTATGAGACCTCCTTTAGCAGTGGCAAAATATGGTGATAGGTTTTTACCCTTTCAACTTTTGGCGTCATCTGGTCCAACACCAATGGAGACGAGGCTCTAAGAAAAGCTGTCTGGGGTGTGGACCAATCAACTTCAAGGACAGTGCATATCATTATCATTATCAGAGTTGTTTCTTTTTGTTTGCATTTTGACTGCTTGTGTTGTGGTTATTGCAAACATGGTGCCTTGTATAAAGGTGTCAGTTTTTGTACCAGTTGAAAGGGTAAAAACCTATCACTAAATCGCTTTAACTTTGACGATCAATTTGGACTCGCCCAGAAGGCATCGTCGTTTTTTATGTAACATCATCAGATTCCCATGGATTCAGCACCAAGTTGTTTTTTACGTGAACTCATTTCCACATACAAGCGGCAGTTTGTATGCGCTACTTACCCGATGGATGATGCCAGAAGAATGAATGTACTGTATGTAAAAAACAAAACAGAAAATACGTGATGTATCAATAAAAAAAAACCATACATTTAGATACACTCTGCAGCAAGTTTACAGTACTGTATATTTATACTAATTATATGGTAAGAAATGTGCACATTGTGTATGCTTGTTTCATTAATCTTTTCATGAATGATGCACTAAAAAAATATCACATGGTACATTTGTAAGTCACCTATGGATGTTTATTATTAAATACCAAAAGCATTCACAAAGTTACGTCTGATTTGTTAGTTATTAATGTACACGGGACATCAAAAAAGCAAGCCACGGTCACTCCTATTTACAGTGAACTCCCTATTACCTGTGAGCAGATGATTCTTTGCTACAGATTAACTGTGCTTGTGAACAAAAAACATCTTTGATTCATGATTGATGTTTGGGTTAGGCCACATCATGATCTGACCAAACATCTCCAATCAAGAACCCATCCACCACCCACCACCCAGTCCAGCCAAACGAATTCAATTGTCACGTGGTGTGCAAGCATTTGACAACACGCCAAATAATTATCGTTCCAGCTCACTAACCCAATGACGAGTTCCAAAAGTATATCATTGCTAACTTTGGACGTAAGAATGCCGTGTTGTTAAACGCTTGTTGCACGCGACTTTTATTTATTTGGCCACGTCGGGTGCTGGAGGGGTCTTAACAACACAAATTTGGTTAGATCGCTCTGTGGCCTTACCCAAACATCTATCGTGAATCACAAGACTGGCTGCGAAAACCGAGTACGTGTTAAAAAAAACACATATCTAAGCGCACGCCGGTTTAATTACGAGTTGTCTCCCAATCGTTGTCCGAGAACCAGTGACTCTGCGTCGACGGGACTGTGAACGCGTTAGCAAGGGAGCGTTTACTTTAACGAACAGTAAACGTATATTACACATCCTGCCTTCAACCCCCCATCATGCCAGGTAGGTAAACAATAAGTACGTTTGTATTGCCTAATGTGGATATGATTTGTTGATATCCACGTTTCCGTTTAATAACGGGCACCCCCACCTCCCCCACGCATTATCCTGGATAATTGAGAGTTGACTCGATTTTTAAAACAAGGGGGAAAAAAATCTTTCATACACTTTACCTGACAGGTATTTATCCAAATGATGTAATTCGCAATAACAATGATTATCAATAATAATGATCAATAATGATAATAATGGCAGAGTTCGTGCCAGGTGCTCAGGAAGCGGCACAGAATCTGTAGGCCGTGATTTATTGTCCATCCTCGGCAACTCCGATTAGCACGTTTGGCTACGTACGGTGCAAAAGAAGTTTAAAGTACATACAACGGGGGGCTCCGGTAACGGCTCTGCCAGGGAGGGCACGGGCCACGCTTTGCTCAATGTGGCCAGTTGTGTTCAGTGTCAGTCCATAATAGGAACACAGCCGTTCACCACAGTTGGGTTCATATTCAATCATCCTCATGAGAGTTATTGTACTCCCCCCTATTCAATTACAGACAGAGGCGCGGACAGACGGACGGAAGGTCGGACGGATGGCGCTAATGCGCCGACGCTTTCAACCTTCGTTTGGAAAGCGATTAAAAGAATTCCGGATTAAAAATCTAAAGGTTCCCATCTACCTTGGACACATTAAAGGTCCCGTGGCGGCCGGTGCTAATAGAAACAGTTATAACCTCACAGTGTTCCTCCTAAAAGCCGATCATAAATTAATCATGGGATCTCTGACCTGGCCCATTTTATGTGATATGACTAATTCATGCAATAGACGGCCGCTGCTTTGTAGAGGGGTTAGCATTGTCTATAAATGAGATGCAAGCACCTTACATCTATTATGCAGCATAACTATGTATTGCAAATGCAGTCATAAATTATGAAGCCAGGTCATTTTGGATAGCTGTGTAATTGGCCTTTCTGGCAAATAACTAAGGTGCGTGTGATACAGACAATCCCTTGACAGGAAATTCCTTAATATTCAAAGGCTGGCCCTTTTGTAAATGCACTGTTTGAATGTATGTAGCTGATAAACATTTATTTATGCTCGTCTCCATGGGGTTTCAACTCAGATGACCTGGGAAGTGTTGAAACATGTACAGTTTTTTTTTGGTATTTTATCAGTAAAGAAAAAGTGAAAGCGATAAACCTCGCGGCTTCGACTCTCAGGAATACCCTACCAGTCAATTATAACAAAAGCAAATCACTCGAGGACCCTTGTAACACCAGCAATGCTATCTGTGCTAAAAGTAGCATTTGCTAATTATCACCAATTGAACGCTAGTTACACAAGTTTAATTAATATCTAATGAACGATCACCGATCTGTGAAATTCACAGGTTTCAAAGAGCTGCTATCCCAATTAAAAAGGCTGGAGGGAACCTAATGTATCGCAAACATTTTCCAGACGAAAGCAAATAACCAAAGCCAGACGATTGATATCCCCTGGCGGGTGATTGTGTGTGGGCATGAGACGTTGTCAAACACTCACAAAGGCTGCCCCGTTGCCTAGCAAGGGAGTCTGCCGGTGAAGGTGTTCTATTGACATTTCAGTTTCAATCCGAACGTGCCTGCTCGGGGAAAACACTTCAAATCCCTTGCAGTGCCAGGCGATTGCTCACTATGCAGTTCCGTCCCTCGGCTTTTGTTCTCGATGTGGCAGTTCGACATTGCACGAATGTCGACTTGGCAACCCCGCCGCTCCTACCGGGCAGAGAAGCACTCTAATGTTTGCAGGGGCAGGTGGCAGCGCGGCCGGAATGTTGCTGCCAAGTTCACACTGGTGCGATAACTTTGGCTCTTTGAAAAAGTTCACGAGTGTTTTCATGACCTTTCGAGTGCTGGATGGTAGCCATCTCTTTGGGCAGTCCTACGCCAGGGGCGTAATATCCTAATTTGTGTGTTACGGGACAAGCTTCTCGTACGACAACCATCGTCGAATTTCGATTTAAAGCTTTCGTGACTGCAGGGATTCATCTTCTTGGTTCTTTCGGCAAAGTCACGTAGAAGGGAAATAATAAAATAATAAATAATATTCTTTTATTATGTTTTATTTGTATTATTTTAACCATCGTCAACTTCCCACCAAAGTGATCCAGCCTCATAAGGTGGCGTTTCTTGTAACTGTACTACTGACACCCAGGGTAAAGATAAAGGTGCAGCAACTGAAATTACTTGCTTACGTCACTACTGGCCAAAGGGGCCTCCGCTGGAGGGAGCTCTCTAGAGCACACCTCTAGATGGTATTTGGCCTACTCTTCCACAATGGCCAGACGTCTGGAGAAGGTTGACCCCAACACAAGCACCCTGAACCCATTTACACTGCTGGGTCGACAGTGGTGAGGGGATTTTACGAAAAATTGCAACCTTTGTTTCAACTGCCCCGACAGGAGATCGAAGTCCAGAGTACAAACCATTGCACCACGGCAGAATTCCCGACACCCAGGGGAATTACAACCATTTGAACTGATACTCTCAGGTTTTTTTTCGGTAAAGTCACGTAGGCAAAAATAAATAATACAAATAAATAATAAAAGGATATAAATAATAATAGAAATAAAATAATAAATCACGACGTTGCGGGTGCAACACAAGCATCCGTCATCAGGTGGGACAACCACAGCAAGAAACAATTGCTGAAGTTGGCAAAAGAGCTGCTGTAACATTTGAACTGAACCCACAATTCCGGGACTATGGCCCCATTGCCAGCTGCTTTGCTCATGGAGCCATCTCGTTGGCTTTAATAGCACGCCACTTAATCTGGTTGGCTGCGGTGAATCAACCATTCATTCACAATGTGGCTGTCAGGTCAGGGGGGATTTGTGGTGTGCGTTGTCTCACCTTAAGTCCCTTGAGAATCTGATAGATCAGGTACTGAACCTTGTCCTCCGACTGCTTCCCATGCTTCATGATCTTGCTCAGATCCGTTCCCATGAAGGGCATGACCAGGTAGCTGTGGGAAGCATTCGTTTACAATGAGTTGTCGTTAATGCATTGCAGTCTTGGCTCTTGAGACACCAGTCCTTGGCCAGGAGGCCGGCGTTAGTCCTTCACCTTTGGCATCGGGACTGTTGCCACAGTCCAGGGCTTGCCTTAGAAGCCCTGACTTTGATGCTGTCGTCAACCTAGAGCAGCGTTCTTCAATGCACGGCCGGCAAGCCACTGGCGGCCCCTGGTGGCCTTTCGTGTGGCCCCCGACAATACACAAATGTGAAAACACCCCCATTGTGCTGTCAAACCCGGTGGCTTCAAATGTGTGGTGGCCCTCACACCAAAAGTGCTCCCCTCTGAAAATTAGTAAAGAACACTAGCCTAGAGGATCTGTCCTTGACTGGCCTCAACATTGGCCTCGACCTGAAAGGCATTGGCCTCAGCTTGGCCTTGTGGCTCCAGCCTCAACCTCATGGGTCCAGGCCTTGAATTCCAGACTAATACATTTCCACATGGGTGGCATATGGGCCTTGATACTGCAACGCCTCAGCCGGTGACGTGGCCTAACGGTAAAGCATTTGCCGCTGGTTGCAGAGGTTTCATGAATCGACTCCAGCGGCCGCTATAATTAATACTGCGGATGTTTTTTGTAAAAATACCTAGTGTCTGTTTCACAGCGGGCGTTAAAGACCCTGTGGCATATTTTGCAAGAGTAGGCCATTGCGTGCTTGCCTATGGGTCCAAATGTGACAACATAAAAAAAATTCCCCGCAAATTACTCAATTGTGTGTCCCCCCCTACTGGAAGATCACTGAGCTTGGCCAATTGTCAGCACCGGTTTCTGGCTGTCATCCCTCTTATTTAGTGTCCTGCCCAAACAAAAAACAAACTAGATTTTATACATTGCCATTAACAGACCTTTACATAAAATAACCCAGCCCTTGTACAAATAAAACTGAAAAGGACAAAAACAATCCAAAAGGCACATAACCTTACACAGACAGGTAAATGAGATAAATGAATGGCCCCCTCACGTTAGCGACCATTCTGATGTTATTATTTCAAGGTCATTGCATTTGCTTGAGTCGTAAAAAAGCACAGTACAATTGAATGTATTGCTGCGGTCTTAATTTGTGTGGAGCACTGACAGAATGGTTAGCATTAGCGACCCAGGTAATATTCGTGCCTATGCTTATCAGTGACAAGTGATATTAAGCAATGGCCTGGATCTCCGCCACGGTAAACTGATTACATAACATCTTTGAGCCGTCACTTGTCCTTGGGCACCACGGTGGCAAGATGTTAACTACCTCGCCTGGTGGCTGTGGGTTTGATCTCGACCGTGACACCTGTATATTTGGAGTTTGCATGTTCTCCCGTGGTCGCGTGGATTTTTCTCCGGGTCCTCCGGCTTTAGTACAAAAATTAGTAACAGTCTATACAACCAATAATCGCTATGCTTTATATTATATTGATTGTTTGTTTACGGTACCATTGTTTCCACTAAAGTGGCTGGTAAGGCTGCTGTAGACAAGAAGAAATTAGGGGGGAAACCATGGATTCTGCAACAAGCGTTTGTTCTCGTAAGTATTTAATTCGCAGTATGGAAGCTGATGGGTAGCTGTCATTTGGTTTGTGTTTCTCTGTTTCTGAGCAACTCTTTGATAAATTTTGCCAGTTTTCAATAGGGTGAGTCCCTATTAACAACGCAACAATGCACTAAACCCTCACTCATATTGGATCATGTTCACAAGTTATAGTGCCCACCCCCCGCCGCCATTACAAACAGACGGAGAGACCTCATGCAAAATTACTGCAACCGGAGCTTATGAAGACAACCTTATAATCATTTTGCAGTGTGCACAAAAGGGCGATGATGATGTACGGGAGTGTGTTTATTCATGCTGCACTTTGATTTTCTTTGCGTTGCTGCATGAACGCTCTCATTTGCTAAATATTCGGTCTTCGAGTCCACAGGGGGCCTTGCGTGGAATTTGAGGTCACATTCCACAAATTCTGCCGGAGGGAATCTTCTGGTAATAACAGTGAGCACAAGGCTCGTCTATTAAAGTATTCTTTTATGACTTCTGCACACAAAAAATGTTCGTACGCACTCATTGTGTCAATGAGTAGCGTGCCACATGCTGTGTACAATTAAGATAACAGTGAAGAAGTTTATATACCTCCAGGATTGCTTTATCAGTAGCGATACATCTTCTCAATAAAACAAGTTATACACTCTACTGGCTCACACGTATAAAGTTACAGCTCGATTTGAAGCTTTCGTGACTGCAGGAATCCATACTCTTTGGTTCTTTCGGTAAAGTCACGTCGGTAGATAAAATAAAATAAATCACGACGTTTCGGGCGCAACACAAGCGTCCGTCATCAGGTCGTGATTTATTTTATTTTAATCCTATGTGACTTTACCGAATAAACCAAATAATAAGTTACAGCTTAATACTGGGTTGGGAAGCTATGGCTGGGTGGGGCTCAGATGTTAGGATCACAGCTGGCATCGCTGTGATCCTGTGTTGATATTGGAGCAGCAGGCCGTGATTAAACTGGCTTCTCAAGTGTAGTGATCAATGTTTTGTACTCTGCACATCTCTGAGAATTATTTCGGTTTGACTGTCATGCTCAACGATCACAAACATCACTCATGTGGACGAGTGGGTGGGAAAGTGCTTTCCTCTACTGTGTGGACCAGGTCACTCAAAGGGATTTCAGAGGTAGCTCTGTGACAACCACTTCTGTGGGCCGTTCTCTGACACGAAAGGTTTGCACTGCTCTGAGAGAGGGCTGAAAGGATTTTTTTTTTCATGACGTGATGCAGACGGCACATTTGGAATAAAATTGTGGGGGGAAAAATGTGTGTAAAAAAAAGCAAGAGTGAAAAATTTCTGTATTACAGAGCCCTGTGACCTTCAGGCCAAATGCGCTTCAGAAGTGTAAATTATTATTATAACCATTGTTAATAATTTAAAAAACATGGGCCAAACACAGTCTAACCTTCGACATCAAAAAGTCTCCCACGTATCGAGAAACTGGATAATTAATAACATTGTAATGCAACACATGTTGGTCTACATTGAAAGGTGTTCTCTCCCAGATGTGTAAAGTGCAGAGCCTGAGCACTACAACTGCCCATCACCTTTTGAAAAATCGGCAGGAGTGTATGCACTTCTGCAATTTATACTTATCTCCATATATGTAGAAAGCAAAGTTGTGATTATGTGTCTGTTCACCATGTTTAGCGTACTTCCCGACATGCAACAAACTTGAAAATTTCCATGTGGGTACTTTCCAGACTGTACACCATGCAAACATTATAAAAATACACTTGTTTTTTTTTTGGGGGGGGAGCTCAATAATGCATTTATGTTTTGCACGGTAAGTGCGCTGTGACGTCAAATCTATCACGTGACCCGCGCATGTGGAAGCGTAACGCATTGTAGTGTAGTGGTTAGCGCTACGCTGCGCTACGAACCCAGCGACCCGAGTTCGATTCCCGCTCACGGCCACCGCCGGTGACGATTATTTGAACCGCTCCTGGGCCTCCCCTAGGTCGACTCAGCCTCAAACAAGTAACTGCTGTGGTGTGTGAACATCGCCACTGGGGAGACAAAGGCGGCCGGGCGGGTGAATCCGGGTAGGAAAGCTAGTCCACTATATAGAGTATTTATTTACAGAGACTTGCTTGCCTTTTCTCTACTTTGCACTCCGACCGTTGTTTGTATTGTTGTTGTAACTTGCAGACCCGCCCCAACTGGACCATCTGTGAAAAAGAGCTTCACAGCTCATCGGAGTCTTCCAGGATAAATACAAGATTCCGATTCTGAATGACAGCACAGCGTTAGCCTGGTGCCTTTGTCCACGTTACCTGGAATGGCGCCCAATCTAGTCAGAAGCTAAGCGGGGATGATCCTGAATCAAGTCTGGATGGGTGACCACCATGCATGAAGACAGGCATTGTAGGGCTGCGACACTGCATTGTCAGCGGGGGACAGCGCAGAAAATCCCATTGTACCTGTGCTACGCTCCAAAGTCTATGCTTCTCGCCTTCACCAGCTCGCAATGAGAAACCCCATGGCCCACACAGCATTGGGATTCGCTCATCGACCAGTGGACTGACAAAACAACTTTACACGTACAGTACATGTTTAGAGTAAAAGGGCAGGGACTTGGGGGGCGATGGAATGTCGGGGGAGGTGAGAGACATGATGCCGGTAGGGCTGGAGGACAGCTCACACCGCGTCCGCTCTGCCGTCGATAAGACGCTTGGTTTTTGCCAGTGCCTAGAAACTTGCTTGGGGCAGAGTTGACCCCAGCCCTCCCCCACTCTTGCGCACTCCGCACACACTACCCCACTGTCCTACCACTATGCTCAAGTACAGCATGTGCCGTTGACAGGCAAACGCAAATGCCCCGGCTCGACTGACCTGTGCTTCACGTGGGATTATCGCACAGACTGTTTAGAAGTAGGATTGCGTGCTTGCGTGGGTAGAGTCATACGGAGCAGTGAATCGTATCCGTGCCCCTTTTATCGATGGAAAATCCTATAACCCACGGATTGATTATTACTGTTACCCACACTTATCCGTGGATAAGAGGAGTAGCCCAGAGTTGGTGGATAACTCTTCCCATTATCCATACTTATCCATGGATGACTCACCCAAAAGTGGTCTCCCGGAAGCGCTAAGTTCCCCCTCTTATCTGCCATTATTTGTGAATAAAAGGAGTTGCCCGAGTTGGAAGGCAAATTCATCCTATTACACCGCTTCATCTGTTGATAGCCCTGCAGATAACAGGAGTAACCGCGCACAGGTTAACCTGCAATAGCGCCTCCAACATCACATCACCATCTACGAGAGGGGTTGCGATTATTTCCATTAATATATTTTTATAGTTGCTGAGCACAGACCCCAAGGCCCAAAACCCCAAGTGTCCTGCAACTTACAGCACTAATGAAGGTGTACAACTCGGAACAATTATAACTGTGACTACACAAGGCACAATTGAAGCCGAGGGCGACACACAGTTGTCATATCTGGGATGGGGGTTACCCCTGTCGCCAACTCGCTGCACACAGTCCGAGAGAGAGAATGGAACGTTAAAGCAACACGCGGTCACCCATTCACTCCAGCCACACGCTCACTGGTGTTCACAGTCGCCCCCTTATCACGACTCATCTGTTGCTGCTCCCTACGTTATCGTTCACGTGAACTCACAGAGTAACGTCACCGTACATTACGGGGAAATTGCTGGCAATTCGGTGTCTGAAACTGGTATGTGCCTCCCTTAGGTCAACATGTCCTGAAATTATTACATGGTGTACTGGACACCGCACATGCACTTTATTAGTCTTAAATACATATATGTGTGTGTGTGTGTAGGACTTATGAACATGTAATTTTAAATATACATTGATGAGAGGTTGCATTGCACAAGTAGTGTATGGTCACAACTCACAAGTCTTGAAATTGGTCCAGTGTTTCATTCGGAGTAAACACATCCACCAGGCCTATCACCTGCAATAAAACAAAACACGAAGACAGAAGCCCCCTTTCAGCTCCACTGTTCAAGGGCAAGTGGTGTTAAGTCGGCACCGCGTGAGCAATACATTACTCATAATGGGACAACAACATTAAAACATCCTTCAGAAGATGCTCAATAGAACCGTCAAGTTAAACGTTTCTGAGAAGTTGGGTGGTGATCATTTTAATATTTGTAGCCTAATCATGACAATAATAATGGCTGGCCACGGATAACTTCAGCGGCGAGTGATTTGTGAACCGGTTCTGGGTCCCCTCTGTACCAAATGGCACTGACCAGCGTGGTGAAGTACGATCCAACATGCCCCCAAGACCGAAACACTTTGGGAGTCCTTCATTGAGCAGTTTATTGACAAAGGGCTGTAAATTGCTATCATCACACAATTATTACAACACTGTAATCAAACTCCTGGCTAGGGAACGGCAAATCTTAGTAGTAACTTTTTCTCCACATGGACCAATCGCTATCATTCATTGTTTAAAATAAAAACTTAATTCCTCCTTACAAAGCGTAATGAATAGAGTAATTTAAATATTGCCCAATATAATAACGCCCGAGGCGGCGTCTTTGCTCGGCCGATTCTGTGAACAATGCCTTTACACACTCTTTGGTTCTTTCGGTAAAGTCACGTAGGTATAAAATAAAATAAATCACGACGTTTCAGGCGCAACACAAGCATCCGTCATCAGGTGGGAAAGCATGATCTGCTGCTGAGGCAGACTGTTTTAAAAAGGTATTTTAAAAGGTATTTAAAACAGTCTTCCTCAACAGCAGACCATGCTTTCCCACCTGATGATGGACGCTTGTGTTGTGTTGTATATACCTCCGTGACTTTACCGAAAGAACCAACGAGTATGGAGGATTCCTGCAGTCACGAAAGCTTCAAATCAAGAATGCCTTTACCCACGAACGATACCTTCACCCACGCCGACGCTCTCCAGCTCAAACTCATGACCCCACGCAGCTGCCACTCACGTTCTCGTGCTTCATGTGCTTGAGCAGCCGCAGCTCGCGGTAGGCCCGCTTGGCGAACACGCGCGACTGGAAGGGCCGGTACAGCTTCTTCACGGCCACCTTGCTGCCGGCCACCAAGTCCACGGACGAACTGCGTGCGCGCAAAACGAAAGTGCGCTCTCTAAGCGGACGGAGCGCTGGGGCAAGCGAGGGCTGTTCGCAAGCGCGGTGGCGTCGCCTCGTTGGCGTGGGCCTCGGTGCGCGGTGTCCGACACGGTAAACGATGCCCGATGTTCCTCTTCTTCGGGCTACTCTGGCCCTTAGACCCAGTGCAGTTGCACCACCTGCGCACACTCGGTAAACGATGCCCGATGTTCCTCTTCTTCGGGCTACTCTGGCCCTTAGGCCCAGTGCAGTTGCACCACCTGCGCACACTCGATAAACGATGCCCGATGTTCCTCTTCTTCGGGCTACTCTGGCCCTTAGGCCCAGTGCAGTTGCACCACCTGCGCACACTCGATAGCCATGCCACTGAGCGAGGAAATATTACGGCGGATAGAGCACACACAGGGGTGGTGTAAGCAGCACAGTGGTCAGCCACATTTGTCTCCCCAATACTAGTGTTCACACGCTGCAATAGGTATTCATTAAAGACCAAGTCAATGAAAGGGAGACCCATGACAATGGTCTGATGCGACTTGTCACTTGATGTTAGCCGTAGCCAGGAATCGAACACAGGTAGCCGGATTGATAGCACAGCATGTTAACCATTGTGCCACTCCTCCCGTCAACTTACAAATGGATTTACAGGCTGCATTGTAGAGTACAAATAACGTGTCATGATTGTGTTAATCCACTGCTGCATTATAGACACGTGAAAACCCATCGAGAGTAAAAGTATTTTCTTCAAGTTTTGAGAACCTGGGTTAGAAAGTCAGATACGTGAAAAAGACAATCACAACTTGTAATGGAACTTAAAAGTTAAACAATATAGTGTATCTAAAAAGTCATACCATTGCCATCCGTGTGCTTTTACAAAATGTGCATGTAAAAGTGGACCTTAGAGACTGACACGTATGACAGCAGGTCAATATGTGCCCTTGGTGGTTCTGAGTTTGCGATTGAAAACATATTAGCCAGCAATATGGTACTACGTTTACAGCAAAAAAACAATGCTTCACTTGATGCAGCTAATTCGGCTGTGACGGTCCCACCTGATGACGGAGACTTGTGTTGCCTCCGAAACGTCGTGATTTTTATTTTTATTTTATTTTTATTTAGATGTTTTACCTACGTGACTTAACCGAAAAAACCTAAGAATATAAAAAACAATGCTGTCTGTCCATTACTGATTTTGTGAGTTAAGTGTCTGGGCTCTTCATTGGTCAAACTGCTCCACAGTAAATATTTTGAAAAAATGAAGATTACGACACAAACCGCACAATGTAATACATACGATAGATGTTTAACAACTGTACTCTAGTGCAAGTCACGTGCTACAAAGGTCAACATAGATGGCTAGAAAACAGCACAGTGCCACTTGCACTGTGCTGTATACGTGCAAAGGCCTGGTGCTACAGACTAAACCACTCATAACACGGTCTACTTATGTACAATAATAGCTTTGTTCACACAATGCCCTACACATCGGCTGCACATATTGGAATGTGTAGATGCTTTCAATGGAAAACGTTCCATTGGCTCTACAAGGCTTTTCCAAACTCCAGTCATCATGACCCACGTGGAGGATACATTTTTCATGCTTACTAATTCATTTCCCCGTTCAAATACTATACGTCCTGCTGTGATCACACAGTGTGATATAAAATTGCGGGCTCTATGCATGCACGTAACCACAGTGAGAAAGTTTCCAATCATCAATCACTCACAAACCTATTCTACCTACGACATGTGCAAAGAAGGAGGGGGTAATTCACGCTTGGAATTAAACTGCGAGACAGAAAGCGGAAGAAAAAGATAGCAAACACACGTTCATGACATCATTCCTAACTTAAGCAAAGCGGACACATCGAGATGACGGTCGGTTTTTTGGTATCCTCGCAGCATTGAACAATGACGGTCACTGCATCGCGCGCTTTCAGATGCGCCTCTGCGGCCGTCTGGAACGTTCTTACTACCGATTTTAAGAAGCCACTGGGGTCTATGCACTTTAAAAATAGATTGAAAACTCACTTCTTTCGAACTGCTTTGTGTGTTCAGTTTGTTGTCCTTACACCCCGTACCTCCAATTACCACGGTTGGCTAGGTACGGTGCGAAAGAAGTTCAACATACATACACGTACAATAATGATGAAGTAGTGGCAACCGAGGGACGGAACGTGCTTGAGATTACGTCCACCAAGCATGATGGGGCTAGGAGATCAGCCTCATGTGCAGGTGCTAGGCAGATGATGACACATCATAGAAGGCCTTCGCAAGCTGCCGCCATCTCTCATGATCCTGCCATCCACACCAAAACCCTAACCATCCGATTTCATCGCTCCATCTTCTCGGTGGATATCCTCTGACTCGTGAGTTTTAATTACAGAAATTTATAAACGGCCGTTTAATCCACAATACTATCCGTGTAACCCCAGTGGGGGAGGCATTCGTGCAGCGGTGGAATGACCATTGCTGATGTTTGAAACACGGTTTTGATTATTTTGGCACGCCACATCCATCTTGCCTCATTTTGTCCGAATTATATTTATTGCGATCTCAAAGGACAATAGGAACACGGGGGGACATTCTTATAAAATTGCCGGGGATATGCACACCTTGTACGCTAGTGGTAGTGCCTTGTGCGCTAGTGGTAGTGCCTTGTGCCAATATTCCCTATTCCGGGCCGGCCGAGAAGCATTCCGGATAATGTTGAATGAAAAATGAAGGTCTGTTGATTCACAACTACCGAAACTAGACATGGCTCACTCGATGTTTGTGATTTAAACATGAATGTACACTAAACTATTAGAAGAACAAAAACCTTGACGTTTTCCCTCCGTTCGATATTTTTCAGTCGTTTGAACTTAACTATTTTCAGGAAAGAGCAAAGTAAATATTCTAAATCAATGTTTATTATTGAAGAAAATAATTAATAATTCGCATATAAATAGCAAAAAAAATCTGCTCATGCTGTCGCTGAAGAGTCACCATACATCATTTTCCAGGACGTATCACAAAAAGAGATGACTCATCATTTTATCGACATAGAATGACACAATGCTGTTTTTCAAGGGTCAACACTTAAGTGTAATTTCCAAAATAAATGGATAAATGGAATGATTCATAACAATATTATATTGACATATACAAAGGCACAAGCCTGTTGTTGCATTAACCCTCAAACAAGAACAAGCCTGTGTCTCCTTTCCACAATCTGAACTCTAAACCTCGCTATAGAATACACACATGTCAACAACGTAAAGACAGTCCAGTTTGTATCTGTACCAGTGCTTTAAAAAAAAGTTGTGGCGGTAAAAACTCAACATGGAAAGCAAAACACAGGTGAACATTAAAACATCGATTATCGGAACAAAATCAATCGCTGCTACCGATGCATAAATGTTCTTTGCCCATCCACACCTAGCATCAATGTTTTGATGTATAGGAGTCCTTGCCTATTAACATATGGCAGGTCACCTGCATTGGTTATCGCAAGCTCGACTGCTGCTGATGAAACAATGAATGTCAAAACAGGTCCGCACACAGCTTGCTTGTACTGCCGTGTCTTGAAGCACTGCCGCGTATTGAAGCACTGCCCTGCTGCCTCGTCAGTGTGTGCTGCTGGTAGTCAGTGTGTGCTGCTGCCTAGTCAGTGTGTGCTGCTGCCTAGTCAGTGTGTGCTGCTGCCTAGTCGGTGCTCGCTCACCACACAGTCCCGTAGGCTCCCGAGCCGACAGTGAAGAGTTGGCTGTATCTCTTGGGCACCTCCCACACCATCTTGTTGATCTCGATGCGGTAGAAGCCCCTGCGGGACGACGCTTGCGCCATCTCTCACGGCCCAGATGGGTCACCCTGTACCTGCAGGCGCAGGTAGGATGATGGTGGTGGTGATGATGATGGTGAGAAGACGAAAGACACCCTCCTGCGTCGACGGTGTTTACAGGAGCGGCGGTGGCGCAGTGGTAATCGCGCTGGGTAAACACGAGCAGGGTGGACGTGTGGGGTGAGTTGTATGAGTGGGTGGGGTGGACGTGTGGATGAGTGGGTGGGTGGACGTGTGGGTGAGTGGGTGGGGTGTACGTGTGGATGAGTGGATGAGTGGGTGGGGTGGACGTGTGGGGTGAGTGGATGAGTGGGTGGGGGGTGGACGTGGGGTGAGTGGATGAGTGGGTGGGGTGGACGAGTGGGGTGAGTGGATGAGTGAATAAAGTGGACGAGTGAGTGAGTGTACAAGGTGGTCGTGTATCTTTAGGTGCAATGGTTGGAGGAACACTTCACGCCCTGCCCGCACCCTACCGCATGTGCTTAAATTATTCAACAGGTGAAGACGTCATGGAACAGCCAATGGAAGAGAGACACAGGTGGGTGGTGGTGACGGTGTGTGGCTCTGTACCTGTGTGGATATCGGTGGGGGGGAGTGGTGGCGCAGTGCTTAGCGCGCTGAGCTACGAATCCGGCGACCGGCGAGTTCAACTCCCTGACGACGATCTGAACCGGTCCTGGGTCTCCCCACAGGTCGACTCGGCCTCAAATGAGAGTAGATTTGGTGGTGGTGGTCGAGTACGTGGTGCGGATGTGTAAATGTCACCACGAGGCAGGCGGGCGTGGTGCCCTGCTTCCATCGGTACCCCGAAGAGCACTTGCCCCCAAAGGTCTGTTGAGGCTGAGATATTTTGTCTTTGTGTATAGGTGTGGTCGTGTGAGCTATATTTGTTGTGTGCTGTACTTACACGTCTGTGACTAATGTGGTTATAGGTTTACTTTGAGGTTTGTACGCCGTATTGATTTGTCTTCTATGCCAACGACTGTGTACATCACCGTATTTCCAATTAAAATAGGGACAACACGAGTATTAAATCACTACAAACATGTCTATTCGTTCACTGCGTTCCGAATGCATTAATTCGAGAATAATTCCCGCGTGAATGTCATGGGTATGTGAGTGTTTATATGCAATATGCGTTGGTGGAGGTGTACGGACGCATCTCTCGCAGTGAATGAACGAACGTGCGGCATCAATACCGTATTGTGTACAAACAGGAGGATGTATCCACAACTCTGGCCAGTCGCCTGATGAGGCTGGTTGCAATTACCGGCGAAACGTCACAGTAACTCGAATTACTCTCCAACACACCGGTGTGCTGGACTTGGTAACGAATTTGCCACGTTTTGTTAACGCGAAAACCCCGACAAATTGGCTGCGTCGGGTTTAACGACGCGTGTTATATTTAAATACGCAATCTAACCCAAGAACAAACCTCTTATTTACAAACACTGCCCCGAAACCGTTCCGCTCTTACCGTAAATACGTGTTCGCTTACCCCGTGCCGTTAGCCGCGGCTGTTCGGACGAGTGGAATAATTTGGCAAATAACGAAATTCCTCTTTCGCTTTTACTCCAAACTTAGACCACAGGGGGAGGGGGGGGGGGCGCTGGATTTCCCGACACTGTTTAAATATACTTCTGCATTTGTCCGCGACCGCGGTTCGTTGCAGCAAAGGAGCGAGTTGTGTGTGGCTTGTATCGTGCGAATGTACAGCTTTTTAAAAAAATAAAATCATTACCGCAAATTGTCTGAAACGACCTTAACACTCCGTGGTCCAGTTTCCTCGTTCTCTTTAAACTCCGTAACCTCTATAAAATGTATTTGTCTTTTGTCAACGTGACACTTTTTTACTGATTGGCCGTGTCGGGTGGTGGAGGGTTACGACACATTTATAAATAACGCGATCTAAACCCAAAAACGTTGATTATGAATACTATTGGTCGCGAAAGCCGACGTGTCAAAATGTATTTTGTCAATCCACCGCTGGATACGAAGGTCACCCAACGCCGTGCGGGTTGACCAAACATCACCATGCTGCATGGTCAGTGTGGGGTTGGGGAAGGCGAGAGGCATAGATGTGGCAGTCTAGAACTACAGTACAACGGATTGTTGCTGCAATGCCCTCTGCTAGTCCTAACATAGCTCCGCAAATCCTAGAATAATCATCAGTCAATAACACTGTGGCCTTACAAGGAAGCATATAGAATAGGTAACGTTTTGAGCAATGACCCCTTCACATCACATCTTTAAGCTTATGACCATTGGGCCACAGTGGTTTTGACCAAATGTGTTGGGGAGTTTGTGTTCATTGTGGTTAAGGGCATCACTGCCAGCCAACGCAGCATCGTCAAATCATTCCCGTAATAATCTGTGCGTGGTGGCCAGCGATCCAAGCACGATCTGGACTTCAAACCTTGACGATTAAAAAACAAGTATCTAATTTAACCATTCAGCTGTTACGTATCGATACATTATTGTTCGTAACGTCACCCTCATGTATCGATGCGACAGAAAAAACACAATTTAGAATTCTAGATTTGAAGCTTTCGTGACTGCAATTATTCATACTCTTAGGTTTTTTTCGGTAAAGTAACGTAGGTAGAAGTGTATTTATTATTATTTTTTACCTACGTGACGTTACCGAAAAAAACCTAAGAGTACAATTTAGAATGTCGGCACCCTTACAGAAAACGAGTCAAAAACACAAGCGTACAACACTAAGACTGCGCAACATAAAAGCACCAGCCACTTTATTCGTTAATCACACGCAAAGATTAACCTCTGCTATGAAATAAAAAATATACATCACAGAGTGAAACTTTTTTTTAACGTAATGGCTGATCAACTAAACAATATAGAAGCGTGGATATGACATGGGAGGAGAACAAATCTTTAAATAAAATTCACACAGATTATATATAAACGGAAGGCAGGAGACGGCAATATTATTGCATATAAATACAGTCCTTTCTCTCGTCGTATACTGGCAGACACTCAATAACGCAGTGCAAGACTCGGTATTGGCAAGCAATGAACGGAGGGGATTTTCAATGAACATAAGCAAAACGCATGCAATTAGATGTGCGCGTGTTGTTGCTGGTGGCGCTAACGCCTGAACAAACACACTAGAACAAACTATACGAGTACATGTACTTCGCATAGGCTGTGCGACGTGTACGCTGACGAAGAGCTCATTTGTTAAATGGATTCAACGGGGAGAGTGAATATGCCTTGTGGTAGGTAACGCGTAGAGGCAATAGCTTGCAATAGTGGAAAATACATGTGCACGTTTTGAATGGGCAAGAACTCCACAAAATAGTTTTTTTAGGGATTATATCGTGTAAATATATAAATGTGTCGTTAAACCCGCCACCACCCGACACAGCCAACTAGTAAGGGTTGTCCCGTAAACAGAACATGCCAATTTGTTACTGTTGGAGAGCAAAGCCACAACATTTACAATCTGATTACGTTTCGTCAGTAGTTAAAACTAGCTCGATGAAGCTAGGAATTACCACTATCTCGATGAAGCTGGTTGTAATTCCTGGCGAAACGTCGTACTCAGATTGTAAATGGTGTGGCTTTGCTCTCCAACACACCGGTGTGCTGTACTCGTGACGAATTGGCCACGTTTTGTTTACATGACAACCCTTAATAGTTGCCTGCGTCGGGTGGTGGCGGATTTAACGACACATTTATATTTTTACACGATCTAACCCAAAAAAACCTCTATTATGGATATTGGTCGCGAAAGCCTGCCACGTGTTCAACTCAACAAAATATGGTCGAAAGTGGCTCACTGGAGGCAGCACTAAAGGGCACCGCCTTCGGACCAAACCAATGGGCAAGCAGAACAAAATGCAAACGCTGTACTCCGAAGTCATTGTTTCAGTTGATGGGGGGGGGGGGGGGTTCCCCTTTCCCTGGAGATCAGAGAGGATGCGAGCTTTGCTTACTTCTTCTTTCGGGTTTTGGGGTCTCAGTGACACGTACCCCCAAAAACAAGTCTGCTCGTAGCGATACTCGTGTAAGCAGTGGCGGATACAAGTGGCGAACGGCCAACGATTCGGAGCAAATAAATGACGCATTTAAACCGAAACCAAAGAAGTGAAATAGATCACTAAAAATCAACGCTAAACGTACGTGTATATACATATACAAACGCATTTTGCATACTGTATAGCGAGACTGATGCTTGGCGCAGTTTATACATACGCAAGACATCTGAGCGCACGAGACGTGACAACTTCGTTCTAACAGGGGCAACAGACTTTCAACACATACAAGTTTTGACTTTTCATGTTCTTGATGTTCACAATTCCACACAAATGCAGTGCGTTTCATTTGAAAAACAAATTAATACTGTTTGTGGACTTTCCGAAACCTGTGACACACGCGATATTGTAAACTGCACAACGTTACGAGTCTGATTAACGTATTGATTAAACGGCCCAAACACTGCCATGGTATTTTCTCCTATTGTTAGTTGAAGGGGACATTGGCGATGTAAACCCCCCCCCCCCCCCCCAATAAAACCACTGAAAGGAATCTGTCAACATAGCTCAGACCCGGTGTGTATACAGTGCAGTGTATGCATCTAGTATTACACTTGACAGGTCTTTGACGCAAAAGCGGAAAAAATAAAACCAACAGAGAGCGGTCAGAATAAAAGGCCATACATTCATCATTTGTATTAAGAATTTTATCCTGACAATTATGTGGTTTCTTTTTCATATTTGTGTATATGTACACTTGCACAGCTTCTGCAACTACACACACACACGCGCTTATATAGCCCGAATAATAAATGATCAGTACATTTTCAGAAATGTAATTGCTGCCCGTTGTATCACAGAGCGCACACTTTCTTGCTCGGGCGCAACACAAATGAAGGCCGCTGCAGTGATGATGCGAGCGGCGAGACGAGGCTCCTTCACTGCAAGCTATGAAGTACACACACAACTTGATTGTAACATGCTGCACGAAAAGGAATTAACTTAACATGCAAAAATCGAAAACCCACACATATCCATGAACTACTACTGATAAAACAATAAACCCATTTGCACGAGTATGCATTAACGTCTACCCCAAAGTAGCAAAGTGTTATACACTTTAAGGGTGGAGACCATTTTTAAACATAAATAATTCTGCATGCGACAGCTTTTACTTGTTGCCTGCCTTTCCATTGAATGGAAGGCCAGGAGTGAATAGATAGCAGGCTGCAGCAAACTGGAGATGGCCCAATACATGCTGTGATATATGGCCTATTGGTAAGACATAGCAGTGTTACCCACTGCTTGGAAGTCAAATAAATACACAAAAAAGCCTAAGACGGGTGACAAACGCTGAGTGATGGCATATTGCTGTGGCGCATTGGACTGGAAACTAGCAATATTATGTAAACTGAAGCAACACTGCCTTGTGATAAAATAGGACGAAACATGGCTCATCAAAGTGGCAACACACTGGCCGTGACACCGTCTACAGGAAAGAGAGGCACTTGTGATGTGGTATATAAAGCAAAGCATCCTGGGATTATAGGTGGGTGTTTTTGACAGCCGTCCCTGTAAGCTCGTCAAAAGGCATGGAACAAGCATGCTCATTACTCCCACGACAAAAGGACACAAGAGTGTTTTGTAAATTGAGGGTGCAGTAGAATTCTGACACCCCATTTCCAGCAAATTGAACACGTTCTTGTCTGGCAACCTGCAAGCCAGCCGCATTGTGATCTGCATTCCTTATTGCGACTTTGTTGCCTTTGTTTTCTCCGAGGATCAGGTGGCCAAGGAGGAAAAAGGGGGGTGGGGAGTCATTAACAGGAGAACTACAAGACATCTTGAATGTTAGATACAATTGAGGAATGGTGTTTGTACAACCGCACCTCCGATTAGCACGATTGGCTAAGTACGGTGCAAAAGGAGTTCAACAAATATACCCTGGTGTCAAGGAACACGCAGAGCTTGAACAAACCCAAACCGCTTTTACCAGTCGACTGGAAATTCGACCAGTTAAAGTTGTGTTTTCGTTTTAACATTTTTCGCAATTACCTGAAGTTTCACACACATGAGCAATTGTCAAAACTTTCAAAAAGACAGAAGTCACACAATCCTATTGCTAGGCTTACTTTTAAAGCCCATCTCCAAATACTAATGTCATAAAAATATGCACTGGTGTTCGAGGATACCATTCATATATTGCGAAACATGTAAGCCAGTGTACACATGTTCAGTGGCATGTTCTTACAACATCTCGGTTTTTACATATATGTGAAATTCAGGATGACTCAAGGTTAGTTGCAGCCTGCGGACACGGTTTTGTGATTGTCTGTAACGTTGACACGAGTAATACCAGTGAGAACACTGTGCGTGTGTGTGGGTACTTGAGTTTGAGCATACTTTCTGCTGCAGCCACGGCTTGTCGCGTGAAAGTGCATGCCCATTTTGGTACAGGTAGCGCCGCGCTCAATGGCAAACATATGGATGATGCACTTTATTCAGTACTCTCTGTGCATGTCTTGTAGCAAGCGGGTGGCGGGGTTTGGCCAAGGTGGTTACCGCAGCGAGTCAATCCCTGCCGGTGAGGCAACACTCCATCACGGCTGTAAATTAAGGGCAAACTCTTAGTTTTTAATGCACCCCCGTAAAGCCGAACTGGGCGCTTCTATTAAGGATACTGAAACTTGCCCGTTCAAAAAAATGTCCTTTATTCTGAATGCAATTGCCAGCAGCAAAGGGTGAAGGCAACACGAATTACCACTGCTCTGGCCGACAAATGGACTGCACAGGACATGTCCCTTTAAATCTCGGACATGAGACATTAGCGTACCACGTGGTCTCTTTACTTTCGCAAACGGAAGTCTGCTCCATGGTTAAGTTTTAACTGTCAGAGCATGCTTAAAACTACCACACACCACCATACCCTGTAACCCTTTTCGCTGCGTATGTGCATCCGGGCTTTGAGGGAGCCTATTCTTAAAGAGACACCGTCGTTATGATGCCACCCAACTGCTGCATCGGGATGAAGGACCGTTTTGATAGAATGCTGTGCATGCTTACGAGCGCGCGTGAGAGTGTGCGTGAGCCTGTGTGTGCATGTTTGCGGATTTGCCGTCACGCATCCATCATGTCGAGGTCTTCAAGGTCTGGTGGCACGAAGCTGATGACCTCCTCGTAGGTAAGTCCTGCGTGAAGCAGACAAGAGCGAGAATCGAGACATGGCAGGCAAGCATAAAACACGGCTAATGAGTAACCACTGAGATTATGGCCAAGATGCCCTTTGGTAAAGTCTCTCCCTTTCCAATGGGGTTACCACCTTCCTCACGCTCTTATCAAATATGCTGTGCACAACCTAAAACACACAAAACGCAACCCTAATATACAAGTGGGTCTCAAAGCTTCGAGTATGCCGAGCCAGTGGTCAAGTAGCACCTCTATTGTGTACTGGCTTGTGGGCGGCAGATGATCAAATGTAACCTGTGGTCATTTATACTATTTACAACGCGCACACACACAGTACAACTGGAGTCTCATACGTTAATGCGTCAATTCTTTTGTAGTTAAGAATAAAGTTTAGCATATAAATGGTATCTGAACTATTAACCCACACTATACATGTGGCTACAGCAGCTAATCTGGCAATGTTGCATTTAGGTGCCTTATTTTCTCTTTACACCAGCGAACTTCACTGCAACGTAAAAAAAACTACAAATCATAAAGGGGCACAAACTGTATATCATACAACACCAGTGTTGGCAAAAAAATCAGTTCACTTACAATGACCCAACTTTAACAAGTTATTACTTTTTTTGGAAAAAAAACTATCCAAATAAGCAGCTGAAACTGTGTGTAGTCACCAAAAGTGAAATATTATAGCTGAGTGACAATAAAAGAATGAGACAAATTTATTTAGATGATATTCGTGGTTTAAACGAAACTATTGGACAAAACCCGCAGGACTAAAGACACTACAAACTCCTCAAGAACCTGCCCCACTTCACACAATCCTACTTATTACTTAAAAATCCCCCAAGTACATGATAAAAGTTGTGTTATCTTTTTTAGCTACTCTATTACAGGGGCTCTTAAGGTTGTGTTTATTTTAACGACAAAGTTTTCTGTGGTGCCCTGCTTGTTCAATCTTGTCCTGGTGTCCAGGAGTCGGCTTTTCCTTTTTCACTAAGGTGAGTAGTTTATCCCCAGAAGTTTAGTAAAATATTTGTAATGCTCTTAGAATCGCCCGGAAAAAGGGCACAAAGCTAAATTCAAATCCCTTATTTAGTAATCCTTAGTGGGCCACTTGCAAGAGGATTAAGGGTGAATTGTGCTTATATGTGATCCTTGTCTTGCTGGCTAAATAGACATAATAATAATAAAACACTTGCAGGGCCATAGGCTAAATGAATTCCGTTAAAACTGGTCAGACTGCATACTTTGCACCCTCTCAGATACAATCTCTCCTGACCAGAGTGTGCAGTATTCCAAACCAAACCGTTTTCTCGTGGCGAAAGTAGAAAGTAAAACAGTTCATCTAAAGGAGAGCCATTCTATAATACTTTCCTCCCCAAGTCCATCTCCCCTCCAAAAAAAGGCAAGACGGTAGAAAGAGGAAAGTACATGTAAGCGACCAGACTCACTGAGGCTGCTGTGAAATGCACGTGATCAATGGAAAGTTGTCTATTCAGTACAGTTGTAATACCCCAAATATTATTTCAAATTGCCTGTTATTAAGTTACATTAACAATAACAATTAGTACATTACAGATATTTAAAAGCGGTACAGTCGATTAACTGTTCCAGGATAATCATCAGCCGTTGTCAATTCTCTGCTGGATGAAGACCTCTGCGTATCAGTCATCGCTCACGGCCTTGACAATGTTACATTCCATTTTATTGCTGCAGGAGCCGATTTTATTGCTCCATCTATGCGGTGAACCTCTCAGGCACGCAATTTTTTTTCTGTCATTCCGTTACCAATCTCGAATGCTAAATTGCTTCTAGTGATTTGTCCTGGCCAAACCTTCTTTAGCAGTCACTATGAGGTCTCAAATTTACATATACTCTCTAAACCATGTTCCTCTTTACATCTATGTGTGATGTCCAGTATTCACCTCTCCACGCTTATTTGCATTCCGTTCAGACTTTGTTGCATTGTGTCAATCGCTGTGCTTCTGATCGACGTCACGGCGGGTGACATACATGAGATGGATACAACTATTTGTTTTTGATCATGCTTTTAGTTATCCTATAGTCTTTGAAACATACATTCTCTGTTGTTACAAATAGTCTGTCTTCTTGCTTGACTTTTCTTCTGATTTATACTTTTTAATCACTTACAGCAGTGCTCAAATTCCACGGTAACATGTTGACCGGTGTCCGTAGATCCTGTAATCTGCAATGCGCTGCAATTTTGCTGCAAAATTCTGCGCAAATCACATATTTTGAATAGGTTTTTTTTTCTTTGCCACTGTCCATTACATTATTATTGTAATGATATTCATTTTCTTCCATAGCGGATTTTTATCTGTTGGTTATAATCAATCTAAAAATTGACTTAAAACTTTCGTGACTGCAGGATTTCATATGCTATGGCTTTTTCGGTAAAGTCACGTAGGTAGAAAAAATAATAACAATAAAATCATAAAAATTTAAATAAAGTGAATAAAAAACCAATAAAAATATCACGACGTTTCGATCGCAACACAAGCGGCCGTCATCAGGAACAGGGAGGTGAGCCTGAGGGCAAGCTGTTTACAAAGGTTTAGAGATGGGCGGGTCAGCTAATGTTAATGTGGGTACTGCCAGTGTCAGAGCCTTCTCCCACATTAGCATTAGCTGTCCCGCCCATCTCTAAACCTTAATAAACAGCTTGCCCTCAGGCTCACCTCCCTGTTCCTGATGACGGCCGCTTGTGTTGCGATCGAAACGTCGTAATGTTTTTATTATTTTTAAATCCTTTATATTAAGTTCACTTGCTTGCTTGCTTGCGTGCTTGCGTGCTTGCTTGCGACCGTGCAAATCTTTCGGTCGTTTTTTTAACCCACTTCCCGTGATCCAATCGAGCTGACATTATGCACACAAACTCGTTGTGCGTGACAATTAATTTTCGTGAAAATTTATTTCAAAAATTTTACACTGTTTAGGGAAATTTTTAAAAAATATTTAATTACCAATTGCTTAATGGTGGCAGACAATCATCTGACCCATAGGTGGCAGCCATCTCAAGCCAGAGGACGAGAGGACTCTAGCCGCCCGTTTCATGATGACGCAAATGTTGACTAACCACATGGCATGAAATCCCTGCCCCCACGCTGTACAGTGGAGACTATTTATAGAGCAGTTACATTGAAGCCGCCAGGTTCTTGAAAGTGGTAAAACGGGTCAACGCTAGTGCCCTCGGGAATATACGGGGCATGTCAAGAGGTGATCTTTAATTTTTAAATCCTTTATATTAACTTCACTTGCTTGCTTGCTTACTCAAGAAAAACAAAAATGAATAATAAAATGAAACCGATGCCATGCATATAAAGGATTTATAGTGAAAAACTTAGTTTTTACGGGTTAATTTTTTTATTCACTTTATTTAAAAAATTTATTTTATTGTTATTATTTTTTCTATTTACGTGACTTAAGAAAGAACCATAGAATAATCAGTCTATAATTATCTTATCTCATGAACTGGATTTTTTTTACATTAACAATCTTACTTTTGGGAATAGGTTTTTTTCCCCTTTTTTCTCGCAACAAAAAAACACCTTTTACAAGGAATCTGCATTAACCACAATACTTGTGGTCAGACTGCAAAAAAACATTCTGTTAATATATGTATTGTCTTTGAAACCTATGGGTCCACACCAGAGACAGCTTTCTTTTGAGCCTCATCTCACACGGTGTTAGACCAGAGGATGCCAAAAGGCGTACAGCACAAAGACAATGCACTATCAGAGTAATGAGAGCTCTGGATGAGCATCTACATCATGGGACCTCCTTTGCCAGTACCAAAATATGAGAATAGGTTTTTTCCCCTTTTTTCTAGCAACAAAAAAACACCTTTTAGAAGGAATCATGTCTGCATTAACCACAATACTTGTGGTCAGAATGCATCTTACTTTGGCAGATAAACTTTATGCTCTCACTGGCTATGTTGAAATCTAACTTGAATTGCACAAGCCTGTGACTTCATGTGTTGAATATTCTGAAGACAGATACATCTTTGGCATTATGTGGCTTTCCCCATGTGAATCAAGGCAATCTAATTTCTTAATTTGGTCTCTTGCATCTGAATCTAAAACTCCTTTTTGAAAAATGTGTTCATTATATTCATGTCCCTGTTGGCTTGAAACGATTACCGTAGATGTTTTTCATTCCTCTCTCCAAAAAAAGTTTGAAAATCATTTTCTCATCTCTGCTCCCTTGCATCGAAGGGTTAAATCAAGGACAACATTCAAGTGAATTGAATCCAGCAAGTGTAACACAAAATCTAAATGTCTTCAGAATAATCTAAAAATGCAGGTTTCCCTTGCTTTATGCGGTTTCAGTTTGTGCGATTTTGCATTTATTCGGCGAACCAATTTCTCCTCAACATATGCTACATGCGGTTTAAATTCACACGTATGCGGTTGGACGCATGAAATTGTTTGTACTGCATGTGCTACTTGGCAGGCAGCCGTCTCGTGCGGTTTCGCTTCGTGGCAGAGATGCGAAGGGGCCGCGGTGGCGAAGATGGTAACTATCTTGCCTGGTATACAGGAAGTTGTGTGTTTGATCCCAACCCTGATGCCTGTATATGGAGTTTGCATGTTCTCCCTGTAGTCGTGTGCATTTTTCTCCGGGTTCTCCAGTTTTTTCCTCCACATTTAGTTCATAGTATTTGGCTGCTATACATTTCCACAAGATAAGCCACTTCATTGAGCTACCATTTGTGGCCAGGTCGCCTTACCTGGTAAAATTAAAATAGTTAAAATAGTAACCGCTTTGGGCGCCCTTTTTCGTAACACATTTACGCCTTAAAGTGAGGAAAACCTGTAAAAGCACTCAAGGCATAACCTCCTCCCTTAAATGGATGAAAACTTTCAAATCTTAACTGAATTTTACTGCCACAGGCTACACAGCTGTCTGTGCTGACACGTGGTGTTTTGTAGTTATTACTCATTTGTGGCCAGTCGGATATGCACCCACATTTCTATTTTTGATGTTGTGCCCTTAAACATGGTGACTCACTTTAACATTTTCTTCCCCATTCAAAGTCATGGTCAATCCGGGGCAAATCCCAGAGGGGGCGCAAAAAGGAACATTTTGCTTATAGAACCGTGTCCTATCAATTCAGTGGCAAAGTAAAAAAAAAAGTCCCATTTCTGTGCAGACTATTTTTTGCACATCTGGTAAAAAGTAAAAAAGAAATACATCGATCTTACCTGAGATGTTGCTTTAAACGCCGTGGACAAACACAAAATGGACTAATAGCCTTTACAAACCGTCATCGACAAAATGAGTTTTCACCATAATTTTAAAAATTATTAGGTCAAGATGTTCCTCTCATTTCTAAATGCCAATTTAGGAGTAATACGTTTCTCTGCACATGCAGTTCTGCATAGTGAAGAAAGCTACAAGGCAGTACAAATGCACGCAAAAATAGGCAAGTAAGCAGACTGACTGCACCATTAAACTACTGCTTACATGGCAAGGACTCTTGATTAACAGCACTGTTTGGTGTTTTACGCACAGGCTGGTATGTACTGCCCTCTTGTGGGCCGTGTTAGCTTCCAGTCACGCACGTCCAGGCACACATGCTCAACAAAACCTAAGTGTGCACTCCCAGACTCTTTAGGAGTGCATGCTCAATGGCACCTCCGATTAGCACGGTTGGCTACGTACGGTGCGAAAGAAGAACATATATAGTGCGCTAAAATGTATCGCTTGGGCTCGTTTATGAACATTCTTGAAACTCTTTACATGTCTTGTTCTCAATGCACCTTTTCAATAAAACTTCATAATGCAGCTTCATTAAGAAATGTCCCTATATAAACATTGTACGAGGCTGCCTTAGGTAGAGGATATTTCCAATCTCCTCTACCAGTCTTTCTACAAAGTCCCACCGAGCCTCCTCATTGACGCTTGCCAGCTAAAAACTTAAGTCCCCAGCACCACTAAGATTCAAATTCGGGCAAGCATGTGATTAAACAGACTTCTCAAGTGTAGCAAGTTTATGGTGTCAGCTCCATCACCAATGCCTACGTAATAGATATTGATTTATGTATTTCACTTGATTTGGCTTATTCCTAATTCTGAGAATTTAAAAGTAAACGATGTTTAATTCACCTGCAGGGTAGATGTGTACCCCAAGTGTTGCTGAAGAAGTTGATTAAAAAGGGACTTCTGAAATTGTTCTTTGACAAAATTCTGGAGGCTGTTATTTGACAGTGGCTGATACACCGATAGCTGAATTAATATCTTTGTCATACATCAGGACACCAATCGTACAGCTGTATTATAATTGAAGGGAAAAACTGAAAAACGAAATCTGTAAACAAAAGAATACGCTGGTAGGGAGGTACAGCAGGGGTGCAGTAGGTCGGGGGGGGGGGGGGCGCGATCACTTACTCCGCCACTCCTCTACGGGAAACTCCTGGTTCTCGAAGGACTGGTCGTATGGCTCGGCCTCGGGCTCGTCGTCGGGGTCGTGGTACTGAGCAAAGTACTGGTGCACGAGGGCCTCCGCCGCCGTGATGCGCTGGTCCGTGTCCAGCACCAGCATGCGCTCCAGCAGGTCCACCACTGCAGGGGCCACGTGAGAGACACGAGGTAAGAGAAACCCCAATAGCAGCGTGCTTTGTGCTGCATGATCATTGATATCACCTGCGATGAGCGCGGTTAGCTACATACGGTATGAAAGAAGTTCAACTTACGTACATGGTCAATTCGACAAATTTCACTTACATCATGGGCCATAAAAGAATGCATCCGTTGCAAGGTTCAGGGTGATGCTTCGATTCGTAGATGAACTAGTTGTTTTTTCTCCGCACTAAGCGATGCACCTTCAGTGGATGGATGATTTAGCCAGCATCCACTTAGGACTTGGTTTAATAAACATGTAAATGCTGTTTAGATTTATTGTTGAAGTAAAGTGTAATGCTCATGATACATGCATCTGATTGTGTGAAGAATTGCTCGTTTAGTATTTATGCAAATTGTAATGTTACATTCAGGCTAATTAAGCGAACAAAACTGTACAATGGAGAAGATAATTCAAATATTGTAAAATAAAGACTAAAGTATTGATCATGAAATGGAGACAAAGTGAACGCTTATTGAGTCAAAGGGGGTGAATCTCTGAATATATGCAGAGATTAACTAACTCCCCCAATAGTCACAGTTTGGGGGCACGATATGATTAATATTTTTTTTGCCATTGTGGGGAATTAAATGCCTCTAGTGGCTGCAGGGTTTAGATTAATCGAATCATAAATTGATTCCCATATGCTTGGGCAAGTATCGATTCCAAGAAAACATTTTAATCCATTAAGCGATGCACATTTACATGCCCAATGCCTTCAATTTACTGTTTGGGATCAACTGTTTAATTGTCCCTTCCGGACTCCGTCAGCACCAGCACTCAACGGATTCCTCCTCGGTGATCCCCAACTCCTGGCACCTGCTTTGGGCTCAACTCGGGGCAACGCCGTGGTGCAGGCCAATCTCCCTTTACCCTGGCTCAGCTGCACCGTATTTCAACGTTTATCTCAAATCAGCATCTTAATGAATGGTTGTATTTGGATGCTTCATAAATAAAATTGTCGTAATGCTGTTATCAATCTACGCAATGTATCGTGGTATCATTTGTATAACCAAATATGAATCGGAAAGCATTCATATTTACACACTAACGTTGATGCATGCATTGTAGGAATACATCTATTGAGAAAAGTGTCATGTTACTCCAATTTTAGCCCTATTAGTCCATCATCATGTCATGAGACAAAGTATCCATTCGGATCTCTTGCAATGGAGTGCAAACGTTTGCATTAGGAAGGTCCACAGAAGCAGCTTTCAAAGGTGACCTGTTCAACAGTAGAGGGCAACATTTCACCACGCGCTCTGCCATATGACTTCGATGTTAATTGCAAGATAAACCGATATATCATTGGACCTCCTTTGCCAGTACCAAAATATAATAGGGTTTTTCCCCTATTATTATATTTTGGTACTGGCAAAGGAGGTCCAATGATGTAGATGCTCACCCCGAGCCCTCATTACTTTGATAGTGCATTGTTGTCTTTGAGCTGTACGCCTTTTGGCGTCATCTGGTCGAGCAACAATTGGGTCGAGGCTCAAAAGAAAGCCGTCCCTTGGTGTGGACCAATCAGTTTCAAGGACAATGCATATATTATCAGTGTGTTTTTTGTTTGCATTTGACTGCAAGTATTGTGGTTAATGCAGATATGAATCCTTGTAAAAAGGTTTCAGTTTTGTTGCCAGAAAAAAGGGGAAAAACCCTATTATTATAAACCGATATAGTTTTTCATGTTATCATGGGTGACTGGGCCGAGACCATAAACTTGCAACACTTTAGAACCCATTTCAATCGCGGGCGGCTATCTCAATTCTAACTCAGGACCTCAGCGGTCCCAACTCAGCGCTGTGATCTAACTACCTCAAGAATCGTGTAATTACATTCGCAAAGTCTTGAACTTCATCAGCAGTTAGTAGCAATAACATTACCACCATTAACACTATAAATATTTGTGAGATGAAGGAGAGACCTACAAGAGATAGGAGACCTGGAGACTAGAGTTATAGATTAGTGATCTCACACAGATGTTATACAACTATAAACTATGTATTAGTTTACCAAGGCACACGGAGCTTTCTAGCTCTTTTTGAGAAGTGACCTGGTCACAAATGATAGTTCATTAAAGTAGCTTGTCATGTGGAAATGTATAGCAACCAAATAGTCTAAACGCATGTTTGTGACGGCAGAACGTCACATGGTCTCACAGCACAAAATTACATTTTTTATAACGTGACCTGCCAGACAATGCAGTTGATGAACCCTTGCTCTATGAGCTGAATAAGCCAATTACTGAAGAACATGTGGTCTCGTGAGTTAGGTTTGCTTCCCCAGGATTAGTGGTGAACACCCACCGAGTGGGTTGGCTCCCAGGAACACATCCTTGAAGTCCCTTTTTTGCGTGTAAGGCAAAGACTGGATGTAGTTTCTGGCCTGAAACAAGAAAAAGACAAATGGCTCCCTCTAAGCAGAAATTCACATCAAGAGGGGGGGGGGGGGGGGCAAACGAAAGAGCAAGGAATGGGAATATGAAAATGTTAGTTGTCATGCAAGTGCATGTTAATCTTAAGTAATGATTTTAGTGCTTTGATTTGTCATCAACCACAATATTTTGATTCCATGAGAGCAAGCTGTAAATTAAGACTTATGGCTACATCCACATCCGTTTTAATATAATTGGCAAAGAGCATGAGAGTAAAACATGGGAGAAATATTTAATCCTAAGTAAAACACCACTTGCCACCAATGCTAAAAGCTAGCTCTGCTCACAACTGAAGCATGTAGCAGGTATATACATACATAGATATGTTCTCAGTCCACTACTGGATGAGGGCCTCCTCGCGCAACGCCGGTCGATGGGGTTAATTGATCAGTACTTCATCCCGCTGTCAGTACGGGTTAGAGAAGGCGGGCAGCATGAACGTGGTAGTTTAGAACAGGATAATGGGTTTTGCCGAACTGCCCTATGCTGCCCACAACGTAGCCCTGCGGACTGTTATGTGCACTGGGGTCACCAATCCAAAGGCCAATCTGGCCCTCGACCCTTCTTAGCTTCTGAAATCTGACAAGAGATTAGCTCTCTGGGAGATATGGCCATAGGTGATAGCCAGCATAACAATAATTCATAAAATGAAAAGGTTTAAATGACATGGACAGCATATCACTTCACCTGCTTGTCTAGACGCAGATGAGAGCGTCAAAACAGTCACTGGCCGTTAAATTTCGATTTAAAGCTTTCGTAACTGCAGGGATTCATCTTCTTGGTTCTTTCGGTAAAGTCACGTAGAATGGAAATAATAAAATAATAAACAGGTCTGTCAAGGAGACAGAGTCTTATTTCATTCAGACTCTGTCTCCTCGACAGACCTGTTCACCACCTGAGGACGGCTGCTTGCGTTGTGGCCGAAACGTCGTGAGAATTAGTTTATTATGTTTTATTTTCATTATTTTATTATTTACATTCTACGTGACTTTACCGAAAGAACCAAGAAGATGAGTCACTGGCCGTATTATTATTCTTCCCGAAGGCGCCGGTGCTCATGTTGGACAGTAGGGGGACATCCTCACCTCTTTGCTCTGCATGCGGTCAATCAGATACTGGGGTGGGGTGCCCGTGAGCTGCAGGATTTTTACCAGCTGGTTAATGTCTAGGCCACGCGTGGAGGGGAAGGGGGGGGAAGTGTTAAGGAGCCATAAAACCAAGTGACACACACGGCGGCATCGGTGGAGATTATGAACGATTCGATGCGTAGTGGTTTAAATTACAGATTAATGAAGCCACGTGTTACAAAAAAAGCCATTCTCATTGAAATGTGAAATCAAATGCGCATCTGCTGCCATTTCAAGACGCACAGGTACTGCTCTTATATGCGCAAGTCACAGTCACAATACCGAGGATGCACAGGTGTCTAGCCTATTCAGTGCACTCTCCAACTTGGCAGAAGATATGGATCTTCAGTTTCAATGCAGAAATAAGGAACAAAAGGTGCCAGTAAGGGTGTTCTATGAAAACCAGTCGATTTCAAATGCTTTTAAAAGTATCTTTGACTGGAAATCATTACAGCCGCGAACGTTTGGAAAAAACTGGATGCTGGGATCATTATGTTTCTGAATGTAGCACTGTAATATGAAATGAGTGGCAATCAAAATGGATTGATCATTGTGCGAGAGAACATAAAATTGGATTGGTTGAAGAAACAAATAGCAACATCCAGTAAAGATCATTGATCATTTTCACAGAGTGAAAATTGGCTATGCGAAATGTGCACACTCTCAACACGGCAAGAATGCGTCGGTCCAACACAGCCATTCTGTTAAGCTTGCACACAAAGATTTTTCACATGCAAATCAGCATCTTCTCGGAATCAACATCGAACGGACAAGAACCAGAAATTATAACTTAAGTGTTTTGATAGAATGCCATAATATACATATATGTACAAGATATAGCTCAAAAACATATATATATATATAATTATACACTACCCGTGTAGGTGTCAGCAAGTACGAGTGCTTGTATTATATCAATAATGATTATGACTTTACTACAAGCGATCTTATATTTGCAAACATATGCATGCATGCAGGTGTTTGCAAGAAATTTTTGTATTTTTATCCAGCTTTCTTCGTGAATATTGCATCTCAAAACGGTGTAGAATTTGTAACGTGCACAGATTTCACTATGTAAACACAATTTTTGTTCTTGGGTAGTGTTATTTCATAATTGCTTATGCCTAAAAAGTATAGAAAATGGCTATTATATGCATTATTGCCAGTACGACGTTTGGAAGGGTCCACCATGCAGAAGTAGCAGTTGCTTGACTGGTCAGTGGGGGTTTCATGCCAAATTCTTGGGATAGCGAACTTCATAGCTCTCTTTTCCCCTCTGTACCATCGTAATGTGTAAGTGATTCTTGCAACATTTTTCATATATGATATATTTTGTCAATAACATTGAAAATTATAAACCATTTTTTTTATTAAAAACTTTTACAATTTTAAAAATTAACAAATTTTATAACATTAAATTCCGAGCAACAATTGTCCATCTTACTATCCAAAGTTATTTTGCAATGCTCGCAGGTGAAATGAGGTGCCCAGGGTTTTTGATCCCCGACAGGCATGCCGAAATACGCCTTGTAGTCCTCACACATCTTAGCAGATGCTTCCACAGAGTACTTTTTAGCTCGTCTTGATAAATTGGCTGCAGACATAGCAAAATGTGTCTGCCGGATGCTTGCGGCCTCTTGATGCCATCTCAGAAAAATGCAGATATGTATCCACTTAGGCAGCTGGAAATAAAGTTCTGGGCTTAAGGCTCCCGTATTTACACTACTATTTATATTACTGGAAAGTTATAGAATGTTCTAGAAGTTACTCCAAGTTTACTCAGCACTGAATCGATCTGGAATGTTCTATAAAATAGGTAAATTTCTAAATATCACTGTCCTGGTCACAAAATAAAAGTTTGTGGGGAATAATAGCCATTTTCTATACTTTTGAGGCATAAGCAATTGGGAAATAACACTTACTACTAAGGAACTAAAAATTTGTTACAGTGTTTTCACACCGCGACAAATGGAAACCACAGACAAGCGGGAAGGCGGCCAAACCCGGTGCCATTCATTGCCCAGCCACGGTGGGCCTCTGTTGGTATGTTTGCCTATCCACTTGTATTGCTAGATACAAGCAGGTCAAAGGTATGTGCATTTGAGCACAAGTCGTGTTATATACCTGTGGACACCTATACTTAGTGTATCTGCAAGAATAAGACTGCTTATAGTGTTATTCTAACATGTACTCAGCGCTGCTTGCTTAACATAACAAGCTTACCCAAAAAGCAGCTAGCAAATGCTAATAGACCATGCAACGTGACACCCTGGATTGATTTTTTGTTCTCAACATCAATACATCCGCAGCAAGAAACTATTCAAACGGATGCCCGATGCTGCCAGAAAAGGCCCACTCACAGACTCGGACGAGATTTTCTGCATCAGCCCCGGGGATGGAGTGCCGACCAGCTGCATAATGAGCTTGAGCTGATCGATGTCTAGTGTGGGTTGAGCAGCGTGAAGGAAGACTCGGAGAGAGCTCTGCCTGGAGTCTTCCTCCAGCTGCTACGAATCCTCCAGTTGCTTTGTTCTTTTGCCACTGACACGTGTCAAATCGCACGAGTGATTCCCATTGCAGAACAATATGCGCTCCCACCACCAGAGGTCACCCAGCTGACAGCAGGGCACTTTTACCTCTTTACCTTTAAAATGTTTTAATCCAGGAACTCCAGACTAAATATCAAGACTCTGTCAAGAGGGTCGTTTGGTGAAGTCTTTTTTTAAAGATTGTGTTTTCCATGTTGGAGGAAACTGGAGTGCTTGGAGAAACATACAAATAAGAGGGGATAGCACACAACCCCTTGTTGTACCATCATTTATGTGATCTGCAAACCCTTTTTAAACACATTCCTGCGAAGGGAGCTGGTAGGAACGTTGGGTTGCTCGGTCAATGGCCAGGGTCAACGGCGGCGTGGTGTATTCCGCAAATATGCCTGACTGTGAGGGCGGGCACAAGCCGGCGTGAGCAGGTTAAACGTTGAGTTTTATAAGGGCACCACGGGGTGACCAGCCCCTCCCCACCCAGCCCCACCCCTCCCACCCTCCCCACCCAGCCCCTCCCCACCCTCCCCACCCAGCCCCTCCCCACCCTCCCCACCCAGCCCCTCCCCACCCTCCCCACCCAGCCCCTCCCCACCCCTCCCATTTTTGTATGCACGACGGACTAACACAATAATCCCCTGTGGGCTGGTGGAACCAAGTGGTTCCTACCAGTATTATTTCATACTAAGGTTAAACGCTTTATGAGTTAGCCCTGTCTGTCCATCTGCAAAGGGGGTCAGGGGGGGGGGCACTATAACTCATAAAGATAATCCAAAATAAACAAAATGTCAGTATAATGTAGTGTCGTTATTAAGAACTTGCACTTTATAAAAATGGGCAAATTGATCCAAGAGTTGCCTAAAACTTGGAGACACCAACAAAATGTTTCTCCCCCGCATATCAACCCATCATTGGCTTCTGTACTGCTATTTCAATATGAGAACAAAACGCACATTGGAAAGCCACATAATCCACAAGTATGCACGATTTTAATTTTTCCCCCCCAACTTGTTTTCCTCCAAAGTTCTGGATGAAAGACGTGTGCCACTGTACCCGGCTTACCTGATGATGATGCAACTCCCAACAAAGACACGACAAGGATTTTACTTGTTGTCTAAGTTTCTCTTTTTAACACACTTACAAGGAACATCACTCCACAGGCTACGTTTTGAACACAGATGAAGCAATTCACGTGCCCCAGAGGTCAGCATTTTCATAGCCGCACATTTTTTTCACATCACAGGTTGATTCCTGGTAATTTTTATGAACGTTTACCAAAGCACATGGTCTTTTCTAAAGTAAGCATTAAAGTAAAGATTTACAATATATTGAAGGCAGACTGATATAGAAATAATTACATAAAGAGGCCAGCGAGATCAGGATTGGGTGCTTTTGAAAAAAAAGATGTGATAATGAAAAGCAATATGCCAATGTGGTTAAAGAAAAAGTTTTTCCATCAATGAATATTATCTGCGAATAAAAATGTGGACTCTGAACATAGGACAAAACCTGAAAACTACATAAAGTAGCATGGAGAGATGCATGCTGGAAATTACACCGAGAGACATAACAAGAAACACATAGACAGATCATATTGACTGTTATGAAAAGGGAGTTTGTTAAGAATATATTGCCAAGTGGGATGACAGCAGATGGACAAAACTGGTGAATGAATGGCAGCCTAACGAAGGAATGCTCAAGAGGATTACCACGTGGAGATGAATCGATAAGATCAGTTCATACACGGGAGCTAAATAGATTGTGGCATCGCAGGACCATGAAGGAAGGGCAATAACCTAGGGAGGCCTTCATCCAGCAGTGGATAAATCATAGATGATGTAATCTCATATCAAAGAGATAATTATCTTTTAATAACGATTCCTGTAGCTGCTCAATGCTCTCCCTCTGGCAAACACAACACAGCAGGGCATGGGACGCCATGAAAAATTGGGTCACAATGACATTGCACATTGGAGAAACCAACCTCACAAATTCAAACCCATTCATGCAATAAAACACATCAACACAGCAGTCCGGCACTATGCGGCCTGTCAAGCATCATCATCCCTCGTTCCGTGCTTGCTCTTCATAACGAGATGAAATTGAAAACGACCGGTGACCTACATAGAATTTAGCCGCATTCTTTCCACCACCAACTTACACTTGCAACGACTTCTGCTATTACACATACCGGTATTATTGTTACAATTTTTTTTTACTTTGTTTACACACGAACTGCTCAGGGCGTTTCAAGATTATTTTTAAAAGGTGTGGTAAACTCCCTGTTGGGGATTGTGTTGCTTGTGGAAGTCAACAGCAGCACATATTCCACACGTGCAAAGAGATAATGCTCAAAATATTCAGACAGGTCTATAAATTGCAATAATAAATCTACAAGAATTAATTAACGAATATAACTTTTGCCATCTTCTACAATGTGTTGTTGATAAATCCCTTAAATTTACAAGACTGTTTTAATTTCCATCGCCAGCATTCACGTACTGTAAATTATGAAGGTTCCCAGTGAAATACAATCGTAAACACTCACGCAGAGAAATACACGCACAAGTAAAAACCACTAGTGTTTAGGTTGGTAATAAAATCGTGGCTCTTTCCAGTGGGGAAAGTTAAATGAAAAACTGTTAATCATTCAGTATAGAAAAAAAAAAAACGGCATCATCTTTCTCGAATAGTGTTCGCTGTTCATTTTCTGTTCAATGAATGCCTCCCGGTCACATTTTGCAACATAACCGACGCCCAAGCCTCACCACCCTCGCTTGCCTTTTTTTTTCCATCACAACCACAAATATGAAATAAATGCCGAAGGAAGTTTGATTGGTTACACATTTCTAACCTCAACTGGGCAAGGCATACTGCTGGAAAGTTATGACTGTTACAAAACCTTTTATGAAGCACGTGTCTCACAAGACTAATGGATGAATGTACACAAAGTAAGGCGACCCAAAGAATTCCCAAAGTTTCATATTACCTTTTTCAAGACAGTCAAATGACCCCCGTCTCCACAGTGGCTCAGTAGGATGACTGTCAACATGTGAGTCATGTTCAGATATTCCCCTCCAAGACATAGGGATGAGTCATGGTGCCAATTGCAAAGAGTTTAAGGGTAATTCCTCCCTTGGCACAATGGTTCCACCCGTTTGAATTAGAATAAAAAAAGAGTGAGCCACAGGAAGTTGTGTGGAAAGTATGCACAATGACAATGCCTATGGCTCAAAAACAAACGATACGAGCAGTGCTAGATAGCTGCATATTCTGTGGTTCAATGCTTACAACTAGCCAGATATATTCTTGGAAATCACCATAACGATACCATCTGCTTTAACGTGCTGCATAAATTTCACGTGATGTCATCACCATTCACAAGAATGTGCGTATCACAGCCCAAAATACAATAATAAAAATTACACAAGCATAAAACATGTAAAACAGTTCCTACGTTAGCAACGCTCTCAAGGTTGTACATGTAAAAATAAAGTTCACAACATACCAAAGAATGTAAAAAACTACGTTTTAATCCTGTTAGAATTTCAGTAGTAACTGAAATCTTTATTTTATGTAATAAAAGTCCATTTCAGCTACCTTCAATAGAAATTTCCAATTGAAAAGCTCTACCGACATAAAACACCCATACCTTACCAGCGTAGATGAATGCGTTTAAAATTTAAGCTGTCACCAATCACCAAAAAGGATACGATCTGTGCCAGGGAAGAGCGTCCTTCCCGTCAATAATTCAGCCATGATGCAGCCCACAGACCAAATGTCGACTGGAACAGAGCAAATAGAAGCATTTAACAACCGTTGGCATGTTGGATGAGGATAGAATGTTCATAAACTTAATTAACAATATTCTGATAGTCCTGTATGTCCAAAACACAAAACAGGCAGTAACAAAAGAGACCTGTTGAATAATAGTTTGGAGCGTGAAATTCAATTCGAGGATCCCCAGCGGTGCTGGTTCAGTACTCGATCAGGAAGAAAATGTAGCTTTTTGAGCTTCCAACTACACCTAGCATGAGTAAACTTCATCCTCTTTAAAGCACAACTCTAAGTTTGCCATTGGGTCACAAGGACGTTAATTATTATGCCATCAGAAATGTACCACATTAGTAACATCAAGATCGTCAAATATACTTACAAATTAAAGCAGGCTGAATTTTTTGTCAAGAATGCAGCTACAAATTAACCATATTCCCCCAAAACTGCATCGCAAAACAATACACTGAACAGATTACAGTGTCATTTTAAATGCAAATTAGAAAACAATCTTCAAATAGGAAGAAAAACATTGTGAAACTGCTGGTATTTCGAGGCAAGTGAGCTGCATGTTCCCAAGAACGTGGGTGTCCGAGCCATCTTATTTATCGAGCACCTGTCTGGTTGTAGTGCATCCAGTTGAGCATGATCTCGGGCGCACGGTACCAGCGGGTGGCGACGTAGCCCGTCATTTCATCGTCCGCGTGCCGCGCCAGCCCAAAGTCAAGGATCTGTTAAGGGTACGGGAGTGGAGGGTGAAAATGGTGTGCAGACATTGAGCCCTTGCAACGGTTTAAGGGGTTAATGACCAGTAAATTCCGCAAAAATGCAGAATTAGTCAAACGGAAACGTGGCGCATGCGCTTGAGCAATGCAAAACTGTAAAAATAATTTTATATTTGTCATGAGTTCAACCTTGAGAACAGCAGTAAAGTATAGACTGTTTTTTTTTTTACACGTATATAATTTTCATGATAGGGTTTGGGGCTTTTACAATGAGACATGTGCGTGTATTTTCTGCAGATCTGCCACGTTTGAATGGATATATGATTAAGTGCAGTTACAATTTGGCTGGCCGAGTATGATTAGGTTGTTTGCAGTGAGCTTTTGTATGACATTTGAGTCTACTTCACACTAATTGCTCATTAACAGCTACATACATTAATGCACAGGCTGTTTATACAGCCACGAGCATTTTTCCATGTCTCAGCACAATTATTCTAGTTTTGAAGACATGCATGTTAATAAATAAAAAACAGAGATATACACTGCAGCCCTCATTGTGACAAGGAAGGATAATAATTGGTTGTGGTATTTCTATATTATATGGTTGGGGGGAAAAAAACACATTTGTCTAAATATGCATAAGGTTGCTGTTGTAAGGTGGAGGCCTTCAAAAACACAAGCCTTCCGCCTACTCTGCAATAAATGTATGAACTCTCTAGGAATGTGCGTGCAGGACTTTTTGCATCAGAAGCAATCATACTTTTAGCTCACAGTCTTCATTCACTGCCAAATTGCTGGGTTTCAGGTCCTGAAAAAGAAAAAATTGAGAATACTGCACATCAGCAAGACTAACCCATAAAAAGTTCAATACAATCATGTTTTAAAATACAATCATGTAAAAAAAAATTACAAACAAAGAGGCAATAAATAAAAGATTTACCCTGTGAATGATCCCAGCTGAGTGAATGTACTGCACAGGGGATTACAGGAGAACAATACAAATGCCATTAAAACAATAGCCACAAAAATAATGGGAAATAAATTACAATGTTAAGTTCCTTCATGTTTTCAAGATCCTTATCATGCATTGTTACGATCTCACCGAGGCAGTTAGCCTATGAAACCCTTTCTGTCGAGAGTGCTATTTCAGTGTTGTAACTTTAGAGCGACTCTTTTGCACTGCGCCCAAAAATGTGAATCTCAACTGATGCACATGAGATAACAAGCAATGAGCAGCTTCACAGCCGACTGCACTCTCAAAGCATGCATTTTAAGTGGCACGTAGAGAACAGCTTTGTATTGGAACGAGCATGAACAGTAACAAACTCCAAGAGTGCAGCTTATCTCAAACACATTTTCTAAAACATGATCTTTGCGTCCACTTAATGTGTGCAGCCTATAATGTGCTCGTGTGTTTAACAAAGGAGTGTTTATACATCGTGGGGGGTTTCTGGTAGATACATGAAGTTTTGGCACATCCAGGGGTATCAACATTTAATCACATAACCTTGAAATGAGCCGATCAAAAGATACATTTCAAAGATAAAAATGTGGCATGGTCTGCGAAGTGCAATACAATCAGGAGAAAGCTGAAACTGCAATGAAAGGGATATCATAACATTGACAGCATTAATAGTAAACCTTCTTAAGTTGGGCTAGATCATCAGGACAAGCTGTTAAGTAACAGGATAATGGCATTTTAAACTGAGAAACCTGTGGGTAATTGTAAACGCACCTTGAGCCCCCGAAGGATCTGATAAACCAGAAACTGCACGTGGTCATCTGTAAGTTTCTGACATTTCACGATGTTGTTGAGGTCAGCGCCCATCAGATCTGTCACAAGATACCTACATAATGCACGCATAAAAGAGACAAATATCCCCGAAGCTCTTTAATCGACGACTGCCAACCGTAAATAGTGTAAAAGCCAGCACCTGTTGAGGCTGGAATGTTACAAGATAAGAGTGGCACGTGGTGCTGACCACGCCAGACCACTTTATTCCCACCAGTACCAGTGTATGCACACCACATTTTCTTTTCTTTAAAAGCACGAGGCTTAAACGTTTTACGTTATTTAATTTTACCGTTTTTATCATTTAAATTGATGTAAAGTTGGAACTTTCATCTTTCCATTTGAATGCACTGTCAGTATTCAGTTTCTGATCTAGACGATTATTTTTGCAGCAGTTTTGACGCTGATATTATATTGACACATGTGCTGCCATTCACATCATGTTTATCTCTACCGAGTGTTCTGACCAACTTGCACATTCTTAGAGATTGTGAAATTCATGGACAGCGGCACCGGTCCTGGTTTTTGGGTTTGTTTAGTATGACAGCAAAACAACAAATACCATATGTTTGTGATGAATTTGCTACAGTTTTGCTGTGCTGAATTTTCTTATAACGGGACCAACTCAGCATCTGTGATGCGGACAAAAGGGTCATGGATTGAGACCTAACGTAAATATCATGCAGAAAGTGGCTGAAGGCTGACTGACAGGGATGCGCAAATAGGTAATGACCAGCGGGCCATTTGAACAGGGGCTTGGAAAGACTGCGGTAATTTTGTTGACTGCAACACACTTATGGACGTACGCTGTTAACCGAGACGGGCAAAGTAGAGCCCTCACAGGACGGAACGTGCCATGAAGCCACGTTACGGAGTCTGGCACACAGTGCGTCTCCCCCTATCATTAAATGGGACGTGCCAACACGCATGCTGGCCAGGGATGGCACACACCCACTTGCAGCGAAAAGATGGGACAGGCGTTGCATGCGTGAATAAGCAACTGCTTATGTGGGGCAGACAAAAACAAGGTTTGAAGTACTAAGCTAGACAAAACATTTGAGAATTACTGATTAAGAATAGGTGGCCTGGGAAACAAAATACTAAGTAAAACGAAGATAAAATTACCCAGTTAGTGTAAAGAACTCGGGAGATATTACATTTATCTACGGATGATGATGATGGCAGTGCTGGATTGAATGTGATACAAATTAGATTTGTCAAGTCAATGTTAAAATGACCTGGACCGGGCGAAAGACTGAAGATCATTATGTTGCAGTGACATGTGAATGGCAGTGTTGATTCAACGTGATAGAAGCTAATTCATGCAATTTACTCAAATCGCATTATGAAAATGCTTATATATTACAAATAAAATGCAGGTGAAAATTACCAAGTCGAACATCCTCAGAACATAAATTTGTGCAAAGGTCTGAATCTCGGCATGGAAGTTGGCGGGCCGCTTACAGTAAGCACCAGAGCCTAATTACTCATATCCACTCATTTAAACAGTTGTGGTCTTGGAGCAGCCTGCTCAAGCATAGCTGCAATCTAGCTATGCAAGAATGAGCCGCTGATCATTTCTTCTACACGACCGCACGTTAAAAGTAGCTTACAAACCTACAGATTCTTAGGATAACAATCTTTTGGGAAGAAATATAGAGCAACACGTGTAAACATATACTATGGACAATATTATTTATGTTGCAAAGCAGCATGGAAAATAAGCAATATATCTTTTGAGTTTCAAGCATCCCCAGAGCAGATATACAGGGAAATCATCATGAACTGTAGCTCAGAAGCCAAAACACAGCTGTCTGTAGCAGAAAAAAAGCAAACGTCCATAGGTAAACAATGTTTTCTAATGTTTTCAGGCTACAACGGTGTGACGTCAAGGTGGGACAATTGATCAGATGTGAGTTTATTGCATGTCAGCAGGGGCGACATTCACGCAACGCCTTGTTAAAATCGTCACGGCCCTCGCTCTCGCATCCACTTACAGGTCGTCAAACTCCTCCAGCGACGAGTTTGGGGTGAACACATCCATTAGACCAATGACCTGCAGGAAAATAAAAAGCAGCATCACTACTGCCACACGAGCAGAACTCCAAATGGCAGACAGGCAAGGCACGGTTCTTTCATCCGCAACATAAACACGTTTCTACCACCGCCGCCGCACCCTTGCCCTTTGGCAACGTTCACACATGAGCACCAGAGAACCTTCATCAACCACCAGAGCGTCAAAGGATATATATTATTGGTAAGAACCTCCTGGTTGCACCAGCACACAGGGGATTATTGTGTCCGTCCGTCGTGCATCCAAAAATGGGAGGGGTGGGGCTGGGTGGAGAGGGGAGGGGCTGGGTGGGGATGGTGGGGCTGGGTGGGGGGTGGGAGGGGTGGGGCTGGTTGAGGAGGGGCTGGTCACCCCGTGGTGCCCTTATAAAACTCAACGTTTAACCTACTGACGCCGGCTTGTGCCCGCCCTCACAGTCGGCCATATTTGCGGAATACACCACGCCGCCTTTGACCCTGGCCGTTGACCGAGCAACCCAACGTTCCTACCAGCTCCCTCCACAGGAATGTGTTTTAATCGTGCATTGCATATCCATGCAAACCAGCACGGAAGTGTTGTTACGCGACGCATCCTACAGCGAAGCCCAGAGCGAAGGCGTTTTGTTTTTAAAGGGCACACATGCATATCCCACACTACACGTCCCTTGTGCAACGCAATGCTCGACAGCGTCTGGCTGTAGAATAACAACAACGGACAGGGTAGATAAGCCGTCTCGAGGTTGACGCTTGGATAATTGACATGCCTGAGCGCTAAATGTCAAATCAAGGTGCCCTGAGGACATCTGATAGCAAGGCAGCATTACTTGTGGTTTGCTTGCAAGGAACCGTTTGCTTTTTAAATGTAAATAAAAAAGCGGTCCTGTGGAAAAATATAACGAACGCAATATTATTTCGTCAAAAAGCAATGAGTGAAAGTGTGTATATTTTGTAACCATTACATTCTTTAAATGTTTGCACAGAATCTCATGTAAAAAGCAAGCTTTTTACTGAAACCCTGCATCCCATCTGCAAAGAAATAAAACGCGCAATATACAAAGCATTCACCAGCAAATGTATTATGTAAATAAATAAATATATTTCCTAAACCCTTTCAAATGAATACAATTTAAGGCGCAGGATAATGGAATCCAATGGAAGGGCTGGGTCACTCTGGACAGATAATACCTGACTGGGCACGCCGCACCCAAGGGGCCTCGGAAACAACGAACCGGCAAATCCATAGCATTGAGTCATTTGGAAATAGTAATATTAATAAATTAAACTTTCATTGAGGTCCGCGCGACTATTTGGCGTCCTCATACATCCACCACTCGACGTGAACGCCATCGTCTCTCGGGCAAGCAAGGCTCACGTTCTCATGCTTCATGTGCTTGAGCAGTCGCAGCTCGCGGTACGTCCGCTTGGCGTGGATGACCGACTGGAAAGGCCGCGAGAGCTTCTTCACAGCCACCTTCATGCTCGTCTTGGTGTCGAGCGATGAGCTGCCACGGCAAAGGAACCAAAGCAGTCTCGGTCGTCACGCGCGCCTCCAATGGCACCGGAGAAAGCACTTTTTTCAATTGCATCCTTCCTGTCCTCCAGCTTGTTCAATCCAATGAAAACATGTTGCCACGATTGAGTAACTAAGTTGTGATATTTGTATTGAACAAGGGCACAAACACACTCTAGTTAAGTGGCTTAAGCTCTGGAGCAAGTTATCTTGAACATTTGCACCACCCCAGCACTAATCTCATCTCGGCAAACTCTGTCAGCTGCATGGCTAAGTTGTCTGCGTTGTGATGTCAATGACAAATTAACAGTGTTTAATATATCATGCTCTCAATGCTGTATACACCTTGCTGTATATCTAAACACAAGAGGTGCTGCAACTGCTAATTGAATGAGAGTGGTAGAAAACAATCAACGTGAGCTGGGGAATTTACTAATTCAAGGGAAACTTTCAAGTCATTAGTCTAAGAGCATCTCCAACCATTTAATTGATTTTGGAATTAAAATAAAAACCACGAGTAATGAGAAAATCAATCGCCAAGCAAAAATCTCTTCAGACAGCTTAACAGAAGCCAATATTAAGGAACAAATAAGCGTATGATGAATCGTACTCAAAATAACAGTATACTTGTAAGACTATTAATATCGGTGCACTGGTGGTAAAGTGCGGAAGCAATTTAGAAAGATTTCAACGAAGTTGACTCGCTACAAAATGACAAGGGATGTTTGGATTCTATGGTTATGGCAACGAGCTAATAGTCAGAACATGGATTGGATGACAAACCTTTCATAAAAAAAATGAATAGCCTTTGGCAGTGTAAGATTCTGGAAAGCATGGCAACTTAGGAACAAAACCAGTGGACACACCAGCAACCTTGAGAGGTAACCGTGCGCAAAAGGGATGTGGAATGTGGGGCGAGAAGCACTGATGAAATCGGAGTGCACGTGGAAGTGAAAACTGCAGCTACAAAAGGCAAGAAGAGCAGGTGGTTTCCAACAAAGGAAGAATTACTCCAGCAGATGAAAATTTACAAAAAAAAGGACGTTAGAATGTTGAGTTTGCGTGAAGTTGGTGCACTCTAAGAGTTTTGACTCGATAAATGTCGTGAACACTTTACAAATACAAGCCGAGCAAGGTCAATAATTGTACTGTATTACGTCACGAGCTCGCTGTGCTACTCATTATGCAAACAATGCTAAAGAGAGGTTTAAGAAACGCACCGCTTTAAGCATAACTTAGGGCAAATTTGATAAGATAGTTACTTTGATGGCAAGTCAAGAGGGAGCTGTGTATTCAGTCAATAAAGTTCTGATGCAGGTTCATGCATCTTGATCCACAAATGCGTAAAATCAATGTGCACTTGAAGTGTTCCCGGCAAGCACAAAAGGACATTGAGAATGGCTGCGACATAAATATTCCACGCCTGCTTTGCACACAGCACAGAATGCAACATATACTCTTAATTAGTAACAGCAACAACCAAGTGCCACTGTACTGTACATACAAAGTTGGAGCCTTGTGCAATCCTCAAGCGCGCACAACAGTAACGCGCTGTTTTAAATAAACATGAAGAAAAAAAACCCCAAGCTCTTTAGGAAATGGTGGAGAGGGATTGCACAGTTCTCTGCAGTTTCTAAATTATGACACGACACGTTGTGCAAACGATTTCACGGAACAGAACTAAAATAAAACACCAAAAAACGCTTAAGAGTTGACATCGTCGTTTGCAATGAGGCCCCCCACGCCCCCCCCCCAAGACTTCTAACGCAACAGAGCAAGGCTGGCAACTCCGAAACGTCACAAAAATGGGACCACTTTAAAAAAAACACAAAGCATCGGTGCAATAACCAACGAATGCATTTTCCGGAGGGCCACTTGTGCAGCCCCATCAAGGTTATTTCAGTCGAAACGAGCTGGGGGGGAGGAGGAGGAGGACGTGCGCACAGGGGAGGAGGGGGCTGCAGACAGGACAGTGTGTTCCTGTTGCTAGCGTTCACTCCACGAGCTCGGCACATTTACATAACACAGGAGGGCGCAAGCCCTGCAACGTGGGGGCATATGCTACGACAACTACGTCGTTTGTCCTTTTAAGATCTCTCTCCCGTTTGCTGTTGACGAGACGCGCGCATGTGCGCTCTCTCGCGACAAAAGTGCATCATTCCTCGTCGCCCATATGCTTAATGAATCATTGCAAAGCGGTGGCCACGAAGTGAATAAATTACTCACTCACCCCCCCCCCCAAAGCTCCTAAACCCTATGTGGCCTAAATAGAAATGAAATGCTCCCATCTTGCTCAAAAAGCCACGAACACGCACGTGATGCACACTCATCGCAGAATGGAAACAAGTTGCAGAATTAAACTGAAATGTGCTGACAAACAAACACCCAATACTGTACTCGCCTTACCAAATATGCAAGTATTATACAATGGAAGCTAAAATGCACTCAAGACAATGGGACATGTGCGGACTAAATGTTAACAATGCACTTTGCTAAAGCACATTGGCTCAGCAGTCAGAGACGTGTTTTTGTTTACAGCTGGCAATCTCAAATGAAGTGCTGCTGTAACTATCTCAATTATAGTATTGACTACGTTCATTCACAACAATGCAGAAACCAAAGCCGCAGTATCAAGCCTTGCTTTGGCACAATAACATTTCTCCCTTTTATCTTCAAGCGATTAGATTACCTAGAGCACTCAATTATGCTCGATGCAAGGCATTCTTCACTTGCATCATCACCGATGTTGTATGCACCAATCACTCCGTGCATGTACCATAATTATTTTGGACACACGGTGACATGCGCGTTCTTTCATTTTACGATCGTCACTATTGTACTGTACTGCATGTGCCTTTCATTTTTGTGGACCTCCCTAGGAACAAAAGGCGTTCTGTTACAATGTGCTTCGTTGTGTTAACGTAACCAGCGTTGCACGCATCTGGTATCTCAGCCTCCACCAAATCCATGGGCACGAGCGTTGACTGCCAAGCTTAATCAAATATAAATTTGCCAAAAGCAGAGCTCCTATTAAAATGTCCCGAGTGCACGCAGGTGAGATTATATTGCAAGTCCATTCACTTGTTTAAATCTGTCCCCGTGTCTTGCACGTGCATCTGCTGACTGATGTGCAAAGATGGCCAGAGTCAGAACCCTCTGTACCTGATTTGCCTATCCCTGCCGTTTAAAAATGAAAACAATGGGCAACTTTACGCGTGCAAGGACACAAAAAGTGGCAACAATGCCACTGTATATGAACAAAGAGTCGAGAAAATCCCAAACAATGGCTTTCATGCAGTTTGATGAGATACGTCTGTGGCTGCCTAGCAATGAGACGGTCTACTGAATGTAGGCAAGAGACAATCGCCGCAAAAATGAGTTACGTAACGCAAATCTATGACCCATTATAAAAGAATGAAATCCAATCCCGTGTCATCCCACTGGTGGACGACGGCCGATTGACCCCAACTTCGTCACGGCTGGTCAGTGTGGGTTGGGTGAGGAGGGGTAGGATGCTTGATGAGTATTCTTAGGTTTTTCGGTAAAGTCACGTAGGTAAAACATTAAAATTAATAAAAGTAAAATAATTTATTTTATTTTACTACATTAAAATTAATAAAAGTAAAATAATTTATTTTACTTTTATTAATTTTAATGTTTTACCTACGTGACTTTACCGAAAAACCTAAGAATATGAATCCTTGCAGTCACGAAAGCTTCAAATCTAGAATTAATGCTTGATGAGGTTTATGACAAGTCAGAAACATGCTAATATCTCACATTAACATCACTAGCCCCGGCCAATTCTTTATGATCCTTAAGCTAACACCCATTTAAACCCTTTTAAAAACAGTCTGCATCAGCAACAGACCATGCTTTCCCCACCTGATGATGGACGCTTGTGTTGCGCCCGAAACGTCGTGATTTACATTTTATACCTACGTGACTTTACCGAAAGAACCAAAGAGTATGGCTCGCGAGAGTAGTTTATATGGACGTGAGGACACCAGGAAGTTATCAAAACAAAGCACCGCATTAGGCACAAGCATTGGTGCGACTCCCAAACACTGCGAGTTGATGGAACAGGACGCCAACCAATGACACAGTAATGCAACAGTAATTAATGTAATATGGCAAGCCATATAATGTATTCCCAGGTAACCCTTGTAAATGAGACTACCCTCCTGGACACATGCGTTCTCGCCTGGTGAAATAAACTCGACAATTCGATCAACAACAAAGGCATGACATGGGCAAATGCCGAACATTGGCTTCCTCTAGTTTTATGCAATGACTTATTTGGCAACATAACTTTGCGGGTGTTTCAATTAGCACAGAAGAAAAAAAAACCCACATAAAACAAGATTAATTATCTACGTACGAACATTCGTGGAACCTCAATTACACAACTTCGAAACATTTGCTTGCAGCAGTTTGGCCAAAGAATTGTGGCACCATACCATAGGGAACGCGCCAAAACAGTTTGATAATCGTAGTGCAATGATAATAATGAAATTAATGAAAGTTGATGATAATAAGTTTGGCCCGTGGATGATGTGATCGACAATACATTTGGAACTACTGTACAGCTGAACAATCTGATATTAATACCAGTACTGTATTGCAATACTGCAATGCATTAATGACAGGTAATGACACTGACTCACAACAGTTTTTTCAATGAATACTTCCACGATTAAGTGTCCCCCTTTGCAAGCTAAACGTTGCATACGCTCCAGTCAAATTAAACATGACTCATAGCCCAAACGGGGTGTGGGTGCGATTGCTCATCTTCACACAGAAAAACAAGTAGCACTTGTCCACATTCTCATGGCAGGGCCCGGTCCAAAAAACCCCAAAGTACTCGCACAAACACAACGGCACTTCGATTTTACGAAAACAGCAGAAAATGCATCGAGTGCCAATTTTTGCAAATAAACTTGCATGGCTTCAAGTCTCCTCCTCCACGTGGCGCACAGCGGCCCAGCAACAAGATGCCACCACCACCACCAAGATTCCACCACCACCATAAAGATGCCACCACCAATATGCCACCACCACCAATATGCTACCACCACCAAGATGCCACCACCACCACCAAGATGCCACCACCACGCCACCACCAAGACGCCACCACCACCACCAAGATGCCACCACCACCACCAAGATGCCACCACCACCACCAAGACGCCACCACCACCACCAAGACGCCACCACCACCACCAAGACGCCACCACCACCACCACCACCAAGACGCCACCACCACCACCAAGATGCCACCACCAACCACCAAGACGCCACCACCACCACCACCAAGACGCCACCACCACCACCAATATGCCACCACCACCAAGACGCCACCACCACCACCAAGACGCCACCACCACCACCAAGATGCCACCACCACCACCAAGATGCCACCACCACCACCAAGATGCCACCACCACCACCAAGACTGCCACCACCACCACCAAGACGCCACCACCACCACGTACAGTGCAACTTGCAACGCGTGCGCATCATAACGGTGGTGACCACAACAACGACGCGTCAACGAGAGCCGTGCATTAGGGCCGCTGCTAACACGTCCATCGGAATGGAATCTGACGACGACGATGATGATGATAACAACATTGATGATTAATAATAATAACAACACTCACCACACCGATCCGTAAGCTCCGGAGCCCACCGAAATGAGGTTCACGTATCTGCGCGGCACCTCCCACACGGTCTTGTTCAACTCCTGCCGACAGAAGCCTTCCTTCACGTCCGAAGACATTGTCGTGGGTGCGAGGACGGACTTCTTGATTTTTTTTTTTTTAAAGATGGGAAAATGAAAAAAAAACTAATAAGGATGGCAACCCCCTACCCCCAACACACAGCAGCAGACGACAACGCGTTGCTAATTAATGTTCGCCACAAGGCGGTGGTGGTGGTGGTGCTGCGGCGTGGCCGGGTTAGAACCGTAACCCTCCCACACGGCCACTCGAAACCCGAAACCCGCAGCAATAAAAACTTAAACCACCGCACTTGGCAAACAACAAATTAGCCCTGGCTAATTTCCCGCCTTCTTTATTTACGGTACGCGGCAACTGCTTCTTTTTTTTATATTTATCGATCAATCGATAGGCTGCGTGAGCTCCGTCCTCCTGCAGCTCAGCCACAGCGCACCGACCCCAACCCACCACCCACCGCTCCTAACAGCCAATTTAAAGTTTTTTTTCTTATTATATGGGGCGCGCCGTTTGGATTTCACAACACAGGATGCGCCGATAACTCACCGGGCACTCGCAAGCCCATTGGCTGGAGAGCGCGTGACAGGCGGTGGGGGCGGCGGCGGGGGAAGCGAGCGCTGCTGTGATTGATTCACCGGGACGCGGCGCGCCTTATCCGCGGTGGGGAATGCAATCGGGCCATATTTGGTGACACCCGGCGTGGCGTGACGTCACTAAGCGTGACGTCAGCGGGGTGACTCATGGTGTGGTCAGAAGTCACCCCCACGGTTGCTTCAAGCAGGAAGGGAGCACGCGTTGACTGCATACTTGTGACGCCTGTAAATTATAAGATGCAGCTCCATCCAGCTGTCTGAAATCGGGTGTAGGGGAAAAAATGTTGTTCCGTCAGCCAAGCCCAATGGTTTTCCAAAAATGCCACCGTGTAAATGTAAAATTAAAGACAAGCCCACAATGTTGAATGTGGCCATGCACATCAAATTATTGACCGAAAAGTACACCCAACATAGAGGCTCACACACTAATAATATGATAGATTAACACTGACCTGAAAAAATATGTGACGTTTTGGGCAGTGACCCTTCTTCATAACACATAGAGATGCATAGGTTACCCTTGGGTATACATTGAAGACAAACCACACACAAGTACGATTGTAGCCACGAAACCCAGACGATGCACCACGTAGCCCACCACTCACATGTGCCACAACGGAGGACGAGCAAAATCACACTAACTCTCTCCTGAAACACGCTCGTGGCTAGCAGATGTCGTGGCTTTGGCTTTAATCCCTGACCTTTTTAAACGTCACCCTTGATTTAAGATCTCCCTTTTTTTTGCACGTGTGCTTTCTGTGTTACCTGCTAGTGTTACTTGAATGGTGCATGCACTATTTGAAGGTTGTTTTTCTCCAGTGTGTTTGCTACTCAGTGTCTGCAACGTGATGATTTATTCGCTGCTGTAGCTTCCCTTTTATTTACCAACGTCCTTTGCGGGTCATTTTTGTAATAAAAAACTTAAGGCTGAATGTTACTTAACCGGGAAGAAAGCCTCACTCAATGCTCCAGGAAACATTGCTGTGCTGCCATCTTGTGGTAAATGTCCCCCCTTCCCAAATCTGCGTGATCAACCAACTCTTTGACTTCAACGTTCAACAAGTAACAGTCTATAAAGACATAATGACACCAATTAGTGCTGATTAGCGCTCAATTCTCCAGGAACGCATCTTGAGCGCTAAGCGAGGTCTGCCTGTATTTGGGGATGCTGCCTCGACAGGAGTGCACATCCACACAACAACAAAAACACTCGTCAATAACAAGAGTTGTTTTGCTATGAAAAATAGTAATAGCCTATTATAAATGTTTATAACAATAGTTATTTTTTTATAACAAGAGTTGTTTTGCTATGAAAAATGGTAATTGCCTATTATACATATTTAGCAATTCAAGGCCGCAGTGTTATTCACGAATGTGTTGAGTTTCCTGTCTTCAAACGTCTGGATTTCATATGCTTACGGCACAAGCACTATACATCCGTATTATCACTACCCTTGATTGTGCTGATATAATAAAGTATTCATACCACGAGTGTTATACATTTACTGCGGCAAGGGCTTATATGGTGGATGTCTATTTCCAAATGACAATTTGATGAATATACGAAATGCAACTTTACACTTATTAACTACTAGCTTTACTACCCGGCTTCACCCGGGACTTGGATTCTTGTCTTGGATTAACACACGGCCGACGCGGAGGGTGGGGGGGGGGTGCGTGACGTCAGCAGGCACACTGCGTGACGCTGCCACATGCGGGTTACATCACAGATGTGACGTCACAGATGTGACAGATGTGACGTCACCGCTCACTTGCCGTGCAAAATATATGCATTATTGCGCCCCCCGTCCCCCCCCCAATTACAAAAGTCTATTTTTATACTTTTTACATTGTGTACAGTCTGGAAGCTACCCACGTGCCAAATTTCAAGTTTGTTGTATGTCGGGAAGTATGCTAAACATTTCGAACAGACACACATATTCACACATTTCCATTTTATATATCGATGATATTTTAAAACAAGTTTAACAGACACGTCAGCTGGGTCTCATGGCCGATTTTTTCAATCATGCCTTATAGGCGCCCTCTGCTGGACACTATTAAATAAAGGATGAGTGTTGTGGACCAACGCCATCTGAAGCCCCAGTACTACAACAAACAAACATGGCCAAACCAAAAAACTTTTCGGAAATCACCAAAATAAAGCCTTAAAAGCAATGAAACAGTGATCATAGGAACTGTGACCGAATTTTCACAATAAACGACGTCAACAACATGTACTACCAAACTCTGCAGCCATAGCTGGCTGCATGAGTCACTCCACAACAGCAGGAGCCATCAGTCGGAGTATCAACATTTTTCAATGGTCCTTTAAGATCAGCACACTAAATCAAAACACAGATCATACTTTGCAGCGATCATCCGGAGCGAAACATTGTATTTTAGGCCACTGAATTGCAGTGGCAGCTAGGGGTGTACAAGCCTACCCTGTAAGATTCAAGCCTACCCTGCATGACACACACGTGTCCAACCCTCCCCACACGCAGCTGTGCACTTTTAAATATCTCGGTGTGTAGTAATCTCCCTAAGTAGCATTTTCTACAGACGCACTCTCCATCCCTCTCGCTACTCTCCTCTCAATTAATCCTCCCACATGGATTTATCCCTCGACTTTAAGAACCAACGTCTCACAACAAAACCTCGATTATCTTCACTGCTGCTGTCCTACGACAGCTCACGAAGATCACAATCTGCCGTACTGAACAGACAAATCACTCATAAACCAATCATTTCAAACAAACAATAATGTGATATCAGGAAAACTATGTACAATGGCATTCGATCAACAACCCTGCACATCGTATATGAACATCTACAGCCATGTTTGTCAATACATTGGTCAATGCGGGTGGGAAATACAGGGAGCTGAAACATGGGAGCATAGAAGTACAATACAAAACTGGATTCTGCTGCACTGCCCTCTGCTGCCCACCATGGAGCCCGACACACTAAAATAACTTATTGCGCAAGGTGGCCACTCATCCAAATACTATTCAGGCTCAACCCTGCTGAGTTTCCGAGCTATAAATAACACCTAAAGATGTGCTGCTTACAAACAGCAGGAAGGCACGACTCCCATCATGCCTTGTGTGCATGTCATGGCCAACACATTGCATGTACAATTAATGTTCTCAGCCTTGCATAGAGCACACAACGAGGTGAACACTTGGCCATATTGTTGATACCACCAATTCAAAATAGTTAAAAGTGTGGCCGTCCCTTCCTACGTCGGTAAAACAGAGCACTGTTATTCTGTGTATGTTGAACTTCTTTCGAACTTTATTACCTAACAATGCGTAATTTTGCCAACGTTGGCTCGCTCAGTGTTGGCACAATCACGTTGGCTAAATGTTATGACAACGTTGACATGTCATTGAACCGTTGGACCAAGGTTGCCCCCAACTTTCCATGCTAACTGTGATAACGTTGCCTTCATACGTCGACCATCATCTCTGTCTGTTGAGAATCTTCAAGCACAGAGTACCTGTACATGAACAAAATTCATGCACAAGGTAACTGTACATGAAAAATAAATTCATGCACAGGGTACCTGTCCATGAAAAAAATATAAAAAATTCGCGCAAGAGCCGCGTTAGCGACTAATCTTTCGAGAAAACAATATTTTCGCTCAACTACAATTAAAAAAATGGTTCATGTGAGTGTGTTTGCTATATTTACTGTATCTTACATAAACATTTAAACTCCATTCCCTTACCAAGATGGCGCCGGTTATTTTGCTCGGCCGCCATTTTATTTCCACTCTCCCCCCCCCCTCCCTTTGTGAGTCACGTCAGCTCTGTCACGCGATTGGTCGACGCGCGGCACGTGGCGAACGCGCGGCGACCAATCAGCGGGGAGCGTAACATTGGGGTGGTAGTAGTAGGGGGGAGTAGAGACAAGCTGTGAACGTGCGATGGCCGCTGCGAATTCCAGGCTGCTGGTTCACCTCGGACACCTGAAGGGACGTCCACAGTCCACGCTGTCCCTCGTATCCTTCACCCATTGCTCGCGACGTCGCCTCGTGGTTACCGCTCTGTGTGTGTGTGTGTCTGTGTGTGTGTGTCTGTCTGTGTGTGTGTCTGTGTGTGTGTGTCTGTGTGTGTGTGTCTGTGTGTGTGTCTGTGTGTGTGTCTGTGTGTGTCTGTGTGTGTGTGTGTCTGTGTGTGTGTCTGTGTGTCTGTGTGTGTGTGTCTGTGTGTGTGTCTGTGTGTCTGTGTGTGTGTGTCTGTGTGCAACTACCTGAGTGGCTCATGCAGCCAGCTATGGGCTGCAAGGTTTTGGTAGTACATGTTGTTAATGCCATTTATTGTGAAAATTCCGTCACAGTTCCTACGATTGCCTTTTCATTGCTTTCATGGCTTTATTTTGGTGATTTCGAAAAGTGTATTGGTTTAGCCATGTTTGTTTGTTGTAGTACAGAGTTAGACTGATGGCCTTAATCTAAGTTGTCTTGTGGTTGTTGTTGTTGTTTGACTTGCATCTCACTGGGATTTTTGTACACAGCGTTGGTGTACGGTGTTTTTTTCTGCAATATTTTGCTGTCTTTTCTTGGATTTAGTCACATATTCACTTTAAGATGTTTTCTTGTTCATGTTTTTTGTTTGTTGCGGTTGCACCCGAATCAAGAGCCGAATGGCTCACAGCGCTATACATAATACATGAACTTGAACTGGGGCGGTCACGCTCAGTGGCTCGGAGTAAAGTTCGCGTCTTGTTGTAGTTGTTGTTACACGTGGGTCATATGGAGTCGTGTGGAATGCGATTGATGATGTTATTATTATCGGGATTGACTTTGTTGGGGGAACAGCTGCGGGAGAAGAGACACTGCATAAACAAGTGTTTTAATTCAGGATGCTTGTCACTGTAACTGCACTTAGTGATGCTGAGTATGGATTCCTGCAGTCACGAAAGCTTCAAATCAAGATGTTTAAACCTACTTTTACAATGTTTAGAGATAGTAATTGCTGTGTGTGGATGCTGTCTCAATTTTAACATTTTTTTTATAGCGAGTTATCACCAAATTACCCGTAATGCTACATAAGTCATGAGCACACCTCTAAAGCTAAGCAGGTGTTTGAGCCTGGATAGTGTTCAAATGAGCGACCACTACGCACACACAGCTTGTTAAAGGGCCAGCATGGTTGGCAGCAGAGATGAGAACAAGCCATTGTTGTACTGAGCTTCTATGCGTCCTGCCTTCAACCCGCACTGACGAGTGTGGTGAAGTATGGTCTAATAAACACCACGACCTGCATTTTGTGGGGAGGCCTTCATCCAAGAGTTGATTAACAAAGTGCTTTGCATGCATTAAATATCAGGAGGCCCGATACTGGTTAAAATACAACCTTTGGAAAGAATGTGGTTATTTTAAGAAGACCATGCAACAACATTAGTTGTATTTATATAGTGTTTAGTTATTAACCAAAGTACTCTACTCTAATTGCGATTAATATCATCTGGTCTTGGACGCTATGCAGGGTTGAACCTGGTTTGTACTTGGATGGGTGGCTACCGAGGCTTGCCAGGTGTTGTAGGCATTAGACTGCGAGGTGGCCAGGATTTGGCAGTGTTGAATGTTACCTTTGCGTTTGTGGATTTTCCCTGGGTTCTCTGGTTTCCCCATCATATGCCAAATACTTATTTTTGGAATTGGTCAAATATCCCTGTGCAGGACCCTCATGAACAAGAGCTTTGAGGGTCAGTGACACTTTTTTATGGTTAATTAATTAGCATTAGTATTATGATTACATCATATTTAACACATGGTATGGGTAAAACGTATTATCAATAGTAAATGCCAAACCTTTCTCATTTTAAATGTGTGCTTAATTTTACCACATTACTTGGTGTTTTATCCAGATATGTATATAATTGCATATTTTAACTTCCATTGTTTTCAATAAAAGTAATACAACTTTTCAAAAACCGCATGCAGAGCATAGTGCATTGCACGACATCATGGGTCCAAAGGCTGACAGATTATAAACTAGTGCCGCTCTCAGTGCCTATCCACCGACAGAACTTTGGCCGTTCTTTCATAAGCTCATCATAGGTCATGTAGACCCTTGAAAAACATTGTCCTAAATATAAGTTATTTTTTGGCATGTCATGAAATATTGGTTAGTACATTGGACTTGTAATCCAGAGATCGCTGGTTCATTTTCCCGGCGCAGAAGTTTAAACAATGCAAGATTATTAAATCCCACCGCCTCTGTTCCCACCCAGCAGTATAAATGGATACACCACAGTCGGCCGGCAGATCATGTGTGGTGAGGTAAAACGTAGGTACTATCACCATCTCTCCAAGACAAGAGCTCATCATGGAAGGGTATGCCAGATGCCATCAAGGGAACTCTCTAGAGCTCCCTCTAACGGTGACCCCTTTCGCCAGTATTGGCGTGACCATGCAGTTACAGGGCTGTATCTTTATCTTTGACTATTCTTGCCACTTTGTTATCAGTACTTCTTGTAAGGTCAGTCACATACAGCAGTGCACAGCCCTGCTTCAAAACACCACGGGCAACAAAACTTGCATCAGTGTCATTTTCCTGAAATTATCTGATCTGCAGTGGAAATAATTTAAGTTTTTCTCTGATGTCATTGGACCTTCAAAAATGTATGTAGCTATGTTTTGTGGCAGTACAAATTTAAAGTGTTTTTTTGTGCATTTATCAGTGACTGGGCTGTTATCAGGAATCTCGGTTGGCATGGATACCTTATTCTGAGAGGCAACATAGGGTGTTAAGACAGAATCTTGATACACTTAATGACCTAAGAGTAGAGTAATACCATATACTCTGTATGAACAGCATGCTTAATACAAGATGTGAATATATAGTGATAGTCCATTAAGTGTAGTTTAATATTTATTAATGTGGATTTTCCTTAAGTTGGTTATGAGAGCCCCAATCATGTTGGAGCTACTCATGCAATGCACCAACCCAACATCCCACTCAAATTCAGGTACGTATTAAAAGTACAACTCATGACACTTGTTTGATTTCAAGTAATAACACTGCATGCAATTGTTAAGGCAAGACAAATTAAATCGGAGCTTGTTGATGTAATAATAATCACCTTTACCCTCCTTCCCAGATACTCCTTGGACAATGGGATTCTGACACCGAAACAGAGAGAATTCTACGAAGAGAATGGCTTTATCGTCATCAAAGGGCTGGTTCCGAAGACGGATCTGGATAAATACAGGTTATTAAATTAAGCAAATGATGTGCTTTTATACATTTTGGCTTGCATACATGAAACTTTCACCACATGCAGCTTGGTCTTTATCTCTCCTGCATTGCCCACAACACTCCAGACACAATTTCTGACCATCCAAGCAGCACAAACAGTCTCTGAACATTGCTGAATCTCAGCTTACTTTGTTTTGTAAAAGTGTCCTAAGAAGTGCTCTGCCAGTGTTGTGCATCCAATTTTAAGCTGCACTATTTTTAAAAGGCTTCTTGTTCACTTGCCCTACTAAAGCAGTGCCCTCTACACACACAGGAACCAGTTTGAAAAGATTTGCCGTCTGGAGGTGACCGTACCGGGCATGGTGGTCATGCGAGACATTGCCATAGCCAAATCCGAGTTTGTCCCGGACCAAAAAGCCATCACCAAGGTCCAAGATTTCCAGAACGATCCTGTTCTGTTCGAGTACTGCGAGCATCCAAAGGCATGTGCCTGTCTCTTGTTGACACAGCACAGATACATAAAACACCACCGCAAACACAATGCTGGGTCAATGGAGCTCATATTATCCAGCTTTTGCATCTCATTTATTGAGTGGGGGTTTTCTGCTACCAGGTCAAGCTGTGCTTACCAGAGAATACCATAAGACTTTTTTAAACCGCTCACATTTGTTACCACTCATTGTGCATTGCCTTGACTTGAAAACGTAGCCTGACATGAATTAATCATTGAGACACTTGTGAAAAGTCGGCAAGAGTTCTGTTCCAAGTGAAACCACTTTACTCTTCATTTTCAGGACAGCTAATGAAATAGATTTTTACCTTAAAACATGTGCAAGGTGTTTATTTCGTGACTAAAGTTTAATGTTTATTAACTGGCAGGTCGTCCAGTATGTGGAAGCTTTCACAGGAGCCAACATTATGGCCATGCACACGATGCTCATCAACAAACCTCCTGACCCTGGTAATAATTCATCCTCCCTTCATTTGCTCACATTTTAGGACTGCTTTTAATTTGCATGTGTTTAAATTGTTGGATCATATGTTAAGACCCTTTGGACATTTTAAAGATGTCAGTTCATGATTTAAAGAGAAACTTGTTCCAGTTCTGAAACTGCACTTGACATAAATAACAAACTTGCGCAATAGGTGGAATTAAATATTGCACTATTAATGTCATTAAATATAACTGCTGCATTGCAAGGGTATAACTGTAATACTTTGATGAAGTGTTAAATTACAATAATCGCCAGATAAACTCACCTCTGATATACAAATGTCTGTGGACTTATAAATATTAATTACTATCAACATTTTTAAAATGTTTAATCGACTACAGGAGGCCTGAGCCAGCTGCATACAACAACAATAATTACTATTAGTGCCCGTGGCCTGGAATCCAAACCAGATCACTGAGATTGTATCAGAGCACATGAACACTGATGCTACCGGCCTCTTTATATTTAATAGAATGTTCTAGATGGGATAGAAATCTGTAATTTGGCATTAATACAGTGGAGTCAATGCTTAAAACTAAAAACTATTCCCATCACAAATATTTTATTAACTCAACATTTTTGGACAAAAAAAGTTTGAACCCAAACTCTACAAAAGTTTGTTGATACAAGTTTTGACTGGTACTAAATCCAAATCTGCAATTATACTTTCGATAGAATATATGATCCCGATCATTACTGAACCATGTAATTTGGCTCATGTGAAGTGTGACACTTAAGCCGATAGAAAGCAGAACCCTTCATTGGTTACTACTTACTATGTTGCGTTCAAAGAGACAGTTTTAATATTAAAGTTTCTACGCATTCATACAAGTGATACAGATTGGAAGAATGCGACGTGACCCTTGAAAAGAACTGTGTAGACCCCAAAGGGTTATTTACTCGGGTTATAAACTGAGAATTTTGACCTCCAAATCCACCCATCCACACAACCTTCCCAGGCTCCAAGACGTCACGCCACCCGATGCACCAAGACCTGCACTACTTCCCTTTCCGTCCGGCCGACCGCATTGTGTGCTCGTGGACCGCCATGCAGACCATCAACCGGCAGAACGGCTGCCTGGTGGTGCTGCCCGGCACTCACAAGGGGGAGCTCAAGCAGCACGACTACCCCGAGTGGGAGGTGAGTGCGGCCAGGGCAAGCAGCCTCCTCGCCAATAAGCGGCAACACTCGCGAAAGTCGCACAAAGCACCACCTCCCGTTCCCTTGTGCATTCGCTCGGTGTCACCGCTACGTAACTGTGTATCCATTCATGGATTCAAATCGATTGTTTCACTTGTAATACACGCATCAAAGTGCGTGTTTGACAATAATAGAGTAGATTTCATTGGCAAGCTTAACCAATGAGTCTATCTCCCGCATGAGGCATGTAACGATTTATCCACAGCAACAATTAAAACATTTATGGTGGTTCGGGGTCACATTTCAATTAAAAAAGGCCTCTTGTAAATTTACACATTTCCACTTCATTACCCCTCATCAGCAAATTGTAATGTTCGTAAATTGTTTATTCTCATATCGCTGGTTTGGTGGACTCATGCAGCCAGTCAGATGACTTGTGCACTCAGCAAATGGGCATCCTCATGCGTGTGTGTGGGAGTGCAGCGTGCTGCGCAACGAACCTAGTGACCCGAGTAAGATTCCCGCTCATGGCCAACATCACTGACGATTATTATCTGAACTGGATCCGAGGCCTCCCCGAGGTCAAATCCGCCTCAAATGAGTAGTATCTGGTGCAAAGTGTGAATATCGCCATGAGGCAGAAAGCCAGCCAGGTGTGGTGCCGGCCTGCATGGATGCTCGCTAACAGGACTTGCCCCAAAAGTCTGTTGAGACGATACAGGGGATCTTTGTCGTGGTTAGTGCACTGAACGATGAACTCAGCGGCATGAATTCAGTTCCTGCTTATGGCCAACAGTGGCGACACATATCTGAACCGGTACTGGTCCTCCCCTAGGTCAACTCAGCCTTAAATTCGTATTTGGTGTGGTGTGTAAACATCAGCACCCACCCCCTCGTTTGCCGTGCCGGCCTTCATAGGTGCTTACTGACAGCGCTTGCCCCAGCAGTGAGTTAAAGGATCTTTGTGTGTGTGCACGCAGGGCGGCGTGAACAAGATGTATCACGGCGTGCGGGACTATGACCCGACGATGCCGCGCGTTCACCTGGACATGGAGGAGGGTGACACCGTGTTCTTCCATCCCCTGCTCATCCACGGATCCGGCACGAACAACACTGATGGTTTCCGCAAGGTGGGGCCACTTCCACCACGACCGTCATCTGCACTGAAACAAGTTTTTGTTTTATATTCTTTGGGTCTTTCGGTAAAGTCACGTAGATAGGTTGAAATAAAATGACAAAAAACTACGACGTTTCGATCACAACACAAGCGATCGTCATCAGGAGGATCAGATGAGCCTATCGACGTGACTTTACCGAAAGACCCAAAGAATATGAATTGCTGCAGTCACAAAAGTTTGAAGTCAAGTTTTTTTTATTTATTCTCATCCCAATTTACCAGCTGCACTCTATTAATATCTCAAGTCAAGTTGTCTCCTTGCACGTACGAGCGTTAGCCGTTGTTCATCGCCATTGGTGGACAATGGTCCAGTGGAGGAAATTGGACATCCTTCATAAAAGGGCCAGGGTTTCCAAAGGAAAACCACTGTAAACGGCTGAGTTAATTGCCAATGGATGACATTTTTTTATTCTATTTCATGCTTGAATAAAACTGACTACAGTTGGTGTGGGCAGGTAGTAAGATGGTGGTGTGTTGGGGTGCTAAAAACATATGCAAGGCAGGTATTTAATGGATTGGTTAATCACGTAAATAATCGTTTTTGAAACTTTGGTAGAGCTGGAAGGTGAATATTAAATGTAAATACAGAAAATACGTGGCTGACCTATCAGTAGGGATTTTTTAATGTCACGTTATCCCCTCATTTCGTGTTTTCTCTCGTTAATATTTCCACTACCCATTCAGAAATCGGTCAAGCATCACAATGCAGGATCATCTATAAGATAGTCTCGTGAGACTCGGATACAACTTTCTTGGATAAATAAATAACATCCTTATTGTTTCCTCAATCTGCACAGTCCATCTCCTGCCACTACGCGAGCAGTGAGTGCAACTACATCGAGGTGAAGGGCACGAGCCAGGAAAACATTGAGAATGAGGTGAAGGACATTGTTCGGAAACGTCACGGCATCACTGAGCTCGACTTCTCGGTACGCAACTCTGTTTTGAACGCTTTTCTGAGCATTGGTGTCGTAGTTAAGGCGCTGCACTACAAACCTGGCCACCTAATGCCAGTGGGGAGTGATATCTGAACCTATACTGAGCCTCCACTAGGTTGACCCAGCCTTCAATCAGTACCTGGTGCTGATGTGTAAATGTGTAAATATCAGCACCGGGGGAGACAAAGGCGGCCGGGTGTGGTTCTTGCCACAACACCCCCTCGTGTGCTATGCCAACCTTTATAGGCGCTCACTAACTAACAGCACTTGCCCACACAGTTTGTAAAGCTACATGGGGAATATTTGTCTACGAAGTGGTCAACAGACTGCACTACGACCCTAATAGCCCATGTTTTATTCCTGGGTGTGGTAGGTAACACCATTGCCGATTGCTCTCTGAACCTGGACGTAGTCGCCCTGAGGTTAATGCAGTTTAAAATAGAACCTTGGTGCAATGTGTCAGCATTAGCACTAGGAATAAGGACAAAGATTCTCCATGTTGCTGCGTTGTGCTGAGACCTGCAGTTAGTATGGATCATTTGGTCAGGCTACATGCACATGGCTGCATTTGTCTCCCCGATTGCTGATGCTGGCATCCTGCAGCAAATACTCTCTTTAGACTGAGTTGATCTAGGGGAGACCAGCTTCAGATTCAAGTGTTTTTAGGCTTTTATGCTGGGTCATGATGAGTGCACAAGCACTATGTCAAACTTGTGCGGCCCATTGAGGCGAAGGGCTGCTCATGTGGCTCACTAACTAGTTTAGGATTGCCCATCATCACTGCAATATACCAAAATAAAAATGATACGCGAAAACATGAATGTATTTCACAGTTGTTCAGTGCATAATCACTACCTGTGCACTATTTTATGCATTTGGTTGAGGAGTTGTGAGATTGACGGTGCCCGCGTTGACTTCACACAGGACGTGTGGCACATCAAGGGACGACTCGTGAAGGGAGAGAGGCTGCAGCTGTGAGGGGGCTTTGCCACGTGCCTTCACACCACTGATGGTTCTCTTAGAATCCCTGCCACCCAATCATTTGTGTCCCCTTTAATACGCCTTAAATGGATCTTCTATTTCAGACCCAATAGTCATAAAGCAGCAGTTATTAAAGCCATTGGCTGCTCCATCTTGGTCAATATTTTGAGGTCAATCACTGATGACATGCACACTGGATATTCCATCTTCAAGCAGAACAGAAGTACTTGGAAGCAATGCAAACTTCACATGAGGAGTGGTAAAAATAATATGCAAATGCTGGTGAACTAGGTCTCCTCATATGACGTCACGTGGCGTCCTCAAAACATCTGTACATGTAACAACTAATCTGGACCTCTTTTTTCCAGGTCCCACTTCTACCTTGCTTTTCTTGCTATAATCTCACTAATCTTTATCTCTTGTCTGCAGCTATATTATCTCTCGTGCATCTCTCAGATCCGTGTTTCTCCGTCTTGGCGAGCCATATCTCTCAGCAGGCCATATGGGTCGACAGGTGAAGAACTCTTTCGTAGAGCCACTACATAAGCTGATATTCTGGTCTGCAATGCCTTTGTGTTCTGAAATGTTTTCACATGTTTTAAGTAATTCGTTAATGCTTCCATGAGTTTCTGATTCTGTTGGCTGTTGTGACTAGTGCATTTCACATTAGATGTTTTAGCAAGCAAAAAATAAAAAAAATAACCATTCTAACTTAGGAAGAGCATTATGATTTTATTTGACATTTGAGGTGCGTAATTTCTGAGGTAAAACCATAAATGAGTTTCATCTCGAGTGTTTATCTTGTTGAACGATGATGGGGACTGTTTCAGCACTTTTGAGCAAGGTTTCCTCTGGACAATAAGGGGTTAAAACTTGGCACTTTCTTGGTTTGATTTTGCAATGATTACAGTTTTCTGCATATAAAGCAAATGCTGTTAATTGTAAAAGTAAATGTAGATTTGAGTCCTAAAAGATGCAATACCTCGCTATAAATGAGTTTGAAATTATTTTTAATAAAGTGTTTAAATTCATAACTGTATTTCGTTTTGTTTTATTTACCGAGTATCCCATGTCATCAAATGGACACATAACATTGTTAAAATTGAGTTGCAAATCATTAACACAACGCGAGATTTGAGTTATCACATTGAAAGATGTTGACCCAGGATATTTAAGTAATATTACTGATGGTAGTGTGCTGTCGTAATTCCTCATTGACGTGTGCTAGATCATACAGCAAAGTGATCAAATTGTGAATAATCTGACCATTGGGCTCTTCGGCACATGTATAAATCTTAGAATTTCTTCATAAAAGGTGAAGATGTGAGTATGAAAAAGATTGATTCTCTATAACTTGAGCAAAACTTTCATCGGCAACTACTGGGATCATGGCCAATCTGTGCTTCTCACTGCTTGGCGAATAGTCGCCATGTAATCTGCATGCCAGACACACGCACACAGACACGCGCGCACACAGACACGCACACACACGCACCTTGAGAGGCGTGTAGCCGAGATGAGCACACATTCGGCTGGTTTGGAGAGACCAGCAGGAGCCATGACTCGCACAGCGCTCTCTCTGCTCGTCCTTGCGCTCTTCTGTAAGTCGTCCTCTCACGGAGGCCCAGCACCACTCACCCCTGCAGCTCAAGCGCCACATTGGGGCGCCACGTTGGTGCCACGGTGGCGAGACGTTAACTACCTTGCCTGGTATACAGGAGTTGGTGGGTTCGATCCAGACCCTGACGCCTGTATATTTGGAGTTTGCATGTCTCTCTCTCCCCGTTGTCGCGTGGATTTTTATCCGGATCCTCCGGCTTTTTCATCCACATTTAGAAACGTGCGTTTTTAGAGTATTTGGCTGCTATAAAATCCCACATGATAAGCCACTAAGTGGAGCTATCACTTGTGGCCAGGTCGCTTGTGAAAATGAGCTTCATATCTAAGTGGGCATTATCTGGTAAACAAAAAATACAGTAGTTTAGTTTTACATTGTCCGTTTATTGGTGAACTTAATAGGAATGTGAGCTACGCATGCCGACAGGTCTGAGTTGAGCTGTAGATGAAAGAAAAGCTAAGGAACGCCTATGGGCTTGGTGGTACAATGAGTCCAGTTCAATCGTCAGTACATTTCCGTATATCATGCGCATTTGCTTATGGTTATAAATGATGTAATTACAAATAAACATGCAATTTTGTTTATACATATTTTTTCAGATCTCGGCCTGCAATATTGTAAATGCATGAAATGTTTTAATACGTTTTTTACACATTTAATTAAAATGTAGTTGTTTATAATAAGATACATATTTACAATATAGTGTTGCACTAACATGGGTCATGTTTATTTTTAATTGTATTCAAATAAATAAAATAGTGCTGTGTATAGTGAGTAGTTTGTATTATTTTACGAGTGATAGCGTTATCACACTTAGTATTCATACATTGACAATTCATTTAAATTGAATCACAGTAAAAAATGTTACGTAAAAAAGCTGGAACTACCCTAAACCCGATATTTGTATAAAGCTCAATTATACAATTAGTTGACCAGCTGTCGTATCGTGATTTTTTTTGTCACTGACAATATACTTTAAATATTATTTGTGTTGAGATAGAATATTTAGACTGGAGGAATCCGACTGAGCTATAAAGATTTTTCACAGATGTCTAGGAGATACATTTGCTTTATTTAGAATTTGTAATTCATGATTGAACTCAATGGACCAGATGACACTCAGTCATGCCTACTTTTAAGGCTGCCCTAACATGGGTTCTGTATCGGATGGGGCACAGCAGCCATCCTACAACAGAGCCAATGGTGTGATGACAAGTTCACTGTAAACTGTCATCTGGATAAATTGGCATGCGAATTTAAAGAAAAAATTAGTCTTAAACTTAACTTCAAATGTCATTACTGCAATATTACTGTCTAAATACGAAAATAGGGCGAAATAATGGATAACTAATATCCTTTCTTCCTGTGGGAAATGCACGTCACACCTTGTCGTTTAATACTCATGTTGGTACTTTGTGTATGTGAGTGTATTTACAGCAACACAAGATGTTTCGTAAATTGTATCTGAGAAGCAAAGGCGTGCATTTATATACGCCGAGGAGTCGGTACAATATCCAATGGGAATTAACTGCAGAAATTGTTAAGTGGAGCTTAATAAAAGAAGGCTGAAAAGTTGAGCTCAAGGTAAATGAGTTGCGTTCATCAACTGTGATCAACAACTCTCAGACGGAGACGGCTGCTAAACGCAGGTCAGTTATTCAAAGTGGACAGAGATTAAACTGATTTCATAATCAGGTGGAAAACTGTGGGCTGGAGTGCTTTGGAAAGCTTGATGATGAAAAGCAATGTGCCTAAGGAATATAATTATAATATATCATCAGTGAATATTAGCCGCTCTGACACGTGCTTCATAAACGTGGACATGGACAAAGGAAACGGAACAGGTGCACAAATCAAGAAGAGAAGCATTCTTAGAATTGTATTGGGAGAGGAACTCATACATTGGAAGCCGTATACTGGAAGCTAGAGACTTCATATTGACTTGAGAAAAGTGGGCTAGAGCAGGTTATCATCGCAGGACTGGAGGATGCTCGGTGGTTGAGATTAACAATGGGGTGGCAGACAAGAGGGGAACACATCTCAGAGGACGATCGCCGTGATGAAAAACAAGCTAAGGAAAGCCGATGGGTTTGATGTTACAATGAGTACAGTTCAATAGTCAGTACATTTCCGTATATCATGAGCATTTGCTTATGGTTATAAATTATGTAATTACAAATAAATATGCATTTTTGTTTGTGCATATTTTTCAGATCTCGCCTTGCAATATTGTAAATGCATGAAATGTTTTAATACGTTTTTTTACACATTTAATTAATATGTAGTTGTTTATAATAATATACATACTTGCAATATAGTGTTGCAATAACATGGGTCATATTTCTTTTTAGTTGTATTCAAATGAGGGATGACATCGGCTCGTGTGGGCACAAGCCCCGGGTGGATTGTCACATCGCACAACCCCACGTGGGATGATGGCAGCACCTTGGGGAAGACTTTAATCCAGCGGTGAATGAATGATGGTTGATGACGATTATCCAACTGCTTCGTTCACTGCACTACGAACTCGGAAACCTGAAAATGTGATTCCTGACCCGGTCATAGGCACTCCTCCCTTTCACCAACCTGCAATGACCACCGCGGCGAAGTATCATTAATAAAACACTCAAGAGTGACACTGTGTGTGGAGCCCTTCATCCAGCAGTGGATGGACAAAGGCTGTAATTCAAATCAATGTCCTATGCTATAGGTGAAAAGGGTTGCTTCGGTGTATGTGTGTGTTCACCATTCGTTGTTTTTGAGCGAATCCACTCATGTTATTGTTGCATTCACCCGATGCTGCCTGAAATATGCCACGATTTTACTTAACAGGCATCCAGGAGGGCAGAGCAGCTACACTCATGAAGGCAATTCAAGGTAACGCAACTTGTAGCACCACCACCACCACCGTGACCTGAACACCAGACACTTACGAAAACCCTCAGCCGAGGTAGCAACTCAGTGAATTTCCCTATTCTCCGTATTAAGAGATGCTCCAGAAAGACAGGCCCCCAAATATTTGTCTTGGGGTCAGAAATGGATTACATCACCCAGACACGCACACGCGCGTGTCTCAACGACTTAAGCGTGAGACACAAGAACACGCATCTCATGGTGTCCTCTAATTATCAATTCGGGGGATCCAACAGGAATGCTTCACTCTTTAACAACACGCGAGTTAAACTCGTGAACACTAATACAACAACGGGTAGAAGATGTCACCATTAGAGGGGCCAGTTTCAAGAAGTGCACAGAAAGAGAATATGTTTAGACTGAGCACATGCCCTGGGTATGGACACAAAGGATGCACTGATTTGGTTGTAGTCTATGGTCCCAATATCTATCATTTGCTGATAAAGGGCTAGATGACAAACCATTACATCAATGCTAAAAGTAAGTTACTGTGTGCCAGACTCAAACGTCGGGCATGAAGGTTATCAGCAACTAACACTACTATCAATATTTAGGTATCCTTTATGCAAGAGAAAATGCATACTTTATTAGGCTTTCACCCTGAGTATGGGCACATACTTAATGTATAATACAATGGCATTAAAAGCAAAGCTCCTTAATGGAACTAGTCAAACATCCCAATTTAGTCCTCTTCAGAAAAATGTATTTACTCAACGAGATTGTCCTGTATAAATAAATTGCATTATGACTATTCAAGCAGTCCTCGACTTAAGAACGGGTTACGTTCCTTAGGCACATTCATTCGCACGTCGATTTGTTCCTATCTCGGAACTCAATATTTATTTGTACATTTAGTGTTATAAAATGTGATACGGTTCAACAAAAAATGGAAGCATTGTTACATTAATAAATCTGCAAATTATACTGTATAGTAAATCCAGTTAAAGATAAAGTAACACGAAAATTAAATATAAATATTATCACTTACCTTGATTTGAACGGTTAACTTTTGTTGTGCATCACATGGGATTCTGGGACTCAAAAGCACAACCAAACGCTCGCAAATCGGATGGTCAAAATAATCTCACGGCATTGTTTTAAAGTCGTGCGTTCGTATCTCGGGGACTGCCTGCACTATGGTTTTTATCCACCTGCTTGCAGACCCGAGTGCGGTGTTTGTGCGAGAGGAGACCGCAGCCAGCTTCCTCCGTCCACGCCGCTCGGTCAAGCTGCAGCGTGAAATCATCGGTGAGCGAGCGAGCGAGCCCTGTGGCCCATCATAACCCTCGCTCCAGCAGCAGCCTGCAAACAAAGCGCTGCAGTTTCGTTTTTAAATGTTCATCGGCGGAGGTCCAGGGCTTTGTGACCGTTCGGTTCGAGGTCACATTGATGATGCGCACGCGTGTGGGACAGCGGAGCAGACGCAGAGCCTCTTGGCGGACAAGCGACGCACGGAATACCGTGAGGAGCAGATCAAGGCACGGGAGAACTTTGCTGAGGAAGAACGATCTGGTAAGGAGTGGCCAGTCACAACCCACAGACATATCTTCATCTGGATCACATTGCTCTCACATTTCAAAACTGCAGAAATATGGTGGTGTTTTCAAGTTATCAAAGTATCATGGCCTAATTAGTTTTATTTATATATTTGAAATGCCGTTATTTTGTGCTTCTAGAGTTGAGACAATCGTCATCCTGATCTATTCACTGATAGACGTGTCAATGCCATTCCTCGTCTTGTGATATCATAATCCATCTCACTCCTGTGCACGAGCTGCTCTCATTGAGCCATCCGTGTGGTAGTCATACGCTGGTGTTTTTTTGCTGTGGAGCAAAGTTGGCATCATTGCAACTATCAAGTACAATTAAACGCTGTGCCAGGGGTAAAGCAAGTGCAAAATAAAACTTTGGCGTCAACGGTGGCCACGACAGAGTTTAGTTTGTCAACTTGAAAGCTCACATTTCGCTTGAAGCATCAATATGGCAAAAGTATTACTGCTGTAAGCCACGTGGTTTTTTTACGTTTAGCTTAATGCCGTGGCAGTTAGGGTTAGTGTCCGTCACTCAGTTGTGCTGTCCTCCACAGAGACGTACGAGCAGACCCGGGAGGCGACCGAGTCGTGGAGAGAATACCACTACGACGGACTCTACCCCTCCTACCGCTTAAACCGCCACATTCCCTACTGAGCCACACCAAGAGGACGCAAGAGCCAGCAGAAATCCGCTGAGGCACTCGACAACAATGTGCTATGCACATCCCCAGCGGAGCCCAAGATATGCTGCCAACTGCTGGGTCTAAACAGATGATCAATATCAATAAACCGTGTGCAAAGTAATCAACGCATGAGCATGCAATATTAATGTTCAATGGATGCATTATTTGCAGTTTAACATTCAACAAAACCTGCATACTTGTGGTAGGATACACATGGCCATTTCTGGTTGGATGAGAGTTATTAAATAATCTACTTCCCATCAAAATCAGTCCAGTTATGAAGTTTAATTTTGGGATTATTAAATCGTGGCCTAGCATGTACCCACTATATTGGATTTTATATATTGGGTCAAATCCAAAAGTGATCAAACATAATACGCAACCGTTATCCTGTTTAAACTCACAGATGAGTGATGGTGCAAATGGCTCATGAACTGGATGTGAAATATTTTGGTCTCTTAAAATAACCACACCTACAGACCCAAGAGCTTGCAGAAATAGGTCCCTTTAAGTGCACCTTTTACACAAATTGATATCGATAGCTTTGCAAAAAACATTTTATGTTGTAATGTTCATAACTAAATACGACCACAATTATCCATCCAGAACTACCAACACAAGTTTTTTGTCTAAATGGTATACATTTTTGCAACAAATATCAGCAAGCATGTTTTTGCTTGTATGTTAAATTCACTTTTTCTTAAAAGCTTGTTGTCTCAGCATAAAATGTTGCATAGTCAATGTTCATATTTGAATTGCTTCCTGCTTTAGTGTGATACTTTAGTTACAAAACGTGAATAAATCTTTTTTTGGAACGTTAAAATACTCGCATTTTTTAAACATTTCACCAGTTTTTACTGTGCCCATACACATACGAGTTTAGCAGATTTGATCCTTAAAATTCCACACTACATTGGCAAATTCTACACCACAGTGGCACACGAAACACCGTGTGCTCAAGATGTGAAGGTGATAAAGAGCCCCTTGTCAAGTCTGCTTAAACTGATGGGGCAATGCTAGTGGCGAGCAGCTATTACAACTGGCACAGCCAGTTGAGGCAGCGGTGCTGCCACTGTCTGGATGTGTGTATCTCACTGCGCAAGGTCACTTAAGGCTGAGTAAATTTTAAACCCAAACTAGTTCATATAGCCAATGGTCTGTAGTTAGATAACAGACAATATAATTACGTTACCTTACTAAAATTAATTTCTGGAAATGTTAGCCCTGCAAGAAATACCTGCATTTAACAGCTAAAGTATGATAAAAAAAAAAACTTGTGAAATACTTATTGGTTAACTTTAGAACATTTATTCATTAAAGTATAAACACCACCAGTGCCCTGCACCAAATAAAAATGTTGACTTAAAACGAATGCCTAAAACCTGGAAATCAGGGTCAAAGACATCTTAAAAGTAACTTTCAATGCATTGGCAATTAAATGCTTACTTCAACGATAAAAAACCAAGCTCCAATATTTGCTACATTCCAACCCAAATATCAAGTGGCTCTATCCACAGAAATTGCATTACAGCACATACTGGAATGTACCAATAAAACACATTGCAATTATTAATCAATCTGAGGTACAACCAGCATGATGTATAATAAGATGGTGACCAATACATGGTTTAAGAGAGCAATGATTTAATTAATCGGTAGCCATGCAAACATTTGTAGAATGTATACATACAAAAATACTAATATAAAAGTCAATGGGAAAATTATTTGGGGAGTTTTATAATTTTTCACATTTTCAAATCCAAATAAATGTTATGGGTTTTCCTACATTAAAAATCCTAATTGTTGTAAAATTACAGTACTTAAGACACTACATAAACACAAACATGTTACTTCCAAGAATAATAAAGCTATTATTTACAATTACAATGCTCCTGCCAAGTATTTATAACTTTTTTACCGGGCCTTTCACATAGCGGAAGCTTCACACGCTACACTTTTGGTAAAACGATGGCTTACATCATAAAAAAGAGTAACAGATACACATTGTTAGCTTCATTGCACGGTGGAATTCCTATGACAAGCATCATGATTGTGCACCTATTTGGGCAGGCACAACACACCAGATGGGACAGTGGGACCAGCACCCGCACACTCAGCTGCTTTTCACTCCCGATGGCTGATGTCAATACAGTGCAGTGTGTAAATGCATGCAACCACCAGTGGTTGACAGTGGCCCTGATAAAAAGAATGAAATGGGGGCCGCCCCTGTTCAATCGTTACCATCTTTGTAGCCCAGCACCTGAGCCCCCTCCAACCCTTGGGGCTCAGTACAGAAGCACTGTTCCACACTCGATAGCCACACAAAACTACAAGTACAACGGGTATTGAACACTTTCCGGGAGAACATCATTGATGTCAAAGTGTATCATCCCATCTTGGAAATGATCCCTGCAAACACTCAGGCCAAGCTGTTGAGAAACTTTGCCTGCTCTTCGCCACGTGGCAACAAAGTCTCGGCTCCGATCTTCGGCCCCTTCCTCTCCTGTGCGGCAGACACACGAAATCACAGTTACTGTCTGGTACATGCCCACGGAGAGCAATATAGCAAGAAAAAAGTGCCGGGGGAGAATAATTCTAATTGATGGATTACATGAGAAACAAACATTCAAGTAGGATGAACCACCACCATCAAGTACTGATTTGCAGCAGGTATTCAGCCACCAAGAACGTTTCAAATGTATTTGAAGGAAACATCTCAAACTAGTAATGCTACAACTGTTGTCAATCCTCCAAATGTTGTTGCTAACCTTTCGTTCGAATTCCTATTACCGCAATTTGCCAGATGAGAAAAAACAGTACACACTTGAGGTTCAAAAATTACTGGGAGGCTATATGAACAAAATCAATGATAATCTGAAAATTTTCACTCACCTACGATTTTCATCAAGACAGCAATACTCTCTAAATACTAACAACGAGTTCATTTTTTATATAAAGTAGGGCAATTAACCTGTCAAATCAAAGAGAAGTCTTAATTGTGTGGGTGTCTCATGCATTCTCATTCACAAACCTTCAACATTGAGTCCCTTTCCCACTTGAACTGCCCACAGTTTCTGTAATACGATAGCACATTTTCACTTGATTAATATTTGAATTAAAATGTTTGTACAAGTACATCATAAAAAATAAATCTGGCATAAAAGCCACAGCATACACACAGTGATTAAAGTACCCACAGTAAATACTCGTAGCACTGAAAAAAACCACAGCACAAACACTGCAGACAGAGTGCAGCACACATGGTACATAAACACACAGGGAATGGAACACACTGAAGTGCACACGGAACACTGGAATAAACCAAAATCGACACAACCACATACTATATCAAGTTACAGCATATGCAGAACTGGGACAAGCCATAGCACACACAGCACCAGGAAAAACAGCTCAAGCAAATAAACAGCACTGGAACAGTAAAGTGCACAACCACACAGCCCTGGAAGGGTAGTAGTAGGTTTTTACCCTTTTAAACTGGTACAAAACACCTTTATTCAAGGCATCATGTTTGCAATAACCACAACACAAGTAGTCAAAAAAGCAAACAAAAAGAAGCAACTCTGATAATGATAATAATATGCACTGTCATTATCAGAGTTGCTTCTTTTTGTTTGCTTTTTTGACTACTTGTGTTGTGGTTATTGCAAACATGATGCCTTGAATAAAGGTGTCAGTTTTGTACCAGTTTAAAAGGGTAAAAACCTACTACTATATTTTGCCACTGGTAAAAGAGATCTCATAGCCCTGGAAGGGTGAGCACACACACACACACACCAGCAGTGGCATAGTATTCACAGAGCACTGGGGGAAGTCACAGCGAGCACACGGGCCACCAGGCACGTACTTGCAGTGTTTCTGGGGCAGCCTGTCGAGCGACACGGTGCGGTGGCTGCACTGGCCACAGCGGAAGAATCGCTTGACGCCGTCGTGCCATGACAGCGTGTGCATCTGCTGCACGCACGTCTCCAGCGCCTTGTAGTGCGTGTACTTGCACTGTGGCGAGAGGGGACAGGGACGACAGGGGACACAAGGAAGATTAGGTTTAAATACAGTTTGCGGAGCTCGTAAATATGTCATTCAAATGAAGTGGCTAACACAGTAGCAAATAACTGAGTTGGCAGCAAGGACATCCTGGGTTCAAATACAGTTGCCAGTAATTAATATACATTTTCAAGTGTAGTGAGTTGGTGGCCTAAGCTGTAACACAATGCTCAATTAGAATGCAATTGTAATTAAAAAACTTTTGTAAAAAAAAAAAAATTGATGATTCTACACCTGCTTGCAGCTCACAACACGGCACTTTTGTTCCTTCAAGTTCTTCATCTTCTCTTCCATCTGCTCCTTCTTCTCCCGAACGTTGAAGTACTGCTCTTGTAGGTCATCCTCTGCCTATGGGTGTGGATAAACATACCGCCAAATAGGCAAAACACCGTGGAAGATGCTTATTGAAACGAGGACGATGGCAACAGATACGGCGACAATGACAAATAGGGGCTACAGCAATACAGGGAAAGGAGATGCAGGGTGCTTCAAAACAAATGTTAACACTTCTGAGAATTTGTAACAACAAGAAATGTGCCTCCGGGCTCTGGAGGCCACCTGAAGAAGATTCCAGGCACGTGTCGACAATGATGGTGAACAAGTGGCGACTCTTTTGACTTTTTGAAGCAATTAATATACATTTGTTATCATGTTACAGTGTATTATCCGTTCTTTTTCCATTAAAAACGATAGTCCTATATAAGTGTTAACAATTTTTTTTAAGCACCCTGGACTTATATTCAGGTGAAAAGGTATCAAGGGACTTCCACAAAACTACACGGCTATGCTAATTAACAGGCATATAGACACGTACACAAGTACAGGAGTGATATTGAGGCAAAAGGGCACGTGGATTTATTTTGCATGACTATCATTGGCAAGTGACTACACAGATGATCTATGGGATAAACAAATGATATTCTCTATTAATTTGCAATAATGTTTACAGCAATATGGTGGCCTGTGCCATGAACTGGCAGGCTGCTGCCTTGTTAAATAACTTAATTACTATTAATTAAGATGCACCTCCAATTAGCACGGTTGGCATTGTACGGTGCGAAAGAAGTTTGACATAACATACATATTAACTTTTTACAGCATCCTATTTAAGGCGACCACAACATATGAGACACCAACAGCCGCCCACACACCCATGGGTCATTATGAAAAACTCAAAGACAACTGGGTCCGTAGCGGCACCGCGTGCGCACCGATCACGCAGCGACGGCGTCGCAGCCACCCACGCACCTGCCGCACTTTATCCGAGTGCTTGGACCGCGCCGCCAGCAACTGCTGGAACTCGGGTGAGTTAAAGAGCTCCGAGTTCCGCCGTGCTCGCTTGGAAGCCGGTTCCTGACCGCTTTGCTCTTCTGAGAAACAACAGCCACGGGGGGAAAAGAGAGACTTGAGTTGAGCCAAGCGGTGCCACAAATGGTTGAAGCTAAGTGGATTTGACGTGGGCACGAGTTAATTTTCCACCAGCTGTCCAAAACACCCCATTAATGTGGGTCTCAAAGTCCAGGTGGGGTTATAGCATATAGTAAGTCGCACCTAAAACTTTCGGGACATTTTTTTTTCAAAAGAAAAATTTTATTAATCGAGAGATTATGGGTGCTATGGGAGAGCCGATGCCTGGAAGATTACGCACGCACGGCTTAAAAATGGGGAAAAAGACGTCTTCTGGAAGATTATGCTGGACAACTAGATTAAAACCCTTCTTCCGGAAGACAACACATTCCATTCCCCCAAACTTAGCCTTAAAATACAGGGGGAAAAATGCATATTATTATTATTTGGAGAATATTTTACACGGTTACTCTTCAGTACCTGGGGAGGAGGCGGTGTCCTCCTCCGTGCGCTGCAGGACGGCTCGCACCGTCTCCCCGGCCACCTTCCGCTTCACAGCGTTGGGGTTCTGCTTTTCCAGTTGCTTGCCATTGGCCCGCAGCTTATGCACAGCAGCCAGCTGCGACCAGCACGTGTGCTCATTATTCATCTTAACTGATAAAAACAATCCAGAGGCAGCTGTGAACATAAGACCACATCTCCACCATTTATAATAAGAGATTTGGGCCAAATTTCGATTTAAAGCTTTCGTGACTGCAGGGATTCATCTTCTTGGTTCTTTCGGTAAAGTCACGTAGAAGGGAAGTATGTTTTATTTGTATTATTTTATTACTTCCCTTCTACGTGACTTTACCGAAAGAACCAAGAAGAAGATTTGGGCCATTTGAGGTTGAACTGATACCCAATGCAATTGTTGGAAGAATTGTGTAGTTTCTCCCATTTATTGGTGAGAAATATCACCACTTACTTGCCAATTGAATTTCCTTTATATATTCAGTAAAGCCTTAAATAATCTCAGGACACTGTTTTTAAAAAGGTTTTGCATGAGGACATTTGGCAAATTCCTTCAAAAACAGTGTTTCTCTGAAGTAGAGAACTAAACATTGTTGTAATGTTGTAATGAAGTCGACCAACACCCAAAGGTCCAGGGAGATATGTTATCTACTGACCACCCCATAGCCTTGCAAGTTGAAAATATCACAGCCAAAAATGACATTCCCCGATGCACAAACCACGCCCGCAATGCGCCGCAATACTGGTGTGTGTCACCACCCGGCGTTTTCCACTGGAACTGACGGCGAGTACGTTTTTTTTTAAATGCATGACCAGTGCCGTCAAGAGTTTGGCAGGGGTGGGGGGGGTCCTCACCTTTTTCCTATCGGCGTTTGACGCTCGCTTGTTCGGTTGTGGAGGCGAGTCAAACAAGAAAACCTCGTCCCCATCTCGGAGTCCGCTGCCGATGCGCGGAGTCCTGACCGAGGTGGATGGCAAGGGGATCGGTGAAGAGGACATGCTGCCACCTGGCTCGGGTCTGACTGGCCTCTCCGTCGTGTCCGTCGGAGTCGCTGGGTTTGCTTCGTGGCGCGAAGCAGAAGGGGTATCTGCGATCTGAAGAAGCCTGTACATGAAAGCAAAAAACATATATTTTGTGAATAATTAATAAATATAGTGATTATTAGCCAGTTTAATAAGCTTTATAATTGTGCCAAAGTGCCAAACCGGTACCACTGCGATCCTGCATTCAAACCTTGAGTCTCTCTCTCTCTCTCAGGGGACTCGTAATACTCATGTCAGAGCTATAAGCCAGCTACAGAGACATTGAAGGTTGAAGCCCTAATGCTGGGTATGTGTCTCCGTCACTTTCACTGGGCTCAATGTTCATGCAGCAATAATCTGCTTTATGTGAGAGTTCTGGATAGTTATTTACCATACAATTCCTTACACATTTAAAAATCCATTTCATAAATATCTACTTGAAATAGTCTATATAGGTAGGCTTAAATAATAATAATAAAAGAATAAACTTTTTATATAGCTGTCGGTTTTCTTTTAAACCTATACTATTTTATCCAAAAACATTAATAAAGGCAAAAGGCCCAACATCCCAATGCAGCATCCTCCTTTTTAAGTCTTGATGCCCACTGAGGCTTTCCTGGACAAAAAAAGCTTATATCTCTGCTGCCTAGCTAAATCCCATTGATAAATGTGCGGTTAACCTCAAGGAAATGTTTTGTTTTAAACCAATTACTTTTTAGAAAAGCGATTTTATTTAAAATAATTGCGCACTTCGGTTTGGTGGTTCATGTTCGAAGTGTACTGTGACCCTCAAAGGAATGGCACCGCTCCCGTGGTCGCCCCAGGTGATACGTGGATCAAACAAATCACTCGAGACCACAGCGTATGGCAGCAAGAGCAGTTCATGCGATTTCTGTCGCAAGAGGTCATACGCTGACTAAGCACGAGGAATGAATGCATTGTTAGGAATAGAGAAGACATGGCTGTGTGGTGGCATTGGACGCACTTGGCTTCTCGGTCCTCGCTGCGCTTGCGACGGGCATCCTGCAGTCCCCTCTTCTGCTGCCTAATCAGCTCGGCTGCAGATATTGACTGCACGTTGGCTCTCGGCTTCCCGTCAGCACCTTGCTCCGCACATACGAACAGCACACGTGTGTGTGAACGCACGTCGCCACAGCTGCAAACGGCCGAACATTACGCACTCAAAATATACAACTGCCGTGTTGTGTGTGTGTGCGTAAAATGATACTGTATGGCACGTGTATATAAAATGTGCATGTATTATGCAAGAGAAAATGTACAGATATAAACAAGAATATAATATAAAAAATAGCTCATACACAGTATTTTATGTTTCTAGTAACCCTTGCTAGCGACTGAATTCTAATATTTGTCTTCATCCCGAAATGTATCCCGATTGTGTGATTGGCTTCATGTTATGAGTCGCAGTATCAATTCCGACATCTTGAGCAGAGCAAATATTTGTGAGAGAATTGCCCACGAAAGTAAATATCAGAGCTGAGATATTTTCAGGCAACCTTTGGTTCCACCAATAGGGGGCAGCATTTTCCCACTTGTCCTGCCACCGACAGTAATGTTTGATGCGTGACAGTTAAACTGATTCGTTTAAATCTCATAGCTGACATTTAGTCAAATTATGTACACTCAAATGTAATGTGATAATTAGTTTGTGCAGTCACTGATGACTGGGTGGAGACCATCAACTCACAACATTTAGAGAACCCAGATTAATAGCAGGCAGCTGTCTGGATTCACACCCAGGAACTAAGCAGTGCCAGCTCAGCGGTCTGACCTCTAACCCACCAAGGTTGCGGCTCCAACATTAGCACAATGTTCGGTTGGTAGTACACTTTCCTGCATCTCACTGTCAAAATTGTTTTGATCATCCTTTGCGTTTCAGTGTGTATGCAATATATATTTTAATACAAATATATGCCTGCAGAGACCTTTGTAAGCAAGCATAGTTAAATTTAGAGGGCAAGTACTGTGAGACGTGTGTGTTTCTTTGTGTGTTTAAATATTATAGTATGGGCTGCGTTTTATTCACCTGTGGTGGAGGTCTGTACCAGATGCTTCTTCAGATTGAGTGCCCCAGGTGTGGGAGCCTTCAATAGGCCCTGAAAATCTTCTGAACAACCAGTCACGCTGCCACTCGAAGGAACCATACCTAGATGCCCAGTCAAAAACACACACAATGCGTGCCACAAATGAGCCACAATACTTTGCTCACCTCGTCAAAGAGCATAAACATCACGCGAACCCCGATCATCATCGCAGCGGATTTCTGCTAACCATCGACCAAAGACCATCACTGCATCGCATGCTTTTAGATCCGCTTCTGCGACCATCTGGAACAAGCTTCCTTCTGATATTAGGAAGCCACTGCAGCTATGCACTTGTACATCTAAATTGAAAACTAATTTCCTTAGAATTGCTTTTTGCGTTTAGTTTGTTGTCCTTCCCCCGCACCTCCAACTAACACGGTTGCCTACGTACAGTGCGAAAGAAGTTTAAGATACATACATACAATCACATATCATAAAATCACTCAAGTGAGACACAAAGTAAAGAGTTATACAACTCTAAAATATATTACAGTCAGCTGAGTAGCTAAGTAATGAACAATGTTATTTGAAGCAAATGGCTTCTCTTTAACCTGTCAATTGATATTTTTTTGTAAAGTTTGTCTTTTAAAGTGGACATTAAAATGATGTGATATGATCTGCAAAACAAAACTACTGCCATATAAAAAACACTATATTTGAAATGTTGGCAAATACATTTCAATAACTTACCATCTTGTTCTATTTTAATACATTTTCCAAGTTCTTTATTGTAAGAGGTCATAAATAGCAATGGTGTCTCGCTTGTTTAAACTAAGATAATGAAGTGTAATTAGATTAATACTTAGGAAACAATTTACAGTAATACAAATAAGGACAATAAATGGTCTGGAAGCATGAACACAAGCCTCGTTAAATTTAAGGAGGTGTTAAATATATGTTCCAAATTAATAGAATGGTGTAGAACAGAAAATATTGCTAGGATAGTTTTTTTTATATGTAAGCAGAAAGGAAACTGCTAAATTAGCTGTAAGTCTACAACATCAGCATTTCTAACCACACAGAATAAAAAGTTTAAAAGCTTTGCCATTCACTATTTTAAACTTTTAAGTGACCAAATGTATTTTTTCAACTGAGTTTTTCCCCCAATTGCAGCACAATCCATGAATAGCACTGAGAAGTGTCTGTTTTAGTATGTGTTATGGAAGTTAAATAACCTACAGAGCGAGCAGTTATTATCCATGCGTGACAGATACTAACCCAAGTTCTGCTTTGCCTGCAGCAGCACAGCATCTGCGCCTCGCACCACGAACCCAGACAGTGACATCTGTGTGCTTTTGCTGCCTTTGGAAGGTGTGGAAGATGCACTGCAGAAGGTAAATACAGAATCAGAATATTTATTTATACTGGAGAAAACCGATGAGTTATAAAGTTCTTATTCAAAGATGTCCATTCGGCACGGGTCAGAACATTACAAAAACAAATAATACAAAAACAAGATAGGAGTACAACATATAGGAAAGTAAAGGCACCGTACAGTTGGCTCCATACAGTACGAAAGTTCAACATAAATACGTACAAATCGCTAAAAAATAAACAAACTCAAATATTTTTATGTTACCAGGGAAAGCCCATTGAGCTATTAGCTTCTTTTTCAGAAAGCGACCCAGCCACAAATGGAAGCTCAATGAAGAGACTATCACATGGAAATATATAGCAGCCAAATAATCTAAACGCATGTTTCTCAATGTGCAAGGTCGGGATCGAACCCCCGACCTCCTGCATACCAGACGAGGAAGACAACATCACACCGGAAGATAATTACATTAATGTAGCGTTTACAAGGGCGACTTAAAATTGATAAACTTTACTTAACCTAAACTTTTACGACTATTTAGTGAGTATTAGATTTTAGGGAAGATTTTAATTTAATTAACAAAAGTGTGTGTCCTTACACCTTCAAATCTATCTTTACGCTAGAATGATTTTTAGAAAACACACACATGCCTCGTCAACTTGAGTACGTAAACAGTTTTTATTTGGTTTTACGTGAAACTGGCCTGGTAGCTCAGTGGTAATCGGAAGCTTGCATGCTCATATGGCTGAGGGGCGATTTAGGCCATAATCTCTCTGGAGTTGATATCATGAGTACCAATTGTGGCGAAGTCAGTAGATACCTAGATAGGTTCAACGTTCCACCTATCTACGTGACATTACCGAAAGACCCAAAGAATATGAATTCCTGCAGTCACGAAGGCTTTAAGTCAAGATTCAGTATTGGTTGTCAAATGGAGAAAATTGCCCCACAATAGATATGTAAGCAAACACTGGCTCCCAGATGTAAACAAAATGAGCGCTGCTTCAATGTTTATTTGTTCAGGAAATCACTTTGAATTCCGCACTATGGTTAGAGTGCAACTCACAATCTGAAGGATGCAAGTTCAAATCCTCTTCAAGGGACAATTCAATAGATCAACCCTCTATGCTCAATAAAATAAATGACTGTGAAAATGAAAGTGGCCATTCATTCACGAAAATGGCTCTAATCATGGGAATGTAGAATGCGTACCACTGACATCGGGCGACCAACACAGATGAGTAACACCCTACGTGTTTCGTGCTTATGAGTGTTATAGTCGGAGCATTGTACTGTGATCTCAAGAACCTGGGTTCAATCCCCATCAATGGCTAAGATCCTATTCTGAAACTCACCCAGATTTAAGCAACCTCAGATGAGTATCTATTGCCATGTGCAAACATCAGCACTGGGGAGACGCAGGAGGTATCGTGTGGGGCTGCCCATACCATCTCCTAGTTTCCATTATAGATGCTTAATAACATCCTATAATAATAAAGAAATGATACTGATTTGTGTCTGCGTATATACAGATGGCCTTTGACCAATTCATCTGCAAAGTACCCAATTTCATCATGACTCAGCACCTAAGCAGAACCCAGCCTGGATATTGCTTGAATCATTGGCCACCAATGCACAAAGCAGGGGTCATAGGCTGCTGCGGGGCACCGTTGTCCGAGGGCGGTTCAGAAAAAAATATTGCTGGCATTGTAGACATCCGACCTTCACCAACTCGCAATGACCAGGGTGGCGAAGTATTGTCAAATAATTTCCACGACTCACAAAGCATGCTGGGAACTCCCTCATGCCGTAAGTGGAGTGACAAAACGGCTGTACAGGTACACGTTTTGTGCGCGCGTGTGGACATACTGAGGGTGGGACGAGACGTGTCCCCGCCCGCTGTTACTCACACGCTGGCCGCGTAAGCGGGGGACGAGACCCCCCCGTAGTGGAACCCCTGCTGGCAGATCCTCTCCTTGAGCCCCAGGGCCCCGCGCCCTCGGCCCCGTAGCATCGTGGGCTCCCGGCCCGTGAAGCCTGCCTGCAGCTCGGAGCGACGCGAGCTCATTTTGCGGTACTGCGACTGCACGTGGAACTGGCAGAACTCGCCCTCCATCTGCAGGCAGGGGATACGGCGGTTAATGCCCGTACAAGCACGCACACACATGTGAACTTGCGTATGAATAGGCAGTGGAGGTTAACAGCACTTTGTTATAGCGAGCCGCTCTAAAATGTAGTGACCCAAGTTCGATTCCTGCTTGTGATGCACATCCAGAAATCAAGATGTACTGCAGGGGTAGGGGTCACAGAATAAATAGTAAACGATGACACATTAAGGTAAGATTTTAATTTTTTAAAGATTTCAAATGGTTAACCTGCAAATCAATGCGGCTCAAAGTCCCAATGTTAATTTAATGGAAGGTGATGAGTGTGAGGGTCCGCACCAGGTTAATGAGCTGAGTGCAGGGGTCCCCGTTGCGTTTGGCTGCGCGACATGTGCCCAAGTCCTTCGCCTCCCCCATTAGCATCACCTTCTGGGGATGGTCCACAGATATGGACAGCTACACACACACACAAGACATGTTCATTTCAAACATTAATTTGCAAAGGGAAAATTGACAACATTAGCACAAGAAGGAAAGAAAGCTCCAGCAGAATATTCAGAGCTCAAAACGGCAGAATATGCTTGTAGCAGTGACAGGGAAAACCCATTTATAAAGTCTAAATGTTGCCAGCATAAACACAACATTGGAACTAGGCGCGTAGTGATGCATTTATTTGCCGAGTAAAATCAATTGTTATGCTCATGATACATGCATCCAATCATGTGTATTGTATAATTATTTTAAATTAATATACTGTATTTCGATTAAAAGCTTTCGTGACTGCAGGGATTCATCTTCTTGGTTCTTTCGGTAAAGTCACATAGAATGGAAATAATAAAATAAGAATGTTTATTTTATTTTATTATTTCCATTTTACGTGACTTTACCGAAAGAACCAAGAAGAATATACTGTATGTTGAAAGTAACCTGTTTTTTGTGACCGAGAGCCAATTATTCAATAAAACTGTGACAATTCATCTATTTGTTTGGTTGGTAACATGCTTACATGACCATCTACACTCCCAAAAACAAAAGGAGAGTTATTTATAACTAATACTTATTAAGTAAACTATCAAAATACCACAAATGTGATCATTATATTGCTTAGAAGTTTGACATTTTTATCGGTCACTAAGATCAAATCAGTGCATTCCTACACACTCCTCCCTACTGCATGTATGTAATGCTAAAAATTATCTGAGTCTAGATTAAATGTTGGCATAAGCTCCATTAACAGGAGCATAAATTAAGGTATCGGTGTGGTGGGTCCAGTAACATGCATGGACTGGTCATCACCTTTTACAAACCATTTCAACATTATTTGTTTACATTTTCCACCAATTCCCTTTTCCTGTAACATGTAAAGTACGTACCGATACTTGCCGTATACAACACGGCCTATGTAACCGTGATTGTACTGAAGAACTGCAATGTAAAACATCTGTACCCTCACAAGACACCTATGAAATAGAGCCTAACAGAATATCGGGCCCTACCTGCTGAAATAAATAACATCTATCCATAATGTGCTATTTTTGTCTGCATGAATTTCGTAGAATTAGTTTTTTAACCTTCCAGATTTCCCCTGTAAAAAAAAAGTTTGATTCAATGACCCGTGTGGTTATAACAGTCATGTAGGCAAGTATGCAAGTCATTCTGCGTCCAATAAAATCACATCTGCAGGAATAGAACCAACAGACACATAAACATCACGTGAATCTTAGCTTTCCATTGTACAAAAATAAAATATACGTTAGCCACACACCTCATTGTATCCTTCCTTGGGCTTCATGAGGGTGGGGTTCAGGAGGCCCACAACAGAACCCTGGTCCGTCTTCCAGTGCTGCTTGTGGACTTCTCCAAAAAGCAGCAGTGACACAGACACCTCCATGTTCTTCAGGTCCATCAGACGCCACACGCTGAATGTCTTGCCCTGCGCATCATCAACGAGGAGTCAAGTTCACTCCCTTCAAGGTCAGGCAAAAACAGCTCGAGTTTGTTATTTTAAACCAAGTTAGAGTTCACCAAGTGCTATATAGCCATTAATGTGTGTGTAGGCAGAGATGCAGGTAGCCCTTTTTAACTGTGGTTAGCACACATGACTTGCAATACAGAAATTGCTGGTTCGATTTGATCTCCTGGCAAGAGGAAACAATAGGAAAATGTGTTTAAATCCTTCCGCCTTATGGGGACCTCATTTGCCAGTAAAATATGATAATTGGTTCTTTACCCTTCTATCTGGCAACAAAACTGACACCTTTTTGCAAGGAGTCATGTTTGCAAAGACCACAATACCTGCAGTCATAATACAAACAAAAGAACATAACTCTGATAAGGACAGTGCACATTATCAGAGTTATGTTCTTTTGTTTGTATTGTGACTGCAGGTATTGCGGTCTTTGCAAACATGACTCCTTGCAAAAAGGTGTCAGTTTTGTTGCCAGATAGAAGGGTAAAGAACCAATTATCCTTCCGCCTTGTTAGTGTCAGGGCCAAGCTTAGGGAGCCTTTTGGATCAGAGCATGGAGGCTACTTCTGGGCTGACAGAGCCCAGTTTGCAGTGTTCATGTAAATGCATCATCAGTGCTCTGACATGGGCATCAGCATCAGCCCCACGGAAGTCACCCCATTCGTATGTTCTCTCAAGCGGTGCATGTGGCGGCGTGGACTCACGCTGCTCACGCTCTGCGGAGTGTGCTTGTGTACGATCACGCCGATGGTCACCCAGTCAATGTTATCCAAGCTATCGCGCGTGATTTTGTCTGGCAGCTGAGAGAGGCGAATCATACGCCGGCCGGCCATCCTCCTATCCATGTCCACAGACGAGATAAGAGGCCTCCTAAAAAAAACAACAGTGAAACTACTTTAACTTTCAAATCATCATAATAATCATCACAGCAATGGCACCACAAAGTTTCAGGAAATGAATCCAGCCAGCCTGGAGATATGAAATGAGGTTCTCAAATACTGAAATGTGAATTGTAAGGTAATGTGATAAGTATGTTGCATCATTAAGTTTCAGTAATGAAGTACATAATTTTAAGTCAACCATACTACAGATTGTATTACGGTTGGTACACTGTGCCATGCCAGACTAGGGTTGTTAGAAAAGAATGGCCAGGGTAAGGGAGCTCCAAACTATAAGGGCAGAAAGTTCACAAGATGTGCATCAAATTACACAATAAACGATATATCTTTATTCTTAAATATTATATGTAATGGTTGACACGACCTCTACAGTCACAAGAGGCTTCTGGTGCAGCAATGTAAAAAAAAACATCACTTTTAGAATTGAAACACAACAACTGAAATGGGAGAATGGAGAATCATGATGCCTCTGCCACCACGTATTACAAAATATGACTTCATATTGTGTCTCTTCTGAGTAAAATAGGAGGAAAATAGATGAGTAAACCACTGGAACTGAATTCAGAGCTGTATGAATCAGTCAATCGACCAACAGATCCCGCTCACATCCGTGCTACCATTTGACTTTCTGGCCATTGTACCAGCACTCAAGATTCTTCAGCTAAATCTCAAAACTGGCAGCCAGAAAGCATCATATCAGCATTCTCTCAGCAGCACCTGGTTATTGTCAAATGTCTGAAAGAAATCTATACGTTTGTTACCCAGCGTTGGCATCCACAGTGAACACTCACCTAATCCGGTACCCGGAGTATTTCTCCACCTCCGTGTTTTCCTGCATCCCACTGCTGCTGCTGCTGCTGGCAGTGGTAGGTGGACTCAGGGTGGTTGGGGCTTTCTGTTTCCCTGCAGTCGCACCGCCTGCAGCGCTGGTGCTGGCGGTCACTGACATCGGGCTCTGCGAACAAGTGCCTGCTTGACTTGCAGTTGGTGTCTTTGTATGGTCCTTGGAGGCAGCAGAGCTCCCTGGCCATCACATCGTAGGTATTAGGCAACAGCGACCTCGTTTGAATGCAGAACCCCGCGTTAAATCCATCATGTCAGAATAAATACGACATGATGGTACACTATGACTGCACACACTGCTTATTTATAACAAAAAACATATACAGCCCTTTACCAATCGACTGCTAAGTGAAGGCTGTGTTGGTCATGGGGGTTGTTTCACTATTTCATTATGCTGAAGGTGGAAGGGCCAAAACCTGTCTGAATAACAGTTGCCATGAATGTCAGGGAGAATTTTTCTTTTGTAAAGCAATAATTTTGAACAGGTAATTTCTATGCATTGAGAAGTATAATTGGCACCTGGGAAAATTACGAAAGGTGCTTATTAAGTGCAAATTATTCGTTTATTTAATAAATATTTTATCAGGATATATTTCCAAAACAAACGACTAAGCATAATTACAATATAATACTTTGCAATATCGGACAATGATATTATCGTGAAACTTATATTGTACAACAGCTCGTAGGATCGCCATACCATGCAAACACTTGTGAATAGACTTTTGTATGCTGGTGTCACAGCACAATGAACAACATTGCAAAATTCTCACAACTATATATACAAGAAATGAAACCTGCTCTTATTGAAAATTTAACAATGTCTTCCTTGCGAAAAGAAAAAGCATTGCAACAGGTGACCAACATTACAATGATGATAGTATTTAACTTTTAATACTGGTGTGGTCAGGTTGACCTGTCTCTTGTGAGTGAACAGTGCCATATCCCATGCTGACCTCCGCTCTTAGGCTGATGTGCGAGCCGGGACTTAGTTTTGACATGAGCAGTCTTGGCAACTTCTGTTTTTTTGACACCGACTTTCCGCTGGGATGAAACGCCACTTGATGCCGCTACGATAAAAAAGACCAGTATATTTCATCACAAAAAAAACATGTAGTAGGCAACATCAGCAATTTAACTCGTTCACAATGACGAGCCAATTATATTCCCCTAGCCACATACCCACAGAAATATTGCGGAGAATTACCAAAGTGCACCATCTAATGTTAACATGGATGTTAAAGACTAATTATTGGCTATAGTAGGCAATGTTGCATGTGTTAAATAACACAAAGTTACTTATAACTAAATTACAGGTCCAAAATTAATAATGGCTTATGGTTGTAAAGTTTCCATAATTGCTGCCACATATCTTTGCGTAACCTCAAATACCACAACTGGATTACAGATATGAATGCAAACATGTTTCAAAAACCAAGATTAATTTTGACATGAATGTGCATTGGTCATAAATAAGAGCCGTTTGGAAGCACCTGGTGGGGATGTCTCCTGCAGTTGCTGCTGAAGTCTCAGGACTTTCTCCTGCATCAAACGCAGCTCCTCTACCGAAACAAACACATGGGAATAAAGGTGCAGTTGACACAGCATCATCGCTCCTTCGTGTAAAAATCTGTACTCACACACATCAATAAAAAAAAATAGCAAAGAATTTCTCCCAACATTTCTTGGAAAATATTTTATATGCTCACATTTTGCAGTTCGTAAGCAACTGTTGTAGATTATTTGATGTTAATTATGATAATTAGAACAATGCACGTACCAGCTAACTCTTCCTTGCTCTTCTCCTCCAGCCGCACGTTCTCTTTGCCGTCATCACAGCGCGGAGTTGAAACCGCAGACCGGCGTGGAGCAGGAACATCACCATCAGCTTTACGGATGTCATCTCCACACTCCTCGGGTTCACCAATGTCAATGACCAAAGCATCGCTGTCCTCCGCATCATTGTCTTCGGCATCAAACAGGGCGCTCAGTTCAGCCTCAGTGCCATTGTTGTTACTGCATGGTGGATGGGGCCCTCCGCTGTGCTGAGCGTCATCTCCATCATCGTGGAGATCGTCTCCGTTGACCCGGGTGTCACCTCCGTCCACGTCATTGGAAAGCGGAGACCCCTCTTCCAGCAGCGAAGTCAGGACATCCAGATCCCCCTCGTTGTCTGCGAGGACACCCGCTGTCAGAGGAGGCTTGGCCGTGGATTCACATGACGTTTAAATATTGTGCTTATGTATACAGAACGGTAAATGGTGAAGGTGCAGCCCTGCAATTGCTTGCTTACGGCACTCCTAGCGAAAGGGCTTCCAATAGAGTCCCTCTAGAAAGAATATGGTCTACTTCCACGGGTGTACAGAGGTGAGGTGATTTAAGACACCTGTCCATTGTTACACTATAGCAGCTTTGCTCTTACATATATATTTTAAGGTTACATTGGTGAAATTATCGCGTTGACATGCACGCACCTTATTTAGAATGAAATTACTTTATTTATTGCGAAGATTATGTTTCATTAAACCTGGTCTTTCACTACACACTTCTGCATTTCCCTTAACCTTCTGACCATCTGGACTTTGATTACCAAATATAAATTGGTTTATTAACTTGTACCTGAAAGAATACAGTCCTCATGCTAAACGTCTGTGCAGTGCATGGTATACAAGAAACCTTCTGCATTTAAGAGCAAGACGTCAACAAATATATCACATTTATCGTTAATATAGAATTTTGTGCAATGGCCCTTCTTCAGAAAAGAGGCAAAGTAAATTGATTTTAGTTGGTGGTCACACTTTACAGTGTGGCCCTGAGAAAGATGGGACATTTTAATAGATTTCAATGGTGTAAAATGCTTACCCCGAGCTCTCATACTCTGATGGTGCATTGTCTTTGAGATGTGCGCCTTTTGGCGTCATCTGGTCCAACCCATGTGAGACTAGGCTCTAAGGAAAGCTGTCTCGGGTGTGGACCAATCAACTTCAAGGACAGTGCATACATTATTAGAGTTATGTTTTTTGTTTGCATTATGACTGCAGGTATTGTGGTCTATGTACACATGACTCCTTGTAAAAAAGGTGTCAGTTTTGTTGCCAGATAGAAGGGTAAAAAAAACAATTATAATACGAGAGAACTACATAGGAATTAAACATACCTTCCATGTTTATAGCAGTCAACAACGCTGCTTGTCCAGTTCACTCCACAATGCAGCAACTGCACTTAAACACTGCGTGTTGGAAAGAAATGAAGTGTAAGGAAATTTAACATTGCATTATTCATTTGCGAAGCTTTAAAACAAACATTCAAATTAACTATATTAATTAATGACTACTTCAACACGACACCTTTGGAGTGCACAATTCATACTTGACTGAGGATGCTTATAAATTAAAAGGTGCATAAATATCCAGCATATATTATAATATACCGTCAATGTGTGAATTGTATGTATACTTGCAGCAGTGTACTGTACACAGTACAGTAGTTCATGACACCACACCTTTAGACGAATTATAACTTATATTATGTCCATGGCCAACCCATACGGGTATTTTGTATAGATTATAAAATGAGTAGTACTACCAATGACTGCATTACTCTAAATTACACTGTACAAATAGTATGCAGTTCTGTTATTTCAGGAGTATTGTAACCAGATGAGAACTCAAGAGAGGCCAAGATGAGTCCTTATTTGCGAGTGACCCAGGTCACAATAATTAACTTCTACTCCTGAAGCAACATATACCAGACATATACAACATTATGTAATGTACGAAGTAGCGATTCGCTATTTAATTAAACTGCATTGTAATTAATTTCTTACGACTGTAAGACGTTATAACACATTTAAAGTTCTTTATAATCCAACACAGCATCACGACCACCACGAAGTTTAGCTCTTATCCCACCTAGTAACAATTCTCAAACAAGAGTTTTAAAAAAATCAACAAAACATTTAAACAAAATTATTCACGAACAACGTTGACCCCAATGCAATGTACGGCGCGAACCACTGTACACAAACCACAATTTAAAACAACACACACACGTATTAATCAAATACTGGCAATTACCATCTTTACACTGGCACGTTAACTAATCGTACGTTTGAAACTTAATACTTTTTAAGATTAAAAAAAACACAAAAATTAAAGCGCGAATCGTTAAAGCCACCGCCGACCAACCTTTGACGAGGGGGCCTGCTACATTTACCAGTCCGCACAAGCGCGGCGCCACCGCTCGGAGCCTCGCCATTGGCTGGCGCCCTCTCCCCTCCAACCAATGGGCGCGCGAGGCGAAGGCAGCGCGCGCGCACCGCGGCCAATGGGGAGCGAGGAGAGGCTCGGGCGCGCAGTCGGAGAATGGCATCCGGAGGAGTTTCGCGCCAAAAAGAGGACCACCCACCCACCACCACTACCTCTACCACCCACCCACCACCACCACCCCCCACCACCACACACACCCCCCCCCCCCACTGCCACCCCCACTACCCCCCCCACTACCACCCCCACCACACCCCCCCACCACCCCCTCCACCACCACGCCCCCCCCACCATCCCACCACCCCCCTCCACCACCCCCCCCCACTACCACCCCCCACCACACCCCCCCACTACCACCCCCCCACCACCCCCTCCACCACTACACCCCCCCCCACTACCACCAACCCCTTCACCACCCTCCACCGCCCCCCCCCACCACCCCCTTCACACCAACAACCCCACCATCCCCTCCACCACTATCCCCTACCACCCCCCCACTACCCCCCCTTCACCACCCTAAAATCGCCACCCCCTCCACCCCCCCCCCACCACCCCCTCCACCACCACCCCCTCCACCACCCCCTCCAATTATTATTAACAAAGCGACTTCCAGATGTCACTTCTCTGCTTGGATAAGATTTCACCCTTCCTCCATCGTCGACACATGCCCCACCTATCACTACAACTATTACATTATCATTGCCCCACTTATCACTACAACTACTATGCTAATATTGCCCCACTTATCACTACAACTACTACGTTACTAATGCCCCACCTATCACTACAACTATTACATTATCATTGCCCCACTTATCACTACAACTACTATGTTAATATTGCCCCACCTATCACTACAACTACTACGTTACTAATGCCCCACCTATCACTACAACTATTACATTATCATTGCCCCACTTATTACTACAACTACTATGTTAATATTGCCCCACCTATCACTACAACTACTACGTTACTAATGCCCCACCTATCACTACAACTATTACATTATCATTGCCCCACTTATCACTACAACTATTATGTTAATATTGCCCTACCTATCACTACAACTACTACGTTACTAATGCCCCACCTATCACTACAACTATTACATTATCATTGCCCCACCTATCACTACAACTACTATGCTAATATTGCCCCACCTATCACTACAACTACTATGTTAATATTGCCCCACCTATCACTACTACTATGTAAATACTTCCCTAACTTATAACTACAACTATTACGTTATCATTGCCCCACCTATCACTGCAACTACTTCGTTATTATCGCCCCACCTATCACTACTACTATTACTGGTAGGAACCTCCTGGTTACACCAGCCCACAGGGGATTATTGTGTCCGTCGTGCAGGGAGGGGCTGGGTGGGGAGGGGCTGGGTGAGGAGGGAGGGGCTGGGTGGGGATGGGGAGGGTGGGGCTGGGTGGGGAGGGGCTGGGTGGGGAGGGGTTGGGTGGGGCTGGGTGGGGGGTGGGAGGGGTGGGGCTGGGTGGGGAGGGTAGGGGCTGGGTGGGGAGGGGCTGGTCACCCCGTGGTGCCCTTATAAAACTCAACGTTTAACCTACTCACGCCGGCTTGTGCCCGCCCTCACAGTCGGGCATATTTGCGGAATACACCACGCCGCCGTTGACCCTGGCCATTGACCGAGCAACCCAACGTTCCTACCAGCTCCCTCCGCAGGAATGTGTTTGTTTAATGCCAATAATTGTCGATAATAATACGTTGTGACACTTATTCATATTCCGATTCCCTAAATCCAATGTCATAGCTTCATCACGAAAGATATGAAAATTAATGAGTACGTGCAAATCATCTCAAAGTGACCGCGAAAGGCCCTCTTGTCGACACACGTGGCGTTGTACAATATTAAATGTAAAGGAGTCACTTAGAGGCCAATGGCAGCCATAACAGACCCTGGGTAATAATAATCGCATTTATAAACGGAGATGAGCCTCCGGTAGGTTAAATAGCAGCAACAAACACATCGAGAGCAGCGGCTATCACTCAGTTTGTTCTATGAGCCACTAATCACCGTACCACGGTGTGCGAGATACATAAATATACCGCCCCGTATATCAAATTGTTCACATATGGTGGAAAGCAAAACTGTGTTTGCTGCTGCTGCCGGTTTCATATAGTCGCTAAATATTTAAAGATGAGGGCCGCTATAATCTCGCCCCGCATGTGCCCACTCACATCACCCCACCCCCCTCGGCCAGGCGCCAGCAAAGAGCAGGTAACACACTCACACACACACAGGTGAATGTGCAGTAAAAGCGTTTTCCCAAAGGGGCATAGCACATCAATCCCCCTCCCCCCTTCCCACAACCTCCCTGCCACACCACGAATTATAACTGGACGCTGGTGTATAGTGTCAGCCACAAGATTGCCCTGGCTCCATCATGAAATATTAAGGGGTGCAGCAACATGGGTTAGTTTCAGGTAGGCGTATGCTCATGGGCAAGCCCCAAGGTCTGATGTGGGCTTGTGTGTGCGTGTGCGAGTCGGTGGGTTGGTGTGGAGGAAGAAAGCTGCCCCAGAGTGTTTGTCAGGGTGGGATCGTTGTGGGAAGTGGGCACGCACAAAGATGTGAGGCAATCACCCCCGGACAGGTGTGAAGACCGCACCAGCCAGAACAACAAAGCAGTGCAAAGGACAAGACAGCGACGGTGACGCAAGTAAGTAGGTGCTTGTGATAACAGTTTTTTTACCATTTAAAGCTTTCGTGACTGCAGGGATTCATCTTCTTGGTTCTTTCGAAAGAACCAAGAAGATGGTTTTTTACCCTTTTATCTGGCAACAAAACTGACACCTTTTTTACGAGGAGTCATGTTTGCATAGACCACAATACCTGCAGTCATAATGCAAACAAAAAACATAACTCTGATAATGTATGCACTGTCCTTGAAGTTGATTGGTCCACACCCGAAACAGCTTTCCTTAGAGCCTAGTCTCACATGGTGTTGGACCAGATGACGCCAAAAGGCGCACAACTCAAAGGCAATGCACCATCAGTGGTGCTTCTTCCAATGCGGTACTAAGGGCGTAGGTGATTGCCTGCCTTGGAAATGTGCGAGTCTGTCTATCAAATGAAATGCTTCGTGAACATATTTTTAACAGTGTGTTGCTTCATGTCTTCAGCTGCAGGAAGAGCCTCCTGTTTAAAACGAGATGCTTTAAACGAGCACGAAGTACTCACATTTACCCAACCAAATACATTTTAAGAATCTTTATTTCGACTGGAGGAATCCGATGAGGGATGAAGCTCTTTTTCACAGAGGTCCAGTATTTTTGTGCCAGTCTGCCTCGTGAAGTGTGGTTGTCCAGCATTGCTGCTGAAAATTATTGTTTTCGAAGCAGCGTGCCTTGTATCAGCTGGGTTTATTCCAGCAACTATGTCGTCAATGTTTTACAATTTAGCGCTTCCAAGCCTCATACAATCCAAAAATTATGTACTTATTACTTTGCAGCCTGTGTTCTGTATTAAGAGAATGCGAGTTCAAATATGATGGATTATTTAGTGTGATTTTTTTGGATTCACTATCTAATCTATTTTACCGAGGTAAATTGCAAACTGCATCAAGGTACGTACAACGGGATCATTTTGTTTATAAATGTTGAAAACTCTTTTTAAAAAATTGGCACGTGAGACCGTCATAGAGGAAAATTAAGACGGGTGATGAAATATAATGCCAGATTGTTATCCAGCAAAGGTCATCCTTGCATATGTGGAAAATAACAGCAACGTGGACATACAATATATGGATACATATACATGCATTCAAAGCAAATAATAATCATACTTTATGAGATGCAAACATCAGCAAGTAGGTGATGCATTGCTCTCCAACATAAGGGTGTACTGAAGCTGTCATAAATTGGCACCTTTGTTCACGTGGATACTTTATTAACTGACTGGAAGAGGATGTACAACACAGATTTAACTCACACGATCTGACCCAAAATAAATTGTGAAGTACACAGTCAAGTAAAATATAGATGTGTGGTATTTCTAAGTGTAAGGGCGTTTATGAAACATCATGGTACAGCCTAATTTTGTGTTTGCACTTTTAACTGTGCATGCAGCATGTGGATTTAAAATCTACAAATACATTTTGATTTAAAGCTTTCGTGACTGCAGGGATTCATCTTCTTGGTTCTTTCGGTAAAGTCACGTAGAAGGGAAGTAATAAAATAATAAAAATAAAACATAATAAAATTAAATTAATTTTAATTTTAAAATTAAAATTAAATTAATTTTAAAATTAATTTAATTTTAAATTAATTTTAATTTTAAAATTAATTTAATTTTATTATGTTTTATTTTTATTATTTTATTACTTCCCTTCTACAAATACATTCAAAACATGTATTATATAAAATGCTGTTAAACTGATTACTTGATATTAACCACACACATGTGGTTAATAACGTATTACGTGTGTTTTCCGTATTCGGGCTGATTTAGCACATTTCCATCAACAAAATACACACAGGAGAATCACATTGTTGCGGTGTTCAGTATACATTACTTTAGTTGTATTAATAACATTCGATAGCGTTGAACTCTGAAATGTATCCCAAGAATTAATTTCCGGTTGGCGTGATATTTATCCTTAATACGTTAGTTTTAAGGGATGCTACTTTGGTGTCGTGGTTAGCGCACTGGACTTGCAACCCAGAGGGCACTAATTCAATTTGTTCTTCTGGTATGGCACACAGTGGGGCAAGTTTATTAAATCCCCTTTCTTCCGTCCACCCAGCAGTATAAAGGGGCCGTCCATAAATGACGTCACGCACCTTTGTGACGATGTGTGACGAGGGGGGGGGTGAGAAATGTGACGTCACATCAAAATGCGCAACTTTAAATAAATATAGACAACACGTTCTACTTAATTAAATCGACTTTTTAATACATGTTTTCTCCTACAACATCAGAGTGCAGCGCCGCATTAAATACGCACCACATTGCGTCATCTATGGACGGCCCCAAATGGGTGCAACACAAATCTAGAATTACAACACAGTTGATTAGTCGGACGGGTGTGGTGGAGTACAGTGGGGGTACTGCCACCTATTCAAAGAGGTTTTGTCCAGCACGAGTAGAGAGATTAAATATCCACGACTAGATCAGCTCTCTAGAGCTCCCTCTAAGTCGTGGAGATCTATCCTCCAGCAGTGGGATGGGAAAGTAATTGCAGGGCTGAAACTTGACCTCTTTACATTAATATTCTTGGTTCTTTCGGTAAAGTCACGTAGAAGGGAAGTAATAAAATAATAAAAATAAAACATAATAAAATAATTCTCACGACGTTTCGGCCACAACGCAAGCAGCCGTCCTCAGGTGAAGACCAGGTCTGTCTCCCCGACAAACCTGGTCTTCACCTGAAACGTCGTGATAATAATTTTATGCTTTATTTTTATTATTTTATTACTTCCCCTCTACGTGACTTTACCGAAAGAACCAAGAAGATGAATCCCTGCAGTCACGAAAGCTTTAAATCGACTCTTTACATTAACTTGAGTGCAATAGACGCATATTTGTGACTACACCTGGTCAACAATATATTTGTAAATGTCGAATACAAACAGATCCTCACATATAGCTGCAGGGAGATCGGCTGAGAGGTTGACGTATTAATCGAATTGAGTGCACCACGTGGCGGGATTTGGGTTGGATTATACACGGCGCACGGCGCTTGTTGCATACAGGGATTAATCAACAGGAGGCTTTTGACGAGAGCGATCAGATATGCAGAGGTCCCGTATTTGATCCAGAAACATTCTGTTATTGAGTTCCACTCCATGGATTAAAATTGCATGCTCATGTCCAGTCTACTCTGTAGGCATTCGATGGCATGACTGCCGCTTAAGCGCTTGCACTTGTGCGGGTTAGTTCCCAACACGTGGGTTCAACGTCACACGTCTTGCTGAACAGCTTGTGGTACAACCCGAAAACACATCAAAGAGCTCTTCCATCAGGGCAGGGAGGAATTCAACCCTATCAAAAATAAAACAGCAGAATGTGGACATTAGCACACCCCTTGGGAGAAAGGCCACGTGTGCTTGTATCAGAAGCTGCCTTCTCCGCACCTGTGCATTGCTCGGGTGTGATGCCTATGAGAAATGTATTTATAAGGTGTGCTTATATCCAGCTTAGAATTCACGATTTTCTGATGTCTTTTGGCTGTCCTATGGAGATAATGTTGCATGGTATTTTCTCCGTTGGATCAATACTGCCAATAGTCGTGATCACGGTCCTATTGTTGTTATTATTTGAGCATGGGGATACAATTCTTGACGTAAAGCTTTCGTGACTGGAAGAATTCATATTCTTTGGGTCGTTCGGTAAAGTCACTTAGATAGGTTCAAATTAAATAACAATTTATAACAAATTTTTTGTTATTTTCTTTGAAACTATCTACGTAACTTTACCGAAAGACCCAAAGAATACGCGGATACACTTTGATTTTGACGAGAAATTCCAGTTCGCAGAGCATTAAGACCTGTGATCTGGTCAAGGTGTCCCGAAATAGCACTGTGTATACAGCAGTCGATATTTAAAGCCCAATTTTAACATTAGGACATCTCTGCAAACGAAAATGCATGACACTGAGTGCATCCTTTGCAGCCATCATTGAGACGCTTTTCAAATTACTACAAACATAAATATATGAAAGTTCTGGAGCTACTTGTGACGACCAGAAGATGTACTCTGGCATTGAATCAATTTAAATTTAAATTGGTGTTTACATTCAGAATACCAGTATTGCTCTTGGGTAGAGTCCAATCATAGATAATCGAGTGCAGAGCTACTAAATGTGGCCTGTTTGTTTTTAATACCCATATTAATAATACCCTGGAGTAATCCATGGGTGCAGCTTTAAGAGCCAATGTTATCATACTCCACTGTAAACCCGGGGACAAAAGTACAAAAGCCTGGCCATCGCGAACATTAGTGATGAGTCATATTTGAACCAGTCCTTGACCTTCCTTCATCAAACCACTCTGACCAGCATGAAGTATGGTAAAACAACCCCATGAATGAAAGGCGTAGCTTCACTAAGGGCAGTGGATTGCATTTTGAAATGTGGCTAAATTCCATCTGTGAGAGTTTGGCATGTGCCAGCACCTGGACAAAAAAAACCGATGAAGCTTTAAAAAAACATCTGGCCTAAATTCCCAAATAGACGTCTATGCACACAACATTCTGTTGGCAAAACCAACCGCGTGAGAACTGAGAAGACTGGAGAGACGTGGGAAGTTACATCACCACAATTGGGCCTAAACAGCCCAGAGGAGAGAATCCATGGTCTTGGCTTGACACCAGACTGGCCCAGCGTTTCACAGAGAGCATTGAAAGGGGGGCTACTCGCATTAAGCTTGACGGGAGGGTGTTTTTTTTGGGGGGGGGGGGGGGCGGGCGGGCTGAGAGTTGCTCGTGTTGGCTTGTGGGATTAACTACGTTGTCTTTGTGCGCACACTGACACCGACCACTGCCAGGAACACGCGTCGCAAGCGCCACACACGAGGGAGCAGAGGAAGACGCGCACCGGGACACAGCTCCAAGTGTCTACTCGACACCGAATTATGTTGCGAATAGGTGAGACAAACCCTCGCACGCACGTTTTCGTTGTTGTATGCGTTAGCGAATGTATAAAATACCCGTGAATATCCATTATATGCGTGATGTACATAGGAATGCATGTGTTGTGTGCTACTGTGTGTCATGTTTGCACGGATGCATGCACATGTGGCATTTGCGTTTCGGCTCCAATAGAAAGTAGTGAAAATGAACAAATTACATTGGCAAGGCTGCACTTTGTAAAATTATGCTCCCAGCTGTCATTGTAATGCATTCGCTCTATTTGATTTGCAAACTTTTTCTTTTTAAGTAGCGTTTGTAAATGGTGACAGTGATCTGATAAAACCAAATTTCCACCGAAATCTTGTTTCACATTTCGAATGCAAAAAAGTGACACTCTCACGAGCTCGTTGCTGGCTTGTACGCGAAACCGCTCAACGTGAGCGGCCGCTGTGCTTCATCGTTTTCTCCCACCGCCAGATTTTTCCACGACGATCCTGGCTCTCGTAGCCCTGTGCTCCAACGCGTCGCCGGCCTCGCCGTGCCCCAAGGGCTGCACGTGCCCATCCCCGGGGACCCTCGCCTGCAGCGGGCACGTCAACTCGAGCGCACTGCCGCCGGGTACCCAAGCCCTGCTCTTGCTGGGCCACCTCCCTGCCCCGCTGGTGCTCGAAGCCCTCCGCCTGCGCTCGCTGCAAGCCCTGGACGTGTCCCACACCGGCATCTCCATCCTCCCACCGGACGCTTTCTCCGGCTGCCCGGCGTTGCTCTCGCTCAACCTGAGCCACAACGCGCTGCGCGGCGTGCGGGAGCACGCGTTACACCGCCTGCCCTCCCTCCGCCTCCTCGACCTGTCCCACAACAGAATCCGTGGGTCCGGCCTCTTCGATCTTCTGCAGCGCCTGAGCTCCCTCTCGACGCTGAACGTGAGTCACAACGCCCTCCGCCAGCTGGACGGGTTCCGCGCCGGGCGGGCGAACCCCCCACAGCCGCTTCCGCACCTGCGTCACCTGGACGTGTCCTACAATCGCATCGTGGAGATGTCACCTGTCACGCTCTCGGCGTTTCCGGGCCTGGTGACGCTGCGGGCATCGCACAACCGCCTGGAGGAGCTGAGCGAAGAGCTGTTCCAACGCTCGCGGGAGCTGCGCTTTCTCGACCTCGCCTGGAATCAGCTCTCCCGGCTGCCCGAGGGTTTGTTCGGAGGCACCACTGCCCTCGAGAAGCTGGACCTGCGCGCTAATCGTCTGGCGAGCATCCCCAGCGGATTGCTGGGACCGCTGGGCCGTCTGGCGTGGCTGCAGCTCGAGTACAACCCCTGGGAGTGCGACTGTTCCCTGTGGGGGCTGAGGCTGTGGCTGGAATGGCTCACGTTTCGAGGTTTGAATCGCATGACCACCCAGGGCGTGTGAGATGTTTTTGTTCAACAAACCATCGTCTCACATTTGCAGAAGAGGGCGGCACACTGGTGCTGATACCCAGAAAGTCGGAGACAGTCCAGAGTTTCACTTATTAAATGCATGTTGCTGGCTAATAGAACGAAATGGTTTCTATCACCAACAAAACATAATTTAATTAATTGTGAAATAAACCAACTGTTTCATTTATCATTACCCACAATTTACATAATTTTGTACAATTTAGCTGCACTGCACTGAACGGGTTCCAAATTGTTCATGGAAAGCTCCTGCCTACAACATCAGGTAACCCAGCAAGCATTGTTAAACTGACCACAAACTTGTTGATGAGGCATATTAAGTAGAAGCCAGTCTACAGTTTGTCCGATTTAACAAATGCTGCCATATGCTGATGGACTTAAATAGTTGTATTTTATTGGTGGTGAACACGGGGAAGATTGATATTCTATAAACCTCCGTCACAAGCCACTGTTCCATGCAACACAGTAAAGGACGTCTCTCGTTAGGGTGCCTTCGTTTGACTTATTATGTATTGTCAAATAAGTTAAACTTTATTCATCAGGTTTTTTGGGTTCTGGTTGATGCTGGTTGTAATCGCCAGCGAAACGTCCTACTTAATTGTAAATGTTGTGAATTTTCTCTCTAACACACCGGGGTGTGCTAATGCAGTAACAAATTGGCACGTTTTGTTCACGTGACAAACCTGATTGACTGTCGGGTGGAGGTCGGTATAAGACACATTTACATATACGCGATCTAGCCCAAAAAACGTTATCATGAATATTGGTTTGTCAAAGCCTACGTGTTAAAGCTAACATACTTAACACTAAATCTTGACTTAACGCTTTCGTGACTGCAGGAATTCCTATTCTTGGGTCTTTCGATAAAGTCACGTAGATAGGTTCAAAGAAAATAGAAAATAAAAACTACGACGTTTCGATCGCAACACAAACCTATCTACGTGACTTTACCGAAAGACTCAAGAATATTAATTAACACTGCATGATCTAAGCACACAAGTCAAATAATGCACCGACTCCTAATATACCATCACCGAGCGTTAGTTGATAACACTCCCGTATTTTTAATAACCTTTATTCAGGGAAGCTTTTTACATCTCTAAACACAATCCAGATATTTTACACATTCAACAAAATCAAGACCAAAGTGAAAATGACGTTTGTCTTCATTTTTGACAAATCAATCTACCTTGGTACGACACGATGAACTGTTCAGCAAGGCTTATACGCTTGCCTTGTGTGTGTGGTTGTGCAGGCGGGGAGGTGGACAGGTTGTCGTGCTCTGCACCGAGGGAGCTCAGGAACAGGCCACTCCAGCAACTGTCCTCCGATATGTTCTCTTGGTGCCAATCATCTGTGCGCGAAACCCACAGCAACAAATCCGACGGGTCACAGAGGCTCTCCGAGTCTTTGCTTTTCGAGGCAGAGGGGAGGCAGGACGATCAGCGTGAAGGACACCCTTTCATGTCCTCTGAACACAAACCCCCACCACCTTCAGCAGAAGAGACCGTACCGTCCTCGGCACAACGCTCACCGCCGCCACCTTCAGAGGAGCAACATTCGCCCTTCTCGGCAAAGGAGCCACCACCTCTGTTCTTGCCGGCGCAGATGCCCCAGTCTTTGTCCGCCAAAGAACCCTTGGCATTATCGGTGCAGGAGTTGCTGCCTCCGGCGCAGCGCCGGGCTCCGGCTCATCTGTCTGCGGGGGGCCCCATGGCACTCGCCGTGGAACAGCCCGGCACGCTGTCCCCGCGTTCGGTGCAGCGCGGCATCAACGACGCGTGCATGTTTCACCACCGCGTACGCGCACGCCAGCCCAGCGTGCGCTACGCCCTAACCACTGTGGTGGTGGCGGGAGTGGTGTGCGGGCTCCTCTGCGTCATGATGGCTGCGGCGGCGGGCTACGGCTGTGTGTACGCGGCCATGGCAGCGCACCGCGCCGTCGAGAGCCGCCGGTTGGGTGGCGACGGTGGGACGGAGGCCGACGGCACCATTCCGCTAGCGGCCACCGAAGGAACGGCTGACAGCAGCGATGGGGGTGACGTTGGCGCGGCCGGTGGGAAAGAACCGCTCGTGTCTTGTCCTGGAAACGGTGCCAAACTCAAGCCAGACAGCCGCGTTTGAACGACCCGCACCGGCAAGAGCGATGTTCCACACCGTCCGGTCTTATCGCTCGCGCGTATTGTATCCTCATCCAAGACGTAGCGCCGCGTCAAAAACACGTGGGTTGCAGAGGCTGGCGTGGATTAAGCACTGGAAGCTCTGGTCATAAAATAATTGCGGGGTCATCATCGTCGGTTATCGCGATCTACCGCTGGGTGAAGGTCTCCCCGTGTCGCCGCCGTCCCTCAGTTTTGGGATGCCACAATCTATGTGACTCCTGCACATGGCCATCTTAAAAGAATTATCATTCTAAACAATCGTTAAACTTTGATTTCAAGCTTTCGTGACTGCAGGGATTCATATTCTTGAGTTATTTCGGTAAAGTCACGTAGAAAGGAAATAATACAATAATAAAATATAACACAATAAAAATTCTCACGACGTTTCGACTGCAACACAAGCAATCATCATCAGCTGTGAAATCCACAGCAAGAATATTTGAAAAAAGTTGTGCGGCGACGGCGGTGGATTTCACACCTGATGATGATTGCTTGTGTTGCAATCGAAACGTCGTGAGAATTTTTATTGTGTTATATTTTTATTATTGTATTATTTCCCTTCTACGTGACTTTACCGAAAGAACCAAGAATATAATCGTTAAACTGTTATTTTTTTAATGCTGATTTATGGCATTTATTATGGACATAAACCAAACTTCCACAAAACAATAGTTGGCATATGAAAAATAACTAATTTTAATTCTCGTTTTGCATTGCATCACTTTCTTCAAAACCCTACTTGTTGCTGTGACGGTGCTTACTATAGTAGGAAGCATATAACAGTGTTTTGTAAAATTAAGGGCTCAACATAAGCCTTTGATATATATTTACTAATGTGGGACAACTGGTCTTGTGGTTCCCATGCCAGAACTGTGCTTTTTGTGTGTACGTGTGTGTAAAAGTTTGAGGTCTTCCTATCAGAAAGTATTCCCTGTAAAATCTTGATTTTAAACTTTCGTGACTGCAGGAATCCATACTATAAAATAAAATTGTATTTTAGGTATAAAATTAGATATTTTATATAAAAGAAAATTTTATTTTATACCTAAAAGAACATTTTATTTTATACCTACGTGACTTTACCGAAAGAACCAGAGTATGTATTCCCTGTAAAGTATAATGTACATCCCTTTTTAAATCCACTGCTGGATGAAGGCTTTCCCATGCTATGTCAGTCATGGGGGTCGTGTGACCATTCCTTACTGCGTTGGCGGGCGCGGGTCGATGAAATTGGAGGTGGGGGGGGGCGCAGGACTGGGTCAGATGTTTAGACAGCACTCGTCACTGTTGTGCGAATAATTGAAGGCACCAAGTCAGGCTCATGCTGCGATTATAATTATGTAACGAATTAAAATTAGTTTTGAGGCATCCATTAAGATACATGCAGAATAATACACGCGCTTTTTTATACTATATATTTATAGTACGTGGATTGTGTTTGCACAGAACAATGGCAGATTCTGTGACATGGTCTGTGAAACGTAAACCCAGTGCAGATCAAATTTGAGCCCGTACAGTTTTCCACGTATTAGCCCACGTTTTGCCAGTGACGCATCTGTAATACAAATCTCTGGATCAGCATAACACAACACAACACCGCCACCTCGAGAAGCTGCTGACCAAATGGAACCTGCAAGGCTACATATATATAGCCCTACTTTACATATCACCTGAGCCTGGTGGTGATTGACCAGAAGCCTCCTTGTAATTAAGTTCCAGCCACCATCCTTGTCCGGTTTTAATAATCGCGACATTAATTTACAGCCCTTTGTCAATCCACTGCTGGATGAAGGCCTTCCTGACGCCTTGTCCGTCGTTGGGAGTTGTTTGACCACATTTCACCATGTTGGTCGGTGTGGGTTGGCGGGTAGAGGTGCCCAGGACAGGTTCAGATATCACTCGTCACTGATGTTTGCCACGGTCAGGAATTGTACGAAGAAAACCGGGTGCATAGTATGCAGTTTTATAACGACTGTGCCAGGGCTCTACCCCTGAGTTTTATAATCCAGCAGTATGTTGTATTGTTTTGCATAATTCTACTGAAGTCCGGGTCACATTAATCCACCGACCTGCAAGCAGCGCATGCCTGTGCTGGTATTGAGTCGGGGTGGTGAGGTTCATCACAACCACCTGAAGGTTCAGAGTTCAGATTTGTTTCGATAGTCATTGAATAGTAGCGCTTATAACGGCTGCAGAAGTGACGAACCCATTGCACACAACGTATAACGAATTAAAATACGTCAACCTTTACGCACGTGATTTAATGCGTGTATTGGGTTCTTCAGAATCAATGTTAATGACTCCAACGCATTTTTCCACCTTCAGTAATTGAAGCAGCGGCAAAAAATGCCACGTTGGCCACATTACTATGGTGGGCACCAGTTTCTCAAGACAACCACTGCTGACTTTGCATGAAATGGTGCAACCACCACCAGGCGGTACTCATTTTATCACCCCTGCAGCAACGATGCAGCTGATGATGATGGGGGCTACGTCAGCTGGGTACTCGAGTTTTAGATAAAGGTTACCGGGTATACAGAGCTGTCCATCCCGATTAGTAGTCTACATTGGTATTACATAACTCAAAGTAATCGTTAGTGCCATCGTGGGGAATATTAATAACAAAATAAGTGTATTTTTATACACTGGAATAGTTTTTACCATAAAAGTCAAAGCATCTCGTATACAGTGATGTAGGATTAAAAACCTGCATTTAAACTACAATGGTTATTTGCATGTACAGCCTAATATCTACACAAATTACTCAATGATGCCCGTTTAAGTCAATATTAAGTATTTTATTCAGTAGCTTTTCACCTTTACAGCGTTTAACCGAAGACTGCTTTTGCTTTAGTTTACAAGCTTACAAAGTCGTTTGCATTTTGTCAGAGCCAGCAGATTGTTACATTGTTTTTAGTCACGGCCTATTCTGTTTCAATTAATTTTTGACAAACTATAATATAACATGACACCAACCCCATCTTACCTGGGCTGCCGATCGGTTTTCTACCCCACTCCAACCATTATAATCTTGTGATCCGGTTTGGTGGGTTCCTGTAAATGAGCTGTAAATAGCTTGGCTTAAGCATTTAAGAAATATATATTTTTACGTGTATAATTTATACATAGTCTGATGGGAAAAGTGATGCTGGCGAACAGCTGTTTTACGGCTGCCACAGCAAAAGGCATTTCCCCGCCACCTTTGTCTCTCCAATGCTGATATCGACACGATGTTTGAAACGCATATTTTATGTTGAGCGGACCTAAAGGCACACACGACAGGTTCAGAGTGCCGATGGTGCAGCCAGGAATAAATCTTGCTCACAGTAACCATAGTTCAGTGCTCTAACCACAATCGCGTCGTTCTCCTGGTATACAAGATACAACGGCGACACAACGCCTAGGTGTGTAACAGTACAGCTTGTGCGGCAAGGCCTACTGGCGTACATCACCTACACAAACCGCATGAAAGCTTATAACAACATTCGATATAAACATAAATATGGATTTGTTTAAAGAAACCATCAGTCAACAAAGCTCACACTACAGCCTGCCAATCATTTTGCGGAAAACAATTCCACCCCAACTAAAAAAAGCTTTTCTAGTTATTAAATATTTATTTTAAGGAATTGTATTCAAGCTGCGTTATCTACATCATGATATAAAGGAACGTCCATTCGGAAATTTCACACAGCAGTGTATCACCCTGTTATAGATAGGATAGCCCGTGGAGAAGTTTATATCACAGAACTTCAAGGGACTTCACACGAGGGGCGCTGTACTCACCCTCGCCCCCTGCTATAGAGAGAGAGAGAGATGTCCATCGCATTGCAGAGTTGAATTTTGCCAAATCAAGCAGTCGTTTCTGGATATGCCAAGGCCATTTACTCACTTCAGCCGAGAAGTGGGTTTATAATCATGGGTGGCTGCGCCGATTGGAACTCTGATCACAAAGTCACTTGGCCACAATTTTCTTTTCATGCTATTTTCATTTCATGAGAAATATTTAATACAAATAGATTTGTCCTTCAATATCAAGTTGCAAATAAATGTAAGGTGTATACATTTAATTATTCGATATAAAACGGGTGGCTATCAAGACCTGCACTCGTCAAACAATCCCACAAGCCCCCGATCCGCCATCAAGCAACTCTACACACTCCCATAATCAATCGCTACTCAACAAACTATTTTCACACAACTGTACATATATTTGCTTTATTCCGCGCAGGTGAGAGCCCAATGAGACATTATTCTTGCAAGGGAGACTTTGGAACAATGGAGGGTGTGTTGTACAGCGAAACGAGAACAAGGTGTAAAAATATGAAAAATTAATAAAACCTTAGTACGTTTTAAAGAAATCAACGTTTGCTTCCTCAACCATGATTGCAAACGGGCACTTTAATCGAGGGGGTGAAAACAGTATGGCGTTTATTTTGTGTGCACGTGATGCAAGGTGCATTTTTATGCGCTGGCGCAAAATCTTCTCTCGATTTGCATTTTGAAGACGTCGGTGACAACGGATGAAAGTGTTTGGTGTTATTATTGTACGTTCATCACTTTACACGCCCACCACCTTGGCTTCCCTGCGTGTGTGTTTAAACTGGGACGCTGTAACTGCTGCTCTCACCGCAAAAAAATAAATCACAATAAACAAAACAAAATGCCGATTGAAAGCTGTGAAGTAATCACTGTGGAATGAGTTTGACTTGTTTAAATATGTGAATTAATCAAAAGTAGTACTGCAAAGACTAGATCATTGCATAGCACACACAAACACAGCAAAATAATTAAACAAATTCTAGCGCTTTCTGTCGATGACAAGAAACTTATTAGACAGAAAAGTGTTTGGAGGCGGGAAAATACAAGAGTATTCATGCAAAAAGTAATTTAGTCAGTAAATAGCGCAACTGGGCCATAGGATGAATAGTGCGTTGCATTCCAGGTGGCATTAAACAAGAGTTGTGTGTGTAAAGCACACAGCATTGTTTTAAACCACCAATTGACACAAAAGTTAGAACTGTGGCCATAGTTAGGCTGTACTGCATTATGGGAAAGCCCCCAACAATGCCTTGTGAGCTCACTAGAGAACACTGCTACGAGTGCACAGCAGTCCAACCGAGCCAGTGGACCATCAGTGGTAGAAAATTTTGGTCTTTAAAATTCTGGTGGTAGCTAAGTAACACGGCATCTGCAAAACGGTTTCACCCTTTTTAGGGATCTTCAGTACAGTTTAGCCTTGCTACTCTAATGCCACAATTGCACCCAGAGCTGTTTTAATAAACATGCGTTTTAATGCCTCTTTAGGTTGGGTTGTTAAACGAAAGCCAGTAAGAACTGAATCGATTAGCGGTTCTGAAAGTTGGCAAATGGTAACCGCTTCCAAAATAATGTGAGGAGCGAATGCACTGACTGGCACACAAGTGAATGTACAAATGGCATCGTGGCCTAAGCAACAATTGCGATTGCTCTCGCTTGTGCACGCGAGGTGTATGTGGTCTCATCTTGCATGCTAACCAGACGTCTTGGAAGAGTTGTGTGTACCTACACTTTACCCACACCACAAGTGACCGGCCAATCAACTGTGGTGAATCCATTTATACTGTTGGATGGACAGAGGCAGCAGGGGGGGGGGGGTTACTCAATTGTTACAACTACTCTGGCAGCTCCTTACATTTCTCAGTTAAAAAGGTGGACACGTTCAGTTTATTTGCGAGGCATTTTTATTTGTGCAGCGCAAGCAGGTAACCGTATTTTTGTTCATACGGTTACCGGTCATGCAACAAAAAAAATGCTATTTAACAACCCCACTCGATAGGCAGACGAATTGGCACTGCCTAAATGCGTTTCAATGCAGGCCCACACCTTCACCTGCCATGAGCTGGTAAAATGTGTGCAGAGCATCGCAAAATAATGCACAAAGCAACAATGCCACCACAGCCTGAAAGTATTCTAACAGAAAGCTTACATTAACAAAAGGCAGCCTGTTCTGGCGACCAGTTTTAAAAATGTTAACGTTCGGAAAAAATACGTGGCAGTAAAGTAACACGGCAACTGCAAACCGGGTTCACAATGTCAGCAGCAGTGGATGGCTTGCACAGTAACTGGGTCTTTAAAGAGGTCACAAGAACATGCTGCAATAGGCCACGGTGTGCCAGTGGCCAAGGGTGAATTTGAATAAAAAGAAAAACACCAAGAACCCCATCATATTTAACCAGTGCCACATGGTCTCACTTGCAAAAGCAATGACGAATCTCAATCACGTCTCACCTTTGACATTGTGAACGCTTTGTTGCTTGCTCGGGTTCAACTGTATTTCCCCCAAATTGCTAAACTGGAGCTAGCATTTTATAGCTACTGCGTGTGCAGCCAGTGCAACTAGAACTGGGGCCCACAGGCACAAAGAGGTCCAGGGCATCAAGTTGCAAAACAGATGGGAATTGAAAAGGGAAATCCATTTAATTTCTTGTAACCGGGCCCTGAAGATCGACGTGGGAGACTGACTATTAACTATGTTTATTTTACCAGGTAAGGCCCAATTAGCTATGCAGCTCTTTTTCGGAAGCGTCCTGGCCACAAATGATAGCTCAATGAAGTGGCTTATCACATGGAAATGTATAGCAGCCAAATACTCTAAATGCATGTTGATTCCAAATCTGGAGGGAAAAACTGGAGGATCCGGAGAAAAAGCCACGCGACCATGGTGAGAAAGCCAAGCAAACTCCAAATATAAAACTCCATATATGTGCGAGAGAGATGGTGGCTGAGAGTCAGCTCTGCTTCTTTTTGAAAAACTCGGGTAGGAACTGATGCCATACAAACGAGACGAGCTCGCGTTCGGTGCGGCGAGTCACGATGACGACGGCCGACAGGCACGCGGCTCCCAGGGTGACATGAAGCAGGCGTGGAGCCTTGCCGTGGTCACAGCACAGCACCCACTGCAGAGAGAAGAGACGCGACGAGACCAAGATGATGAGCACGAGCGTCCCCGCAACATTCCTGCTCGCACAAACTCATCTCCAATGGTGACCCTGAGCCAATGGTATAAACGTCAAATTGATATGGCAGGGCCAGTCTCTGCATAGGATGATCATTTAATGGTCGTGAAATTTAAGGATCTCAAGTGGTAAATGTCAGTTGGCAGACTTTTGGAAGATTTACAAAAGGCATTCTTCAGCCCTGGAAAGGTACGAGCAAACAAACTTGAAAATAATTCCGTAAATTTACAAAACGTTAACCAATCCTGTACCCAGTGCGTTGTGCGGCTTCGCTCAACAGAGCAATATTAAAGTGGATCTGTGACGATTACCAAACTCAGTGACGATGATAGTGGTGATCATTATGACAAAGAGACTGTAATTGCAATGGATATAACAACAATGAAGATCTGCAAACCAACTGGCTACCTTCAGAGATTTGTTCATGAAGCCATCCAGATATACAAACACAGACACAACTTCAACCGAGAAGATGGGTACAAACTGAGCAATCATTGGAAGGACGTTATGAACCAGGTAAAGTCTTAACTGACTGTGATGTTTCCATCCTACCTGCCGATGTCAGCTGATATTTCCGACTCTCTGTGTGTGTCTCTCTCTCTATGCCTCTCTCTTAGATCTCTCATGCTCACATGTCCTTTGCATTGCACTCTCATGCCTGATTGCACTCTCATGCTCACATGTCCTTTGGATTATGCCATCATGCCTTGGGATTGCAATACTCTTCGTTCTTACATTAACATGCTAATTTCTCACATTAACATCACTAGCCCTGCCCGCTTCTTTATGACCCTTGAACTACACCCATTTCAACCCTTTTAAAAACAGTCTGCCTCAGCAGCAGACCATGATTTCCCACCTGATGACGGACGCTTGTGTTGCGCCCGAAACGTCGTGATCTATTTTATTTTATACCTACGGGACTTTACCGAAAGAACCAAAGAGTAATGAAGATCTCTGATGCGTTCTCGGGTTGCACCTCGTAATTTTCAGTTCCTGGAGAAGCTCCTCGCACATGGAGTGAAACATCGGACATCATGCAAAGAACACGCAGTAAAACCAGAATCTACATCAGACTCTATGCAGCACAACTGGGGAAAGCATGGTTTTACCCACAATGCTCCACGGAAACTCATAATGCGTTTGTGAGTACGGTATTGCTTTTGAGTTGAACAGGGTCCTACAGATTATATGTCATGCGCTTGTAAATAACATCTGATAATCCAACAGTATTTGTTAAACAAGCCCGACTCTGCTGATGAGACCTAGGAGGTCGAAACCAGTGGAGAGTTTACTTGCTTAGACAAATGCTGCCGGATAATGTTGGTCTGAAAGCCAAAAAGGCTGATGGCCTAAAACGTATTTTAGTTACCGTGTTGTCTGGACTATAATATGCTCCGAAGAGGCAAACACACTCCCGAAATTTACTCTGGGGAGTACATTATATGTGTAGATACAACGCAATTCTGTTATACGCTGTTTGAATTCATTCACATGCAGCTATGCTTTTGGACGTGTGCTGTGTGCGCTACTCGGCAGGCAGCCGTCTCGTGCGGTTTCGCTTTGTGCGCCTTTTTTTCTTTGGAATGCATCTACAACTACCGCATAAAGCGAGGGAAACCAGGAGATGCTTTTCAGCTAGTAACAATATATTCGTTTACGCTTGTTTACCCAAGAAAGCCTCAGCGAGTTTTTTTTACAACAGAGGGGGCGATGGTTGCTGTGTGTAATCCCAATTGAGTAATCAGCGGGTAATCTATTAGAAAAGCCCGGCGTTACGTTTGTCCATCAACTAAATTATGAGAGCCTTTCAGAAGGCCTGAATCTAAAAGTTATCGAAAGTGTATCTCCCCCCCCCCCCCACTAGATGTGGGGGTAAAAAGTTGATCAAATAGGTTTCCAACAATTGTCGACCCCCCCCACTACCAAAATAAAAATGCACTCTCCCACCCCACAAAAAGAAATGTCTTTTGTAGGCATATATGCCTACACACCCATCATACAATAGTCAGTAGTATTTGCACACATTGGGGGGGTGGGGAGAAGAGGACATCAGTGATCAGAGGGGGAGAGGGGCGAGGTGCAAGACGCTGAGAAGCTCTCCGCAGGAGCTAGAATAAGAATAGAGTGGCCACATGCCGCCAAATTTCTAGTCTTTCAACTTTTGACCGTGATGCCGGTAAGCAACAGTCTACTCGAATGAATGTCACAGGACATTTAATGTCCAGTATGAAGTGTATAATTACGGGTATTACGCCCGCAGAATAAGATCAGGGTGGCCGCGGGAATCAAACCGTGAACCATTGCGACAAGCGGCGAATGTGCTATCGCTGGACCAGGTCACGGCCCTTTGATGGCATTGACGATGACGGCGATGGTGAAGCCGTGCTACCTCGGAGGTGGCGGTGATGACCCAACTGCAGAAGAATGTGAACGCGAGGACGAGGTTGGGGCGCAGCGCGGCGAGCGGCTCGTGCGGCGTGCCGCGGAAGTAGGCGACGATGAAGTTCAGGCTGGAGGCCAGGCGCAGGGCCATGTTGAGACAGTTAGCGAGGACGAAGCCCACGGAGCCGAATGCTCGCGTCAGCGCGTACGACAGCACCAGGAACACCACCGAGAGGACCAGGAGCTTCATGTTGTACCTGCGTGTGCGCGCGTGTACGTGTGCGCGAACATGAACACGCGTGGAAACGGTATCACGATATTATTTGCTGCGGAGTATTAACATTTCAGGGCCAAGCGGAATGAAGCCACTAGCAACACAAGGTTAGAACAACACTACTGGGCATGTGTGAAGAAGAGCTTCATAGCTCATCGGATTCCTCCAGCATAAATAGATATTCTGAGATGTTTTTAAGAACTGTAGTGGCTGGACAGACTTCTGGTCACTCCTAAAGGTTGAATTGAGAGTGATTTTGTTTGGAATTTCTCAAGAGAAAAACATTTCAGTAAATATATAAGTTATGACACACATGCCTCGTCATAAAAATTTGAATCATATTACACTTTGAAGTGGGCACGTAGCTTAGAGGGGGCTATTATCTTATCACAGCACTGAGCCCCCATCTATAATCCTTGAGTCAGAGCAGTAATTGGTACCACCTAAGGTAGCAAACCTTGAGAGCAGATTTATTTATATGGCTAGGAAGATTAAATGATTTGGCAACCCGCACAGTATTTTGATCAATTCAATCATTGATTTCACATGTCAAAGGCAGAATATTACGTGTAAGGTACTGTAATCACAATAAATTGCAGTTATAATATAACTGGAATTTCAACTATAAAAACGCTTCTGTATCGTAATTATAATTAACTTTACGACTGGTTAGGTAAATTTCGATTTAAAGCTTTCGTGACTGCAGGGATTCATCTTCTTGGTTCTTTCGGTAAAGTCACGTAGAAGGGAAATAATAAAATAATAAAAATAAAACATAATAAAATACAATTCTCACAGTAGTGAGAATTCTCATAGTGAGAATTGTATTTTATTATGTTTTATTTTTATTATTTTATTATTTCCCTTCTACGTGACTTTACCAAAAGAACCAAGAAGACTGGTTAGGTGCCTATGTAGTTACAGCTATGGGTCGGAGCAGAAGGAAGAGAAGCGATGGCAAGGTGTGTTGCTTGCCGCCAAGAGCGCTCGCCACGAGTGCTTGACTTTGGCCAAAAATAACCAAGTTCAGCAGGGCTCTCACCTGTCCACTTCGCTCTGCTTCATGGCAGCAAACACGAAGCACTCTGTGATGCCATTCAGCGCCAAGAACAGCACGTAAGCGGAGTACCAGCGCAGTAACACCGGCCCTGCTCAAGAAAATTCACCACCCGGGTCAGAATATACAAAATGACACGACACCATACAGCTACTACATGGCTCAGCCGCGTGGTCATTGCCGCTCATGGCCGGCTGATGAGTTTTTACATGAAAGAAACGCAGTTCCATCTCCCATGCTGTGGACTGCGCCGATGATGTCTTTCTTCAAGGGACTACTGTACATGAGAATATTTTTTGAATATCTCAGTCGGTGGCCTCTTCACTTTTTAAACCATCCCGTGCGTTTGTATAATTATTTTGTTTGTTATCTCGCCGAGTCTCACAACTTTTTGCAGGAGGGTTCTGCCAAGTTTTCGCAGTAGGGGGTGACGATTGCTGCGTAGAAATTTAAATTCTGTAATTTGTGGCCATTTTTTTTTATTTGGACCATGATCCCAGCACACAATGCGACTGACGTGATGGGATCATTAACGTCCAATGTGAAGGCGTGTATTTTTTACGGTTCATACACCCATAAGCAGATTCAAACTATGAACCTCTGCAACAATGCATGTTGAACGTCTTTCGCACCGTACGTAGCTAGCCATGGTAATCGGAGACACTAATCGGAGGTGCAAAGCGGTGCGCCTCCGATTGCACTAACAAGCGGCAAATGCGCTAGCGTGGGCTTGTTAACGCCCCAAGAATGCTGCGATGTTGCCATGATGGCCACATGACCCTGTTCAGATAATTCCAAGTTTATTTTTTCACCACGTATGTACTCAAAGAGACCAGGAGAGTTTCATTTGCAAAAGTTACTAGGGGCATTAGTCTGCCACCACAGCACCCTTAAATTAAGTAAAGCCGAATGACGGATTAGAAACACGGCAAAGACGTTGCTGGTTACCGCCGCTGGAGCTGAGCAGCGACCCCCCGTACAAGTCGAGCGCCAGGTACGAGTATGAGAAGCCAAACGTGAGGACGGTGACTCCGATGAGCAGCACCAGCTTGAGCAGCGACTGCAGCACCTTGGCCACGATGGCGATGTCATCCTGCCAGCAAAGCCGCACGGGGGAGAGTGCTGTTAGCGAGCGCCTATTGAGGGCAGAGGAGGCACGCGCGCCGGCTGAGGGGCCAGCATCACCGCCAGCATTATGTCTGCCCAGTGCTGCTGTTCACACACTACAGCAGTTACTTTGTTTTGTTCTGCTGAGCTGACCTAGAGGTCTAGGCCAGGTTCCAGATTACAATTGTCCCTGGTGTTGTGTATGATGAGGAATACATAAAAATGGGTGGACAGCACAGCATGTCAATCACCACAAAAACAAAACAGTTTCCCACGTATCTATATTTGACTGTTGGTGCACGTGCTATGAGTAAGAGCTTATCAAGGCTTACATAGCACGTGAAGGGGTCAATAGTTCAGCAACACACACGTACGTAGGCCTTGGCAAGGTAAGGTAATTTACCCTTTTTACCGGGTAAAAGGGTAAAGGTGTCGACATGCCAAGGGGTAATGTAAAGGGTAGGGTAAAGGTAGCTCGGAAGAATTACCCGGTAGGGTAAAGGTAGCACGAAGTATTACCCGGTAAATACGGTACCTTGTTTACCGCTAAAAGCTCCGTGGCGCAGTCCGTGGCCTCCATTTAATAAATAATATTTAAATAAACTTTTTTAAAAACATGCTTTTATTAAATGTACTCGTAATGGGAGAACTCCACCACTCCAGGAAGTGGCCCCGAAGCTTGCCATGACGTAAGGGGCCGTGGCCAATTACAGCCAACGTCAGTTGAGCGTGGACAATTAGACCCAAGCCTAAACATAAAATATAAAAAATGTTTAAAAAAATATATTTTTTATGATAGAATATAGTGTTTGCAGTCGATACCACATTAGGAAGTGGATTAAAATTGAGTTACAAGATTTGAGGATACAACAACGACGACAACAACTTCTTCTTCCTAGCGTTGTTCCCGCTGTGGCGCAGGGTCCGCTTTTCGGCATTGTCTTCTCCATTTGGCTCGGACCAGGGCATCTTCAAGGGTTGCGTTGACCATCTTTATGTCTTCCTTTATTCGATCCATCCATCGCTTCTTCGGACGTCGGCGTGGACGGCGGCCCTCTGGCTCAATACGCACGGCAGTCTTGGCCACTGATGACTCTTCACTTCGCATCACATGGCCGTACCACCGAAGCCTTGCCTCAAGCATCTTGTCCGCAATGGGGGCCACACCAAGTCGCTTCCGAACGTCTTCGTTCATGACACGATCCCATCGAGTGAGTCCGAGGCTCCATCTGAGCATCCTCATCTCCATGGTGTGGAGAGCTTGTTCGTGTACAGTTGTGGCTGGCCAGCACTCGGATCCATAGAGTGCCACCGGTCGGACGATGGTCTTGTAAATTTTTCCCTGCAGCCTATCCGGCATTTTCCGATCACAGAGGACTCCGGTGACTTTCCTCCACTTCATCCACGCCACATTGACTCGTGACCTCACATCAGTCGTGATGCTACCATGCTACAACGACGACAACAAAAAGCGTGTAAAATTGGAATAATCGAGAGTATTCTATATGAATAAAGCGCTATACCTAGAATTTACCGTTATAAACATTTTTAATGTGTAGTAGTACCCCAGTAATGACCCTGTAATCGGGTAATTAGTATGGGTAAGGGTAAAAGGTAGGGTAAAGGTAAGCTCATTGCTTTTTACTTTTTACTTGTTACCTTACCTGCTAAAGGGTAAAAGGTAGGGTAGAGTTATTGTATTGTGGTAAGGTAAAAGGTAAGGTAAAGGTAGGCTCGTTGTTTTTACCTTTCAACTTTTATCTTACCTTGCCGAGGCCTACACGTACGATTGCCTTTGTTACCCCCTGGTACTGATGTTGACCGGGCCACTGCACCGGATACTCAATTTAGGCCAATTGTACGTAGGCTACATAAAAATATAAATGACCACTGGTGCTGCTTATGCCCTAAATTAAAATCTGTTTCACTGGGGCCATAATTTAGTCACTACCCTAGCAGCCAAGAAACAATACACCAACCCCACCCCCCCCCCAAACCTATTGAATTGTGACAATTGAGGATCACAACTCGATTCAAAGGAAACGTGTCTCATCGGTATCTTCTCGATTTTGAGATCTGTTTTGGTATCATGTTTGTCTCCACTTCCTCTGCTCCGCCATAGCCTACAGGCACCATTTACAAAAAAAAATGCATTCATTGCCAATGACTTATTCTTCCTCGTGCAAATCTACGCGTGAAATCATAAACGATTGAATCGGAAAATCATTACAAGCCTACAAAGACAAAGATCCCCAGTATAGCCTTAATAGACTGTTGGGGCAAGTGCTGTTAGCGAGCACCTATGAAGGCCGGCACACTACACGAGGGAGTGGGTGGCCAGCACCACGTCTAACGGCCAGTCTCCCCAGTGGCGATGTTTTTATACACCGCACCAGGTACTCATTTGAGGCTGAGCCAACCTCGGGGAGGCCCAAGACCAATGCAGATAATCATCACTGGTGAGCGGGGTTGTCGGCTTCATCGCGCAGTGTGCTAACCACTACACTACCGCTCCCCACACCGACATCACGCGCAGAATCGTGCGTACACGAACTCGGGAGGCGAAACGCGCAGTCCGATCCACACCTCGTTCTGCTCCATGGCAATCTTTCCACGGCTGAGCGAGCGAGCGAAGAAGACGTAGAAGCTGTCCTCAATGGGCATGAAGATAAAGCGCGGCACCATGGAGCCCAGGTTGTTCACCACGTCGTAGATGCCTGCACAGATCGCCGCCTCATCTCAGCACGAGCCGGCAACTCTCACAGCCTCGCGGCGCTATGGAGCACTCCACAGCGCATCGCGTATTGTTGTAAATGTGATGGTGGCGCTTTGAGTGGTTAGGTTTGTGCCAGAAAGGTGCAACACATATGTAAATTAAAATAAAATAAACTATTTTTTTTTCCAGGTTAGGCCCACTGAGCTACTTTGCTTTTTTTCAGAAACGACCTGGCCACAGATGATCGCTCAACAAAGTGGCTTATCATGTGGAAATTTATAGCAGCCAAATACTCTAAACGCATGTTTTTAAATGTGGAGGGAAAAACTGGAGCACCAGGAGACAAAAATTAAGGTGACTCGACTCAAAGATGACGAAGGCGCAGCTCCGCAATTGCTCCCTGGAACCAGTTCCTCTCGCAGAAGGGCGTCCAAGAGAGAGAGCTCTACAGAGCCCCACTAGAGGGCGCTTGGCCTACTCTTCATTGCTGGCCAGACGCAGTGGGAGTACCTACACTTTACCCCACCATGCCGATCGTCTAACTGTGGCGTGCCTATTTATATTTCTGCAGGGACGGACAGAGGTAGGAGATTAAATAAATGTCAACTATTACTGGTAGGAACCTCCTGGTTACACCAGCCCACAGGGGATTATTGTGTCTGTCCGTCCGTCGTGCAGGGAGGGGCTGGGTGGGGGGGAGGGGAGTGTGGGAGGGGCTGGGTGGGGAGGGGAGTGTGGAGAGGGGCTGGGTGGGGAGGGAGGGCTGGGTGGGGAGGGGAGGGTGGGGAGGGGCTGGGTGGGGAGGGTGGGGAGGGGCTGGGTGGGGAGGGTGGGGAGGGGCTGGGTGGGGAGGGTGGGGCTGGGTGGGGGGTGAGAGGGGTGGGGCTGGGTGGGGAGGGGCTGGTCACCCCATGGTGCCCTTATAAAACTCAACGTTTAACCTACTCACGCCGGCTTGTGCCCGCCCTCACAGTCGGCCATATTTGCGGAATACACCACGCCGCCGTTGACCCTGGCCATTGACCAAGCAACCCAACGTTCCTACCAGCTCCCTCCGCAGGAATGTGTTGTTTGAACGACCACGCCAGGCGATTTAACTGGACCTGTGGCCTCTGGATGGAAAATCCAGTTAGCTCATGATTACACCACAGCATCATCCGTATTGTTTTTTTAATATTTGATGACAAATATAACATCTGGTTTCATTCATGGTTAGATTTCTAACAATTCGTAAGTTAATGTACAATTTCACATTAGTTGCTAGTTTTGCTGTTCAGATGTGTTACTTATGCTTTGTTTAACCTGAATAATTTTGACATTAAAATTATCATTTAACCCTGGGCACCACAGCAGATCAGAGTTTGTTTCATGTCATCTTAACAGAATGTTGGTGAAATAATCGTTCACTAGCACTGCTACTACGATGCTTAATAACGTCTCTCGTCGCGCCTCGAGACCTCACAACAACGTGCAGCGTCTTTCAACATGTCACAACTTCCCAAAGCAACCCGCAGTGGACCGCAGTACACCGCGACATCACAACATGCCCCAACCACTCGCAGTACGTTACATATAAGTAAAAAAAAAATCAGTATTCAACCTTGATCTCCAAAGTTGAGGACATTGAAGAAAGTCATGATGTATTTCTCCCCTAGCAGAGAAACAAGGCAAACACACACACACTTGGTCATGTGACTCGATGGTTAAGGAGGCAAAGGCTTATGGACCTTCTAATGAGCCAGCAATGATGAGACCTTCATGCTGAATCCAAACAGCCACATGCGATTAAACCAGGTTCTTTTGAGGAGTGAAGCTAAGTGTCTTAGTCTGGCCATACATAATTGAACAAAACACAACATTGTACGCATATGGCATTTCAGTTCCCAGGGATAAATGAACAGGCATCACAAGCATTCACAGCGAGCAGTACATCAACGCACTTCCAGAAGATGATATTACAGAACTGTGTCTGTAGTTGCCTCTATTGGGCTCTATCATCAGACAATTGACATTGACTGTATCTTCACTCGGTGTGGCGACACACGCCTGTAAGCCTTCGTGTTTGAGGCAAGGGTTCGTGGACCACTCACTGCTGTGGTGAAGTATGGTCAAATAACTTCTTGGTTCTTTCGGTAAAGTCACGTAGAATAGAAATAATAAAATAATAAAAATAAAACATCATAAAATAATTCTCACGATGTGTCGGCCACAACGACAGACCTGTTCTCCACCTGAGGACGGCTACTTGCGTTGTGGCCGAAATGTCGTGAGAAATATTTTATTATTTTTATTATTTTATTATTTCCATTCTACGTGACTTTACCGAAAGAACCAAGAAGATGAATCCCTGCAGTCACGAAAGCTTTAAATCGAAATATGGTCAAATAACTCCCATGACCTATAATGTTTGTGGAGGCCCTCATTGACACAAGGGCTGTATGTGTAATAATCAATATATTTCACATTTTTTTCACACCTCACATCAATAAAGGTTTCTCAGCTTGCTTTATATGAAATAAAATCTACACAAAAAGGCCCCACACTTTAAAACATGTAAAACGTACTATTTAATACATGTGTTTTGTGCGAGAGGATAAACACGGGCAAGGGAACCTTCAGTGAGAAGTTGCTTCAGGAAGGACTGCATCATGAAGCTCCGAGTCAAAGAGACGATCGCCCAATCAAATGGCTGCACGGCACAAACACGCGGTTATAGTGGGCACATCACACGGGCCATTCACACAGGCCAGTCGCACAGGCTACGCGGGTGAGACAGACACTCGCGGTCCAGTGCTTCCAGGAAAAGGTTCTCCATTTCTAATAATGAAGACAATGAAGATGAAGATAGAGCTGGGGTCGGCAACCCGAGGCTCCGGAGTTGCATGCGGCTCTTTAAGGACTGGTTTGTGGCATTATTTATGTGTGTAATGACAATAGAGCCTGCATGCGGTGCGAGGGGACTAGTGGCCACGGGAGGTAATGACAGGGAAATCAGCCTACAGTTCGAATACACGCGTGGCCATGGGAGGTAATGACAGGGGTATCAGTTGTGAGTGAGAAGGGACTGGTGGCTACGGGAATGTTATAGAAGGTAGCGTTATCAGGTGATGGAAGAGGACGGTAGAGCGAGCGTCCAGTCAGCGAGAAGGATCGGGAAGGGGGGCGTGGCCTCAGTTGGTATATAAGGGGGAGATGCACGGGAGACTCGGGGCTGTTGCAGTGGGGGTCTCCGCCTGATGTCAAGTGAACGTGTCTTCAATAAAGTCCCATCTCAAGAGAAGTGTGTCAAGTCGTCACTACACATGCATTGCTGGCTCTTGGAGCATTGAGGTTGTTGTTTTTTTACTAAATAAACAAACAAAAATGGCTATTAATTTTATGTTGGTTGCTGACCCCTGAGATAGAGCTTATGTCAAGGTGATCTGCCAGTCAAATAGAATGGTCATCATGTTTTCCATTTGGCTAGCTTGCACAGATTCAACACATCGAATACACTGGTCAACACACATTTTCTGGCATAAGGTATTCCAACGGTTGTAAGGTAATTTTGGGGTGCTGATTCCAAATCTGGCATCAGTTTTTGTCTATCACATCAGGTTTTTGAGATATCAAATATTGCATTTTCAATAAAAACTGCAGAAGAAAAATATTAAATAAATGTGGATATCTACATAAAATTATATTATAAACACACTATCCTAAAATACAGCACCATATTTTAACACTAAAGCAGTCAACTGATTCGCAACAACTTGCAATCATAAGTGACAGAGTTAATTTCGGGTAAAATCAATGAAAATGGGGTATGCCGATAGCATAAAAATGAGATGTGATAGAGCAAATCTGAGATCAGATTTGAAATCAGCACCCTGAAATTAGTCTAAAACAGCTGCAAAAGTCCAGGCCAGAAAAAAATGTTTTTTTTTTGTTGATCAGTGTAATTATCACGGTCTCTCAGTAACTTCTGGAGACTTAATAAAATGCACAGGCTAACATAAATTCGCCACGATTGGTGATTAACGACACTGGCTTATATGTAAATACAGTGCTCATAAACTAACGCTTGGGGCAGTTGGCCATGTTCTTAACAGACTGAACAGAGTCAGAAGGCAAATCAACCATGGTTTGTGTGCGAAGCTCCACTTGTGGTGATCCAGCAAAAAAATCTGCCGATAGCTAAAGGCAAAACAAGCATCCCCATTCACAGGCACAAAACCCCAATAACTTCTAATTATTGCTGCTGGGCCTCAAATGCTTGGTCCGAGGCTGTGCTGCTGTGTTACTCTCTCCCATCTCTCATTCATTTCCCTGTTCTATTCCATCCTGATGTAGTATATTTGTTGAAATTTTCTAGCGTCTTGAGATTAAATTGCAATTTTCAAAAGGATCCACACCCAGGGAATCAGTTGTGCAACTTGGTTGCGTGCACCTAAATCGTTTACATGTGGACATCCTCTGCAACCAGTTGCAATCAGTTGCGCAACCGATTGTTTAACATAGACAGGCCATAACGCTGAGCGAACGGCTCAGTGATTTTGATGTGGACCTCCGATTAGCGAGGTTGGCTACGTACTGTGCGAAACAAGTTCAACATACGTAAGTACATAGTGAAACGCTGCCGTCGTTGGCTGCTTAACGTGCCATACATGTGGGTGCAAGCAGTGCAGAGTGGCCTCACCTGAGTGCCCCAAGTGAAGAACATCTGGCGGACAGAGGTGATGGGAAAGTGGCTATCCTTGGCAGCTGTAGAGCCGATGTAGCGGGTGAAGTAGCGGTAGTAGCAGAAGGACAGGACAACTGCATACGTCAGCTGCACACAGCACGGGGTTCCACAGTTAATATGCAATGCTGCAGGGCTACACAGATGGTCTGGCACAGGGTTGCTCAGCTGCTAGATGGTGGGCTAGAAGTGACAAACAAAGACTCGTGGAGGGTCTTGCAGAGTTATGGCCCTCCGAGAGATGTGGTTCGCCGAGACAAAGAGATGCAGATAACTGAGATGAAGGAGAAACAAAGATGAGAGCTACAAATGGGAGCACTGTCGAGAAGAGATCAATATTCATGAGATGCACTTCTGCACCCAAGTATCTCATCGTTTCTTCCCTCTTTTCCACAGGGATTTTCAGGGGGGAAACTAATGTCTATGTTTCATCCCTGGGTGATGGAGCGATGACAATAATGGCATGCAGGTGCCGAATGGATTGTTGCATCGCAGGATCTTGGTAGGTGACAGCAGCTTGGGGTGGCCTGCATCTGGCAGTGGCTTGATCGTGGCTGATGATGATTAACTTGGTGCAGTGACATGGCCTAGTGATGGCGTGTTCGCCGCTTGTTACAAAGGTTCATGGTTTGAAACCAGCAGGTGCACTGGTTTTTAAGTTAGGTGTATTAACCATGAGAACACTCGTCGGTGCTGCACTGCGGATGTTAAAGATCCCTTGACGTAGGCCAATGTGTGCCGGTGTCAAAATTTGTCAAATTTGAAAACTTTCCCAGAAATAACTTAATTGGGATCATACATGGCAATCATCGCCCCCGGCTCCAAAAACCTAGAATTCTTTTGTCAGGGCGCCCTTTCCCCCCTTCCAACCCAGCTTAAATATACACTCCAAGCATGGTGGTGTTTCATTCAGACGCTGTCTCCCCGACAGACCTGGTCTTCACCTGAGGACGGCTGCTTGCGTTGTGGCCGAAACGTCGTGAGAATTATTTTATTATGTTTCATTTTTATTATTTTATTACTTCCCTTCTACGTGACTTTACCGAAAGAACCAAGAAGATGAACCTGGAAGGAGCCTCCTCTGAAAGAGTCACGAGACTCGGTGAGGCTTTCTAAGGTAAACAAGCATAATCATTATTAATAGCAATTAAGGAACTAATCTACAAGAATAAACTTGACAATCTTCAATCAAATTCAGAATGTCAGTGGTGCTGGCCCCGTGACTCTCATAAGGGCTGTTTAACATTAGCATCACGATTCAGGCCAGCCACGCTCCTTATGGTGCATCTCTAATACCTTTAAAGTGGCCTTATCGTATCATGCTGAATTTCCCAGCGTTGTCAAGGTGTCCTGTATTTTGTCTGATGTGGGCACCTGTGAAAAAGCAAAAACCCAGAGGCCCCAGTCCGGCCTGAGGAACACCAACGCCACGGTGAGGATGCTCCTGCTGCCCAACGCCAGGCTCTCCGCAGACACCTGTGACTCACAAGGTATGGGGAGAGGGGAAGGCGTTTCAGGTCAAGGCCCATTTGCGACTTGGGAGGGATTCTTTAAAGTAAGAAGTCTGGGGGCTTCTGCAAATAAGGAGCTTTGTTGACTCTGTTAAAAAAAAAGAACAAAAAGGTTTCTCTTGTTAGGTTTTTTATCCGTCCCCCGCACATCCGATTAGCATGGTTGGCTACGTACGGTGCGAAAGCAGTTCAACATACATACATAAAGGGCTTGGATTGCTTTGTATGTAAAAATGTATTAGGGCATTTTACATGCTGGGCTTTTGGTATTTCTTAAAACAGGGGACTTTGCAGGTTTGTCAATTAAGAAGGTTGGCAGGTTTTTCCATACACATCTCAATTGTATCGTGGCAATGGTGTTTCAGGGAATCTTGAGAGCGCTGTAACAAACTACGAAGATGAGAACTGTTCCGCCAACGTGCTACTTTCACTGATAACCTCTCCTCGAAGTGCAGGCATCAAGGAACAAATCCGCTCCCGACCCTGGCTCGGAGCAGCTAAGCACCAACCCGTAGTTGCACGAGCGTGTGTGTCTGGGTCGGAGTGGCGAGGCACTGACCCGCAGTCGCACGAGTGTGTGTGTCTGGGTCGGAGTGGCTAGGCACCAACCCGCAGTCGCACGAGTGCGTGTGTCTGGGTCGGAGTGGCTAGGCACCAACCCGCAGTCGCACGAGTGCGTGTGTCTGGGTCGGAGTGGCTAGGCACTGACCCGCAGTCACACGAGTGTGTGTGTCTGGGTCGGAGTGGCTAGGCACTGACCCGCAGTCGCACGAGTGTGTGTGTCTGGGTCGGAGTGGCGAGGCACTGACCCGCAGTCACACGAGTGTGTGTGTCTGGGTCGGAGTGGCGAGGCACTGACCCGCAGTCGCACGAGTGTGTGTGTCTGGGTCGGAGTGGCTAGGCACTGACCCGCAGTCGCACGAGCGTGTGTGTCTGGGTCGGAGTGGCTAGGCACTGACCCGTAGTCGCACGAGCATGTGTGTTTGGGTCGGAGTGGCTAGGCACCGACCCGCAGGCGCACGAGTGTGTGTGTCTGGGTCCGAGTGGCTAGGCACCAACCCGCAGTTGCACGAGTGTGTGTGTCTGGGTCGGAGTGGCTAGGCACCAACCCGCAGTCGCACGAGTGCGTGTGTCTGGGTCGGAGTGGCTAGGCACTGACCCGTAGTTGCACGAGTGTGTGTGTCTGGGTCGGAGTGGCTAGGTACTGACCCGCAGTCGCACGAGTGTGTGTGCCTGGGTCGAAGTGGCTAGGCACTGACCCGCAGTCGCACGAGTGTGTGTGCCTGGGTCGAAGTGGCTAGGCACTGACCTGCAGTCGCACGAGTGTGTGTGTCTGGGTCGGAGTGGCTAGGCACTGACCCGCAGTCGCACGAGTGTGTGTGCCTGGGTCGAAGTGGCTAGGCACTGACCTGCAGTCGCACGAGTGTGTGTGCCTGGGTCGGAGTGGCTAGGCACTGACCCGCAGTCGCACGAGTGTGTGTGCCTGGGTCGGAGTGGCTAGGCACTGACCCGTAGTCGCACGAGTGTGTGTGCCTGGGTCGGAGTGGCTAGGCACTGACCTGCAGTCGCACGAGTGTGTGTGTCTGGGTCGGAGTGGCTAGGCACTGACCCGCAGTCGCACGAGTATGTGTGCCTGGGTCGGAGTGGCTAGGCACTGACCCGTAGTCGCACGAGTGTGTGTGCCTGGGTCGGAGTGGCTAGGCACTGACCCGCAGTTGCACGAGTGTGTGTGTCTGGGTCGGAGTGGCTAGGCACCAACCCGCCGTCGCACGAGTGTGTGTGCCTGGGTCGAAGTGGCGAGGCACTGACCTGCAGTCGCACGAGTGTGTGTGTCTGGGTCGGAGTGGCTAGGCACTGAGCCGCAGTCGCACGAGTGTGTGTGTCTGGGTCGGAGTGGCTAGGCACCGGCCCGTAGTCGCACGAGCGTGTGTGCCTGGTCGGAGTGGCTAGGCACCAACCCGCAGTCGCACGAGCACGTGTGTCTGAGTCGGAGTGGCTAGGCACTGACCCGCAGTCACACGAGTGTGTGTGCCTGGGTCGGAGTGACTAGGCATTGACCCGTAGTCGCACGAGCGTGTGTGTCTGGGTCGGAGTGACTAGGTATTGACCCGTAGTCGCACGAGTGTGTGTGTCTGGGTCGGAGTGGCTAGGCACCGACCCGCAGGCGCACGAGCGTGTGTGTCTGGGTCGGAGTGGCTAGGCACTGACCCGCAGTCGCACGAGTATGTGTGTCTGGGTTGGAGTGGCTAGGCACTGACCCGCAGTCGCACGAGCGTGTGTGTCTGGGTCGGAGTGGCTAGGCACTGACCCGTAGTCGCACGAGCATGTGTGTCTGGGTTGGAGTGGCTAGGCACCGACCCGCAGTTGCACGAGTGTGTGTGTCTGGGTCGGAGTGGCTAGGCACTGACCCGCAGTCACACAAGTGTGTGTGTCTGGGTCGGAGTGGCTAGGCACTGACCCGCAGTCGCACGAGTGTGTGTGTCTGGGTCGGAGTGGCTAGGCACCGACCCGCAGTTGCACGAGTGTGTGTGTCTGGGTCGGAGTGGCTAGGCACCGACCCGTAGTTGCACGAGTTTGTGTGTCTGGGTCGGAGTGGCTAGACACTGACCCGCAGTCGCACGAGTGTGTGTGTCTGGGTCGGAGTGGCGAGGCACCAACCCGCAGTTGCACGAGTGTGTGTGCCTGGGTCGGAGTGGCTAGGCACTTACCCGTAGTCGCACGAACATGTGCGCCTGGGCGAGCACCCAGAACGGCTCTGACAGTAGCTCCACAACGGCCGAGACCGCAAACACCCACACGGCGGCCGGGTAGGCGGGCACGTGCTCCGCGTCCGGGGCCTCCAGCCATCTGGTCCACACGTAGCCCAGCGCTCCGGCGCATACCGCCCCCAGCGGCACCCTGACCACACCGGACGGGGAACCCTCCATGCGGTTAGTCAGCACGCAAGCGACGACGATCACACACACACACACACACGTGTGGTGCATCCGTCGGCGATGTAATGGATAAGAGCAGAGCATGTTCTTTGAATTGAGAAAAGTTATTAGAAGAACTTGGGTGAAAAAGACCATGGGAGGAAATGTCCCAAGTGTGAGAGAAGAAGCAGAAAAAGTGTTGTGACCTGCAGTGTGCTGAATGAACACAGTATGGATGAGATTAAACAGTCAGTTTTAGCGCTTGGGTGAGTGAACAGGTAGGTGGGTGGGTGTGTTGGTAAATATGTTGTTATGACCCACAGGGTGGAAGAATCAATGAGTGACATTCACAGGAAGTAACCATGGCAGTTATTTTATTAATAAGGATGTGACTGACCACCGGTCAGACGGTGGCTGTAGAGAATCGGTGAGTGCTGGATCATCAATCAGCCAGACTGCTTTATATTGAATTATATTAAAAACAGTGAGGTAGGTAAAAACTGCTTCACCGCAGACATGGCATCAGTATTCCAACATGTGCATAATCAACGTTTTTGGGTTTAGATCGCGTTATTTATAAATGTGTCGTAACCCTCCACCACCCGACACGGCCAATCAGCAAAAAAGTGTCATGTTAACAAAAGACAAATAGTTCACTGCTTTAGCCCACCGGTGTGTTGAAGCGTGAAACCACAACATTTACAATTTTTGAGTTGAAAATTGTAAATGTTGTGGTTTCACGCTTCAATTGTAAATGTTGTGGTTTCACGCTTCAACACACCGGTGGGCTAAAGCAGTGAACTATTTGTCTTTTGTCAACGTGACACTTTTTTGCTGATTGGCCGTGTCGGGTGGTAGAGGGTTACGACACATTTATAAATAACGCGATCTAACCCAAAAACGTTGATTATGAATAATATTGGTCGCGAAAGCCTACGTGTTAAACTGATTCCAACATGTGCTTTGTACATTAGTAGCAACAATTATTTGGAATTAAAGAAGGCTGTGGCACGGCAAAGAAAACCAAGATTCTTCTAATCGAGAGCCGTGCCCAGCCAGCCCAGTGTGGCTCAATAGGCCACAGGTTTCTTTTTCATTACAGAAGCCAAGCCATGCCGGTGACATCACACTCAATTAACGAGTCGAGACGTGCGCAGATGATGCAGTGACGCTGCCTAGCCACGTTCCTGGCCCTGCTTGGATTCAAATGTCTTGTGAGGCCGGCGTATCATGCTTTGCTTCTGGCATAGCACGACAAATGGCGACTTTAAATCAACCCGTACAGTGAAAGCACCACACTGGCTTTGATGTGCCAGTGGAAGAGGGGTGTGTGCGGAATGGGAGCCACGGTGTCGTGGAAAAGGGAACTCACGTCATCCACAGGAGGTTGATGACGCGACGCCAGTCGGCGGTAGATGCCCGGCTCAGGCAGGCACGCCGGAACGCCTCCCTCGCCAGGAACACGGTGGTGGAGTAGAGCAGGGTGAGCCTGCGTAGGCAACCGCAGGAGCAACACACGCGGGCGCAAGTCCATCGCTATGGTTCTCGCTAAAGAAGGGCGAAAGTCGATTTGAGATTGACGACCTGCTGCTTTGCCTAGCGATCAACACATCCGCTTGTCTTGAACGGCAATGAGATACTTCTTGCATCGATGACTCAAGATCATAAACCGCACCTGCGATTAGCACGTTTGGCTACATACGGTGCGAAGTTCAACATACATACCGTACATATTTAGGCAAAAGTGGATGAAATATTTTATATTGGCGAATATGTTTAAGTGAATAATTTACAGCATGGATGGAGCAATGGCACAATTATTAGGACACTGCGCTGTGAACCTGGCAACTTGTTTTCGATTCCCGATCACAACTAACATGGGTGGAGATAGCTGAATAGGTCTTGGGCCCCCTCTACACCGAGCTGCTGTGACTAGTATAGTGAAGTATGATCGAACAACCCCTGCGACATATATGGGAGGCTCTCATCCAGTGGTAGATTGACAAATAACTGTGAATTTTATTTAACAGCATAGGTTTATTATGATTTAATTATTTTTCAAGAATATCCCAAATGGAGAAACCTCCTGAAAATATTTTCAAGTTTGAAGTTTTTTGGTTAATTTTTCATGAACGGTTGGATCTTACCATCCAGCAGAATAGACCAACACCCCACGAGTCAATCAAAAGCAGTTGAATTATCCATGGGTTCTGTGTTCGCAGGGTGGCGACCATCGAATGAGGCAGGCCATACGTCCAGGCACCATTTCACCATCGCGAAACATTTTAGTTAAATATCCCAGCAACGTCCTTTGGACATTACCATCTGTCTGTCCCTCACAGCAAGAAAGCCAGCTAGCAAAACGTTGTTATCTTATATAGAGCCCTGTATCTCTCTACCTTTCTCTTGCCTTCTCTCTACAGTATATTCCAATGTATCTCGATTTCTCTCTCATCTGTTTCTACTTGTCTCTATTTCTCTGTCTCCTTTTCTACCTCTCCTACCCTCTAATATTCCTCTCCTCCCTCCACCGTATCTCACACACTTCCCCCCCCCCCCCATCTCTCAACCTGTTTCTCTCTCTCACCCTTGATCTCCTTATTCCCACTTCTACATTTCCAATCTCAATCTTTCTTGCCTCTCCATAACCCTTCCTCCGACTGTTTGTCGCTTTCCCTCGCTCGCCTATTTCTGTTTTGCTCTCCCTTTCCTCTCCATTTCACGCCCTTTCATTCTCTCCCCCCCCCCCCGTCTCTCCTCAACATTCCTCTCCGTCTCATACTCGTTCCTATGTGTGCCTCCTCTATCTCCCTCCCTCACCTCCCTCCTCTATATCTCTCCCTCAGCTCACAGCGAGCACTTGGCTACGGGCCAGCCAGGAATCCAGGCAGAAATCCAGCCAGCCAACTTTTTTTTTCTAATATAGTATGATTTCAGCAGACTGCCACTGTGCAAGTTTAAGGACTGAAGTTAAATATGCAGCAAGGCACGCTGACACAGCACACATGTTGACGTGGCTCAAAATATGTTTACGTGAATGGATTGAACAAAACCATCTGTGCCATAAATCTTTTGATTATTCTCAGCGCGTGGCTTCTCAGAAAAGAAATCACGTGCCGTTAAAAAGCCCCCGCTTGTTGACTCTGTTAAAAGGGGTGTAAAAGCAAGTGTTGAAACCAATGGTACTCCAGTTTCAGCCAGGGCTCAGACACACATCAGCCAAACACAATAACCACTGCGCTAAGTTATTCTGAGCAGCCACCATGACCAATTCAAACCGACCTCTGAATTGTCAGCCGATCACCTGCCAAGCAGGCCACTTTGGTAGTAAGTAGCCACCTCTTCGGCGCACACATATTCGCACTCTGACCAAGCAGCAGCGTGTGTGCGAAACCCAATAAAGCATCGTGGTAGATCGCTGCAAAGCCAGGATGAGCAAGTGGGCAAGTGAGCAAGGTCACCTGACATTGACGACCCCCAGCACCTCCTTGGAGAGGTGTCGCAGGATGAAAGCGTTAAGCACGAATGTGATGACACGGAAGGACACCTGCAAAAGACAAAGGTCCCCCGAATAGCCTTTAACAGACTGCTGGGGCAAGTGCCGTGAGTGAGCGCCTCTGCATAGACAAAGACACACACGCACAAGCCTCGTTGAGACTTTCAACATACTACTTTATTATTTTTTGTCCTATTTCCCAATTTTATCATAAATGTTCTACATGTGTCACGTGATGAGAAGAAGTCATTTGTATATCCGTTGCAGAGGAGAGCGACCCTTTGTGTTAGGGAACTGCTCACGAACGCAGACACCACAGAACTACCTCTGAAATCCCTTCAAGTGAAACTCCGCTCCACAATAGTAGAGGGCAGAACATTCCCACTTTCTTTGCAACAAACAGTAATGTCTGCTACCACCCAACCATCTGTAAAAAAAATTAAGGAACCAAGATGATACTTAATGCCATGCCTGGGAAATGTTATTCATTCATCTGAGGATACTTCACAGGTGTTATAATTTCTACAAAACCCCTAAACTAATTGACCAGAAACATACACCACAGCTTACCATGTTCCCTGAATTAAATTGATTTTGGACCAGATTTCCAACAAAATACTTTCCTGATGGGGTTTTGCTCTGGGGTTTTTGAGCAACTGCCGATGACCACAATAAGAGCCAGGTACCATCAAACGTTATTTTAATCGGAATCTTTTTACCTGCAGTGGTCACTCAGTACAGTAGCAAGCGCATCGGGCACCTAAACCATTCAGCCATCGCAATACGCCATGGTTTTTTTGTTATTTTGATATCGTTTCGCTTATTGTTCCGAATGCGATGCTCGGCATTGTCAGAAGAATAAAGAATCCGTTCAGAATTACCACTGAGCAGTGCAACCACGAGAAAGTCTGAAAAACCATCCAAGCAGCCGTTTGATCTATACACACTACTGCTATGAGATTGGTGTTTGTTGAATAATAGTCAAACAGGTATGGTATTTTTATTTCTCAAAGCTGGAAGTTATTCCAATTTAGTCTCAACCTGGTAACCAATGCGAGCATTGGCGACGAGGCTGAAACTATCAAACTCGCTATACTTCAGAGCCTGGTTTAACCACAGGCGGTTGAAATCCAGATTAGAACTCTGAACGACAGCAAAGGTTACTCAGTGATCTGAATAAAATAGGCACTCTCCAAATACCTATGTCAATAGTTTTAACACTCATACGAGTACAACACCACCCCACCGTGAGTGATATAAGTCATTAGATGTATTCTTTAATAGTTAAACCACAGGATATTTGTTTTACTTTTAACAGCACACAATGGAATTATAATTTCCATGTGTGCAATCATTCCTTAATAAAATCACAGTTATCTTACCCATAAACGTGCCAGTGTGAACAAAGGAATAACAGTCCCTCAACGTAGAGCAAGAAGCAGTCATTACTCAGAACTGTGCAGATCGTCCAAAAGACAGACAGACAGAGAGACACGTCGACCTAAACACGAACAGAGACAAAGAAAGAAGCAGAGAAACAGAGAGTGACAGAGAGAGAAACACGCAGACATAAACACGAACAGAGACAGACAAAAAAAGAAGCAGAGAGACAGAGAGTGACAGAGAGAGACAGAGAGAGAAACACGCAGACATAAACACGAACAGAGACAAAGAAAGAAACAAAGAGACAGAGAGTGACAGAGAGAGACACGCCGACATAAACACGAACAGAGACAGAGACAAAGAAAAAAGCAGAGAGACAGAAAGTGACAGAGAGAGAAACACGCAGACATAAACACGAACAGAGACAAAGAAAGAAGCACAGACACAGAGAGTGACAAAGTGAAACAGAGACACGAGATGAAGATGAGAGCGAGATAGAGACCAATATAGACAGAAAATATTGGGGTTCCTCTTCATGAAATGGGGGTCCTACGTACATGTTGCGCATTCATAAAGGCGGCACTGCTCGTACCCTGTAGATATTTCCAAATTAGTTGAGATTGGCGGTGATAAATTAGCACTTTGCATCATGATTTAGGTATCGTGAAAGAGCCAACTGGGAAAGGGGCACAACAACTGTTCCCGTCACGGTGCGTGACGTTTCCTGTTTGAACGCTTTTGTAAATGCGAGCAGCCACCGCTAACGTGGAGCAGAATCATGCCTCGACTTGTTTGCCCTTTAGGCAAGAGCACGTGGCTCCAATAGCTGCCAATTCACCTCCCATAACACAATGTGACGCACTGATAAATCTACAGATAAAGCAAAGTCTGAGCTTGCTCAAACTTCTGCCAAAAGAACAGCAGCCACGATCTCAGACAGCACCAGGCCTGCTTACTCGCTTCCTGACTGGCTAACAATGAGCTTGCAATTGACTAGAAGTGACTTCGAGGACAAATTATAACTCCAAACTGAATCACTGGCAGGTTTTGCTCAATTAATGTTGCATCATTTCACTCACGGTGTCTGCTGCGAACAGGGTGTTTGTATAAAGCACCGCACTGTGCACACATACATTTAGCATTTTTTGTCTATTCCCTCAATCACAGAATTAGAATGAGACTTGTGTAGTCTCACTGAACTAGATACTCATGTATTAGAAAATATAAAATTAGCCACCTTTCAAATTACTACCTCTAAAACATGGCTGACAATAACTATGCAATGACCATTAATACAATGACACCGTGTGCACATCACAATGGAAACATGTGTAATGTTTGTTATTGTATTTCCAGTCACATAGGATCCAAGTTGGGTCGACTAAGATGCATACCACTGAGACACGAGTAACAACCAATGTTTAATCTTTCAAATTACTCTTCCATCTAAATGACAATGTCATGCTTAAACTGTGGATTTGCTATACTTTCACTTGAATTCTCCATATATATCCTTGTCTGTTTATATATAAGTACAATATGCACCCTCTATACCTTAATGTTTTTGTAACTTCATTTAAATTGTATGACGATTAGTCTAAAAAGCATCTGTACTATTTAATCATTATTCATGTCTGTGCAATAATATTACAATTTTCCAAAATAATAAACGATTAACTATTTTTATTTTACCAGGTAAGGCCCACTGAGTTAGATAGCACTTTTTAGAAAGTGACCTGGCCACAAATTATAGCTCAACGAAGTGGCTTATCACATGGAAACGTATAGCAGCCAAATTCTCCATTTGCTTAATGCCTGTACTTTTTAAATTTGTTTGGTTTTGTTACTTTGGCGAACAAGCTCACTCATGCAAATGAGACTATCATGGTCTCTTGAGTTCTCACCTGGTTAAGAAAAGAAACTTTACTCGGACCCGTTAGGGAAACAAAATACATTTTAGAAAAATGATAATGCTGGTTTTTGATGCGACTGTCATCTTTGAAGAGTATCACGAGCTATTTAATGTTCACAGGGAATTCATTTATCCAGCTGCATTCGGAAAAGACAGCAAGTACTGCTGAACCTAGCAAGCGAAAGCGTCCACAATTATGATCTTCACTATTTATTACCGGACATCGCACCTCTGCACAAGTATAACAGTGAACCCTGAAGGGCCAACAGAAATAAGAACCAGAATTGTACAGAGCACAGCACATATGCAGTGGCACACATGAACCCAGAATAACAGGTCTTCAAGACAACCAGCCACACCGTTTAGTAATCTAACACATTGAACGAGTGTACTGTATAGTGAAATCAGTAAGCTCTGAGATAAAAAAAAATACTTTCTTGCAAGTGGATGGTATCACTCTGTTACAATGAACTGGTGTTTCTTGCGGTAATAGTCACCCACCCAAGTACTGACGAGACTTGATCGCGTCGTAGCTGAAATTTCTGCAGATCAACACCAGGGGGCATGGCAGCTCAAGGGGACAACGCTGCATTACTTTGTTCAACCAATCGCCACATGTTCGTGTGAAATGATAAAATTTGCACAAATAGAACAAATCTACATGCAAGATTTTATGCATGTATCGCGAGCATAAAATAGGTTTTGATCGATTAATCAATGCATCGTTGCATGCCTATCAACAAAGCGGCTTTTCAGCTGCTTCGTCAAAATGGGAATCTAGCCTAGAAGCGTGAACAATGTGAGGCAGAGGCCTGTCTACTAACATTCTCTAGAACAGTGGTCGGGAACCTGGTCCATACTGATGGCCCAAAATATTTACAGGCCACATGTTATCCAATAATGACAAATATAACGCATGTGTCGACTGATATTCAAGAGGCCCTTGCATTGACATGATAAAAAAATGTGAAACTCCGATGTGTGAAATACTCATCTCTAGCAACTGATTAGTCCAGCCGATATGCTAGAAGTATCGACTATGATTGTTGGGCCGTTTCTAAGTGATAAGCCTCGTATGGCCATTCGATACGTTCACGCAGGTCCGTATCTGTGCGCTGGCCATATATATTCCCCCACTGCTCTACAACATCACTTCTATTTTTCGATTTAAAGCTTTCGTGACTGCAGGGATTCATCTTCTTGGTTCTTTCGGTAAAGTCACGTAGAAGGGAAATAATAAAATAATACAAATAAAACATAATAAAATACAATCATCACTTCTGTATGGCGTCAAAGCAAGAACTGCAGCACCGTCCGTGGATGAATTTAAGATGGAGGAACAAAAATCCACGTTCTGTGTACAGCACATTTGGGACGCACAGCCAACAACAAACGCAAACACATCCGTTAATAACCGCAACGCCAGCGTGCCACCCGCACCTGTAAGAGGACATTGTAGGTGGCAAGGATTGAGGCTCCCTGCAGGGCTTTCGTGGTGTCTGATGCCATGGCCGTGGCTCTGTGTCCATGTGCCCACCAACTCCTCCTCCAGTCCGGGCTGCTCTCCGATGCATGTAGCGGCTCCGAGTTCTTGGGGTTCGGTGTGGGAGATAAATAGGAGAGTTCGTGAAAAAACATTCCAAGGCACCTGAATGAAAGTGACTTGCAATGGGAAATACAGATCGTGATTTACTGGCCAAGCATTTGGGGAAAGGAAGATGCTGAATATAATGTTCTATTACATATGGGCTCGTACGTAGTGTAGCTATAGTTCATTAATGAACATACCTCAAGTAAAATAAAGAGGTCATCATGGAAATCGTTGTTAAGGCCACGCAGAACCGGCCCTAGACCTTTGGGGGCCCTAAGCAAAATTTGGTTGGAGGCTCCTTTGATGTATGATTTTTTTCACCCACTAGCTAGCAGTGACTCTAGGGGGCCCTCTGCTGGCCACGGGGCCCTTTGCAATTGCAAGGGTCGCTTCGTGGCTGGGCCGGCTCTGACGCCACGACAGATTGCTTCCTCCTGCTGCTAGATCCCGTAATTGTTTCAATTCCACCTCCGAGCTTGTCTTTAGGCTTTGGCAAGGTAAGGTGGGGAGGGGGGTGGCGGGGGGAGTGGGGGGGGGCTGCGGGAGCGGCGGTGGGGGGCGGCGGTGGGGGGCGGCGGGGGGGGCGGCGGGGGGGGCGGCGGTGGGGGGCGGCGGGGGCGGGCGGCGGGGGGGGGCGGCGGGGGGTGGCGGCTGCGGGGGGGGCTGCGGGGGCGGCGGGGGGGGCGGCGGTGGGGGGCGGCGGGGGCTGCGGGGGCGGCGGGGGGGGCGGCGGTGGCGGGTGGTACCTAATTCTAGATTTGAAGCTTTCGTGACTGCAAGGATCCATACTCTTAGGTTTTTTCGGTCAATTCACGTAGGTAAAAAAATTAAATTAATAAATGTAAAATAAAAATAAAAATCACGACGTTTTTAATTTTTACCAACGTGACTTTACCGAAAAAACCTAAGAGTAAGGTAGTACCTGCCCACTCAGAAAGGAACGTGTTATATTATTTTATTTCTATTATCATTTCTATCATTTCCATTACATATTTTTACCTACGTGACTTTACCGAAAAAACCTATTAAGAGTATGCTGTGGCAAGTGCTATTAGCGCGTGGCGGGAGCCTATGAAGGTCGGCACTGCACGGCACACGAGCGGGTGTGTGTGACCAACACACACACCCGCCTTTGTCTCCCTCGTGGCGCGGTGTGTGGGCCACCATTGTAGATTGTTTCCTCGCTCACAGCGCTTGCCACGACGGCTTGCTACACGTAGGGGGGATCTCTGTACGTTGCCAGCACAGCAGTGTACCTGCAAAGGCGATCGAGAGCAGCCAAACGAGCGCCTTTTGAAGTGTTCAGACGCCTAAAAACAACGAAGACGACGACGGCCCAAAAACGACCAAAAACGGCCGAAAACGGCCGAAAACGACCAAAATCGGCCAAAAACGACCGAAAACGACCAAAATCGGCCGAAAACGACCAAAATCGGCCCAAAAAACGGCCGAAAACGACCAAAAACGGCCGAAAACGACCAAAAACGGCCGAAAACGACCAAAAACGGCCGAAAACGACCAAAATCGACCCGAAAACGACGGAAATTGACGATCGGCGCTCCGTGGAACGCGCCGCCGACGCAAAACGTGGCGGCTCATTCGCCAGGCGCGCTGATTCGCCCATCGCAGGCAGAAGTTCGCATCGTTATAATTATCCGTGCAGTGGTGGGGGGTGATGATGAGGTTGGGGGCAGAAGGGGGGGGTGTGGTGTCCCGTTCCAAGGATATCACTTTTTTTAATGAAAATATAATGTGAAGCCGTCTGGAATCAGAATCTCGCTATTCGGCGAATACGCCAAATTCAGCGTCGTTCGGTGTCGGGCTGCGGCTGCTTCCTGGTTGAGCCGCGGCGGAGCTGGATGGTCCCCGACTTACGAACTTGAGTCGTAAGTCGAGGACCGTGATGACAAATCTCTAACATTAAACACCCGGTCGTTCATAAAAGTTGAAGGCGATATAGTACTATAGTAATAGAGCAAGTAGTGCAGAATCACTGAACCGGAATTGATAGCTTGTAAGCATTTAGCGCGGGTCCCTTGAAAGTGCGGGGCGCGTAGCATATGCAGCTACTTTTGCTACGAGGATAATCCTGCATGGTGCATTTCATTTCACATTCGGTGAAACTCTTATCCGCTACTCTGTTATCTGTGGATCGTGTTGCACACAGCCTCAAACACGATAGATATAAGGGTTATTAATCCAGGAGGTTGATCATAATTCATAATAATCTTCCCTCTGGTAATCCATTGCTTGTTAATCCAAGTTAGTCATGGGGGTTTATTGACCATACTTCACCAATGCTACTCAGTGTGGGTGGCGAAAGGTGGCCCCTGAACCGTATGGATATCGCTCGCCGCTGATGCTAGCCGTGGCCAGGAATAAAGCTTATAGGCAGTGCACTAACTTCTGCATCTCCGTACCAGCACTTCCTATTCGTGTTTATTTGGTTCATCACAAGCAACGTTTTACCTGTGACACACCACGGGAAGGGGAGTAGAGTGAAGGATATGATGTATGGCAACATAAAAATGGAAGAGAAGAGAAAAAAAAATGGGAATTAAGAGGAAAATTATGTTTTGATTTAAAACTTTCGTGACTGCAGGGATTCATCTTCTTGGTTCTTTCGGTAAAGTCACGTGGGTATAAAATAAAATGAATCACGACGTTTCGGGGACAACACAAGCGTCCGTCATCAGGTGGAAAAGCTTTTAGAAATGCCAGCAGGCAAGGCATTAAGAGGAATCTAACATACATCTAATAAAGGCATCAGCCTCACAGCATCAGAAAGCGACAATGAGGTGCTGTCTCATTCAGACGCTGTCTTTCCGACAGACCTGTTCTTCACCTGAGGACGGCTGCTTGCGTTGTGGCCGAAACGTCGTGAGAATTGTATTTTATTATGTTTTATTTTTATTATTTTATTATTTCCCTTCTACGTGACTTTACCGAAAGAACCAAGAAGAGGAAAATTATGGTAAAGGAACAGAAAGGGGAGCAAATGGTCAGGAAGATAGAAAATGTAAGTGCCTCTAGGCTGCACGTAGCAGAGTGTGTTTTAACAGTGGGTGGGGAGAGGAGAGGGATTAGGGGGATTGGTTTACAGAAGGTTTGAGCCGATTTAGAGATGAAGATGAGTTATCCAGAGGTGGTTGTGGCGAGCACTAAAAGTTATCCATGCTCGCGGGTAATAAAATGAATAGGATAGAGACAATAAAAACACAAACACGTAATTTTAAAACCCAAGGAAAGGAGATTGTGGGGGGTGAGAAACCATAGAAACAGGAGTCAAAACATGCCAGAATTATTTAAAAGCAGGAGACATGACCAGAGAAATTGAAACACGAATCAAACAGGGATTTGGGATTGAAAACAAGCAGAATATGGGCCAAAATAATTTTTTATATTACTAAATAAACAGTTGAAAGCGAATAAGTTTAAAATACAAACATCAACAACACAACGTACTCGTACCAAGTCAATGGACTCAACACAAAAACGTTAAACTTTATTGAAATTAGATGTATTCAAAAACAAATAAATGGCACTTACTGTCCATAATGTCGTCGAGGAGGGGTTGAGGTTAGACCGCGATCTAACAAAAACAAAACTATATTATGGATGATATTGGTGGCGAAAGCCGATGTGTTAGACTGGTATTTAGTATATTATGATTGAAAAATACTGTATATATTGGCTGCATTCACGAAAGCTTCAACTCAAGATTATATATACTGACTTTAATATCGGTGTTTTGTGTCTTGCTTGTAAATAACTTTAATTTGAAAGTATCCACGATTTTTTTCTTTTTTTGTGTCACCGTACCGTATTGGAATTCTCCTAAATGAATCAAACGCTTATTTGTGAACCATGCAGATCATATGAAGAATGTAATGCGCATAAAACATTTCATGGTGAACAGGATAAATAAACTTACGAACAGCGGGAGATTTCCCCGATCGTATTGGGGCTGCGGATAATAGTCGTAGGCAACAAACAGAGTCATGGATAAAGAGGAGCCTTCACTGTATGGTGATTAATGGAGATGTGAATTTAGAGGATTTAAATCGAATCCTTCACTTAATCTGTTTGCACCCCTTTATCCCCCTGAGAAAATGGTTTTATTGCTACATATGGCCTTGCGAGCCCAAGGACCATCTATGGCTTCGTTTTTTTATACTTAATAATATTAAAGTCGCTGAAACACATTTTGGCAGCAGATCAGCTTGGGCGAATTTCATTTTGAACCTTTATAGGACATTCCCTCGGTTAAACTGCTGTGTGTAAATATATTTCTCCAATTGTCACGTGCCAACTCGTGTGGAAAAAAATAAATCAAACTTGTTTATAAGTTATACGCTGTCCCACGGTCAAATCAAGAGAGGGTTGTGCTGGAGCAAATGTTCCAAAGTTTGTCACGCCAAAAACCCGCTCAATGTGTGACTGTTTTAACTTGTATTGATGCTGTCTCCACCACTTCGCAAAAAATTAAAATGCGAGCACCTATGTCAATCCGCTGCTGATTAAACGCCATGTTAATTGTGGGGGATGTTGTAACAAAACTTCACAAATGGAGCTTGCTGATGGTGAGGGAGAGAGCCCACGGCTGATTCAGAAATCTCTCCATCGATGTTTTCTGCCGGCCGGCAACCAAACTGGCTGGGTTATGCACTACTTATTTCCATTAGTTTGACCTTTTGAACAAATTGCAATTCCGAATGAATACATATACACGTTTGGATTTTTTTGATTTGTGTGGGTTTAACCTGGGGAGTACAGCAAATATTCGTGAAGATGGGAATGAGACCCATGGTGTTTATCGGTGCCTGCTACCAAACTATAGTTGAATCTCGCTGATGCCAATCAAGTAAGTTGACATTTGTCTCGCCATGTTAAAACGAGTTAGCTACACGACAAACTGATCTAAAAGGTCCATGCAAAGCTCGTTTGTGAATCCATTGCTGGATGAGGGCCTACTACCTACGCCGTGCGGGTCGTGGGCGTTGTTTTTGATCATAGGTAACCATTCAGGAGGGTGTGAGTTGGTGAAGAAGCAGATCATATATGAAGTACACGACAACCATCGTGATTTGCTACTCTGCCCTCTGCGGTCAGCAAAATAGCCCCATCCACGTATTATTTTTTACTTCAACATTTACACAAATTACTTTCGCTTAGAAGTGTCCAGAATTAAATATCATTACACATTTTATTGTAAATTTCAGCCTCATACTCAGGATTGTGCCATCCATGTGTTAATCGTATGACATGAATTAATTAAAATATACAAAGTATTGTCGATGCTTCGTGTAATCAATGCGGTAATTTCCAGTAATATACTATTTCAGTACATAGCATAGCATACCTCGTGTTATCATGTTGTTACTTCATGGTCTGCATTCACCATGGGAATTTTCCACTTTATCAGAGCGTTAAAATACCTTTTAATTTAATTGGCTGCATTTAAATGACGATCAAACAACTACTGTCATTATGAATGCGTTTCCCCCTTTTCGTAAATATATAATCATACAAATCACTTTGAATACGTCCGATTTCTTCAGTTCTTGGAAGCTAAGCAAAGTTCTAGCCTGAATTGTGCTTGAATGGGTGGCCACCATGCACAACAGGTGTGATAGCACTAATATTACTATTACTATAGGTGTGATAGCAGGGGCGGTTTCTTCATTATGGCGATTGGGCGACGCACCACCAATGTCATTCAACCACAGAGTCACGCTAGCTGTCACTGTGCCTCTGGATATAGTCCAATCAGCGTCATGTCACGTTCTGTGGAGTACCGCCTCTTTTTGGGCGATTTCCCTCCAGCTGAGAATCGCCCCGAGTGGTCCCATAGACTTACATTCAAAGATGTTTTTTTTCGAACGGGGGCGCTGCAATGCATTCTCTATGGCTTCCGGGAGGGCTCGCCCTAACGTGCTTACGTCATCATACGTGCTTACGTCATCATACGTAAGCACGTTTCATCCAACAATATAATTTGTCGCCACCTAGTGGAATCTTTAATAAAAGAAACTTGAGTGGTTTGTTTTAATAGTGAGTATAGAAACAAACAAGATGTATTGTAAGAGTCACTTTATTTTTCATTAATATTAAAGAAGTGAAGTTGCCTTTACATGCTTAAGCTGTTAATTTATCCATTGCATGGGTGAACCTTATCCTTATCAATCATCCAGACATTTGCCCCCCCTGAGAGATTTTGCAGGAGCCGCCACTGTGTGATAGCCTGTGGGACTACATTATGGGCAGGGGAGCAGAACCTACTGTTGTACTGTACCACCTTTATGCTTCACACCTTCACCAAGCCGCATCGACCAGCGTTATGAAGTATGGTCAAACAGCCACCATGACCCCCCACGGAGCAATGTGGCATACCTGTCAACCCCTTAGGGGCCGTCCATAAA